AGTAGTGGATGGAAATTTAGTTGGTGGTAAACCATTACTGAACACTAAATAATGCCATTTTCCAATTGGAGAATTGGAGATGTAAAAATAATTTCAGATTATTCTATTTAATCAAGTGAAGATGGAGTATATCTAATATTGACTTTTAAAATATCATATGGCTAAATTACTAAGTCATTTGGAGATAATGATTTAATAGAAGTTAATTGAATGACAATGTTTTAGCTGCTACTTTAATCAGTTATGCGTGTTGTACCTTTAAAAACATGTGTTTGTAATCGTATAAAATTAAAGACAAATGATAATAAGAGTAAAAAAGGATCATATTGTATGTGAATAATTAGATTAATTGAAATGTTAGGATGTATAAAGATGAAGATTTACTAATTTATTTATCAGATCATAAATAATGCAAATAAGGTTTTTAAGGATGCACTGTAAATATATTTGCAAAGGTTGTATTAATCAGATGGATGAATGCACTGATTAAATACAAGAAAGTTAATATTGTTAAACTCTAAACAATAAATAGATATGCTTAAAGGAAAAGGGAAGTGTTTAGAGAAAATATGAGATAACTTTGTTTTTAAGGACTGATTATGAATTTAGATCATAAATAAGTGAATACACCAAATGGAATAAATTGTGTTCATAAAAATACTTATAATGATGCTAAAAGTAAAAGCAGGATAAATAATTGTAAGATTATGATCAAATATTGGATTTTGTTACATTTAAAAATAGAGGTTGTAAGAATAGACTTACTATTTGTTCTGATTATGTTGGAGAAAGATTGTTATTATGTTAAAGATTAAAGATGTATTTGGATTGAAAAAATGTAATTTAAAATAATATTTACATACTGATTGTAAATTATTTGAAAATAGTAAGGCTAAATTAGAAGGTGAATATAAAGCAATACCATGTAAATGTGAAGATATCTATCAATAGGTTGGTTGTGATATAAATTAATAAGGATTTTAGATAAATTTCTAAAAATTAATTAAATAAATTTGTAATTAGTTAAAACTATCACATTTTTCTAATAGTATGTCTTGTCAAGTTTTCAGTCCAAATTTTGTATTTAATATTTAATAATTTGGATTAATAGATTATACTTGTGATAATGTATCTGATGTAAAAGATTTTACTATAGATTCAAGAGGAAATCATTGTTTATTATAATCTGAATGTAATACTGCTTCATTTATATAAAATGTAATTATATATTATGTTTATACCTTTGATTCTAAATAAAACTGTTAAGATTGGATGCCAGAATGCTTAATTATTTTTTCTCTCAATCTACTATTTATAATTCTTGGGAGGTTGTATTAAAAAAATTTAATAATGTCAATTAATTGAATTATAAATGTTGATTTATTTGTTCTGATTTAATCAAATTTTCCTATTATATTTTTAATAAATGTTCTTTTAGTCTTTTCCATTAATTTTGATTAATAATTATTATATATTTATAGTACTTATAAATTCAATTAATTATTTTATATTATGATACCCTTTTAAAATTTAAATATTAATAATATTTTTGAATTAATAAATACTTTGATAATTGAATTATTTATGGATATTTCATTAATAACATATTTCATATGTAGAAAAACACTACTTATATTCATTCCATTCTACTAAATAATCTCCGTTTAATGTAACATTACCTTAAGTTTGAACTCCACCAAAATTAAATACTTCAACAATTTTTAATTCTCCATTTTCTTATTTTCTTAAGATATACAAATTGCTTTTATGTTTAAAGAATATGGCATTTTTCTATTTATTGTATATTATTGGAAAGAAATGGATATCATAAGGCTTATTATCTTTTATTAATTAAAGAGTCTTTTCTTAATTTTCATAAAATTATCCATCATCAAGTTCAAACACATGGATTTTATCACTATCCTATGTATTAGCTGCCCAAATAAATTAATTATCATCTAAAAATTTGATCCTAGAGCCATCTTAATTGATTGATTAGTTAACAATATAACAAAATTCCCATAATTATTCTTCATTTTTTTATCATAAAATTATTTCTTACCCACAAGAAACTAATTAATTTTCAGAATTATTTAAGCAAAAACTGAAAATGTATGTCTTTTTAAGGATTAAATATAAGTCAGTTAATTCATATTAAAATCTACTTTCCATATTGTAATAATAAATTCTGCACCCCCTGCAAATAAGATATCTTCTTCCTCGTTTAACGTCAAACACAAAATGGCATTTTAATGCTATGTTTAACGATCAGATTTAATCCATTCCTTATCATTTTACTACTTCCAAATTCTAATGGAAGAATCATCAGAACAAATGAATGCATTTTATTTTTTACTAAAAATATAACAATTCATTTTTGTATCATCTCCTTCTAAACATTTTGATAATTCCATTTTTCCATTTTAGAAATTCCAAATATTTTTTTTTCCAATCATCAGTTATTAAAATTGTACCAGAAAAATTAAATATTACTCCTTAACATCCACCATGCTATTTATGAGATTCATCTATCAACTTTAATTTAATAGATCCTTAAGATAACATCTCCTTTTCTTCTTTTTACATTTAAATAGATATTTAAATAAATAAAAATTTATTTACGTTTTATATTATCCTATTTTTATAAATATTATGGTTTTCATTATAAAATTGATTTCAAAAAAAATTATTATAATCATATCAACCTAAATTTATAACAAAAATTAATATTTTTAACTCATTATTAAATTATAATAGAAATAATAGGATTTACAATAAAATTATAACTTTAAATTCAAATATTAGTTATGATAATATTAATATCGATATATATATTTGTTATTATAAATGAAATATTTACAGTTATATTATCATTTAATAGTAATATTATGATAAACTATATATTTGTAATTATCCACTTGAGTTAAGTCTTTGGACTCTTGGTTGTAAGAGTTTTGAAATGTTCTTTAATTTATTTTTCTTCTAAAAATACATAAATTCTTTATTAGTTGAATCAGATGTGATTTTTGAATAANAATTAAAGAGTCTTTTCTTAATTTTCATAAAATTATCCATCATCAAGTTCAAACACATGGATTTTATCACTATCCTATGTATTAGCTGCCCAAATAAATTAATTATCATCTAAAAATTTGATCCTAGAGCCATCTTAATTGATTGATTAGTTAACAATATAACAAAATTCCCATAATTATTCTTCATTTTTTTACCATAAAATTATTTCTTACCCACAAGAAACTAATTAATTTTCAGAATTATTTAAGCAAAAACTGAAAATGTATGTCTTTTTAAGGATTAAATATAAGTCAGTTAATTCATATTAAAATCTACTTTCCATATTGTAATAATAAATTCTGCACCCCCTGCAAATAAGATATCTTCTTCCTCGTTTAACGTCAAACACAAAATGGCATTTTAATGCTATGTTTAACGATCAGATTTAATCCATTCCTTATCATTTTACTACTTCCAAATTCTAATGGAAGAATCATCAGAACAAATGAATGCATTTTATTTTTTACTAAAAATATAACAATTCATTTTTGTATCATCTCCTTCTAAACATTTTGATAATTCCATTTTTCCATTTTAGAAATTCCAAATATTTTTTTTTCCAATCATCAGTTATTAAAATTGTACCAGAAAAATTAAATATTACTCCTTAACATCCACCATGCTATTTATGAGATTCATCTATCAACTTTAATTTAATAGATCCTTAAGATAACATCTCCTTTTCTTCTTTTTACATTTAAATAGATATTTAAATAAATAAAAATTTATTTACGTTTTATATTATCCTATTTTTATAAATATTATGGTTTTCATTATAAAATTGATTTCAAAAAAAATTATTATAATCATATCAACCTAAATTTATAACAAAAATTAATATTTTTAACTCATTATTAAATTATAATAGAAATAATAGGATTTACAATAAAATTATAACTTTAAATTCAAATATTAGTTATGATAATATTAATATCGATATATATATTTGTTATTATAAATGAAATATTTACAGTTATATTATCATTTAATAGTAATATTATGATAAACTATATATTTGTAATTATCCACTTGAGTTAAGTCTTTGGACTCTTGGTTGTAAGAGTTTTGAAATGTTCTTTAATTTATTTTTCTTCTAAAAATACATAAATTCTTTATTAGTTGAATCAGATGTGATTTTTGAATAATATCATACTTGCATGATGAAAAATAGTGTTAAGATTCTTCACTTTTGTAAGAAATGAAAATGTATGCTATCCATTGGATGCAATTGTGAGTTGCATATTAGCATAATTATCCTAAATATAATTGTTAACAATGAAAACTACTAATATTATTTTAAGAAACAAGCATACTTCAACATAAGGAATTATAATAATAGTATATTATATTAAGTTAGAGTTAATTTACAAATGAAAATATCTGTAATTAGATTCTTTTTTTCACATCCTTCAGCAGCTAAAGAGAATATTTCTGTACATTTTGGATTCCATACAAAACATTCATAATGAGTACTTTACTAATCAATATTAGGGGGAGATGTGCGGGCCATTGAATTAGGTCTATTTTTGCATCCACCTTGAGAATGATCAAAAATACAATTATTTAACAAAGTGGTGCATTGACTATTATTAGTTTAATCTATTTTAGAAGCATCTGAAAATTGTTATTATTTATATTTAAATTATTAATCTTAATAATTGTACAAAAGTACCTGTCCAATAACAGTTAGTTCTATTTTATAGATTCAATTAACATTATATTATTTGATTAAAATTAGTTGACCATTTTGAACATCCAACTCCAGAAAATTCCTAATAATGCAAGAACCAACAAACACTTAAAATGATTTGCAATCATCATTTTATAAATGTCTACATATAACATTGATCTTGAAAAGAGAGTTCATTAATAATCTTTTACACATCCAATCAAGATTTTTGAATTTTATATAAGTTAGCATTTGAGCATCCACTTTGACATTTCTAATCAGAATCATACGATACATTCTTAATTCAAAGTGTACAAATAGTACTACTAGAATCAATTGGACAATATTCTATCTCTTATATGTTTTAACATAGATAATCTGCACAACCAACAGAATTCACATTAAATGTGCAATATTAACTTGCATTTTAGCATATTTAATGATTTTTGTAGTAAACTAATTTTAACTTATTTCAGTTTTAATCTTAAAAACTTATTTATACATTCTAGTAAAATAGAATTTCCTTCAAGCCGAAAACATCTTTCCTTATTATAATGTAATTCACAAAACTATTCTTTCAATATCTCTTCACATAATTAAAGTGTCTCTTAACATCCTCCCATTAATGACAATCTGTAATACTAAAATAAATTAGAGCATGATGACATTATCTTTATTCACATATATGTTAATATCTAACAAAATCTTATTATTCTATTGAATAACAATCAAATTGATTTACATATCTAATTGTATGTTTCAGGTCTAATTTTACATCTTCTATTTTGTAATGTATACTTAATTATATATTATACATTGATAGATTATACTTTACAATCACTTAAAATAGACCTACATTCATACTTCTTTGTAAAAGGAAGGTTTTCGCATATCTTTTCAACAAATTTATTATTTGTTGATCCCAAAAATAATTATTTATATTTGATTGGCTTTCCAAACATTAAAAATTATTAAGATATTATGAACATAATTCCATTTATTTAATACATCAGAAACCTTTTTCAGTTATTGTGCATCCCTCAAGAACCTCTAGGCTCACACTTTGTGACATTTGTACAATTTCTCAGTGTTCCAGTGATCCAAAAACAATGCTTCCCATTCTAATTTTTATTCGTACATCCAATCTTATCATTACATTTTAGCATTTTCACACAGTATGTTCCCTCAAATATACATTGATGAGATGATTCTGAATAATTATCCTTACCTAATATGCTGCAATCTGTAAAGTCAAAACATTATCCAAAACAAAAGCCAAATACTCTAATTTTCTACAATCTTATTAAGAATAACTATTGCATGAATTTAAATTATTGGTTTCTGTATTGTATGATTGAGCAGAATTCTAAATTCAATAATCATTCCACCAAATGCAAAATCCATTCACTTTAACTTCGAGCGTGTTTACAAACATATTTTTTTGAACTTTATACTCATTTCACCAACAATGATTCCTTTTAACATTAATTCATTCATATCCTAAATGGAGTCTAAAATTTCAAAGAGATCTTCTTACCTTTCATTTGATTGTATTGTTGATTATGATTTATATAATAAATGTTTTGATTAATGATTTAATTTTTTATTCCCATCTCGACTTATTCTTTTACACCTCCATATTATGAGCATTCTGCTTAGCATTCCAATCATTAAATTTTTTCCATTTAAAATCTAGAAGTAACATTTCAACTTGAAGGTTAAAAAACTTATATTAGCAAGATTTTTTCCTGTTTCTATTATTATTGTATGTTTTCATAAGGATAAAAGGAAATTATTTTCGAAAAATATGAATACTTCTATGATGAAAAATAATTAATTGTAGCTTATTTAATTATTATTCAAATTTTGTATTATTAGAGACTTAGATCAATAGAGAAATTGTAACTAATGAAACATTTGGTTAAATTGTGTCATATTTTTATAAAACTACACTTTAACTATATTTCTCCAAAATTATGGATGCAGAAGTTAAAACAGAGAAAAAAAGAACACGAGAAGATCGATAGCAACAGGATAAGAAATATACCAAACTATCAATATTACGATTAGTGGAGAAACTCAAATGTATTATAGTAAAGAGCATAAAAACAAATGATTTGATAGAAAAAACGTGATGGAGTACTAACAATGAAAAAATTGAATTAATATTTTTTTTTTCCAATTTACATCAATTAGCTAATTAATTTACTTCATTTATTTATTTCTTCACTTGCTGATCCTTCCAATGCTTGTCTATTAATGTATAATGAATAATTATTTGATTATTCCTTAATCAATTTTTTTTTCACTAAATATTTTCAAATAATTTTCCTTTTTTGAATTCAATAAACTATTATTAAGTAGATGTCTTTCCTAATTGCAATCGTATTTCATTCAGTATAAGTAGACATCATTTTACACAATAGATTTTTCTAATTCTCTTAATCTAAAGAATGATTTAGACCATTTATAAAGTGTTATGAGAATCTACGATGGCAAATGGTTATTGTGAATTATATAATTTTATCTAAAAGCTGAGTATAACAAATAGCATCTTCATTATATTTATAATTATTCAAAAAAGCTCGATATATTTCTATAGCTTTATTTGAAAATTCTTTTGAATAATAGGGACTTTCTAAATTTATAGAAGGTTTATTAATAATGTTTTTAAAAAAGGACAACTTATTATTATTATTTTCCATCTGAATAATTTAGTTTCAGCTTCCTTTTACTACTTTTTATAAAGTATCTCTTCTTGCATTTTCTCATATTTTAGTATTTTTCATGAGCTTTTTTCCTTTTTTGTTATATTTAGTATTTAAATTTTATAATAGATTGGAGGCTTTTTTCTGTTAATATTTGTGTATTTAATATTTTATGAAATATTTATGGAATTTAGTAAATTTTTCATATTTCATATCTATTCAAAGATAATTATTATTTTGATGGTTTTACAATCTATAATCCACCATTCTCTAAATAGAGATATTTTAATTAGATATCTGGAATTATGTTCTTGATTTTATAGATTAATTGCTTTTTTTACTAATTGATGTAATTAGAATTCCTTCTATTTAGTTTTAAATTACTTTTTAATATGATGCATCAGTTATGGTAACCATACCTGCAAAAGCTATAAGTAGTATTACTTTTGAAAGAAAAGAAATCGATTCATAATTATATTGAATATTAAATACTAATCAATTTTGTCTCAATTCATTTAAAATTTTTTTTTCTATAAATTACACTTGATGAAAATATTTTTTATCTCTAATTTAATTGGTTAGCAAAGAATAATTTGTTGAGATTTATGCTTGCTTATTACAATGTCTTTATTTTTCTTATTACCTCTACTACCTTATGGCTAAATTGTTTTAATTCTAATCATCTTTTACTTAAAAACTAATGGAATAATTTTGATTAAAATTTTATTTTGCCTATTTTAATTCAAATATGGTGCTTGATAACATTCTTAAAATTAAGTGTTTAATCTGCCTCAAAATTAAGTATCAAGTGTAATTTTATAATTTGAATATCAATAATATAAAAGGAGCCTTATAATTTTTTTGTGAATATTAAATTGTTAATTTAATTCTAATAAAACTTTTACATTATAAGATGCATTAATTAATTTAGCACATTAATTTATATTACTCGATTAATGAAATACAAACTTATGAAAGCATAAATTTTCATTAATGAATTAATATAAAAAAGAATTTTTAGAATCATTTTATTGAATATTTACTGTGTAAGCTCATATTTAAATAAATTGGCTAAGAAATCCAATTAAATCCATAGACTTCTTTATTTGAAATATTTTTATACACAAAATTCTAAGTTCTTTACACATCTTAATCTCTATCCTATTTGAAACTGTGTATATTGTAAATTAATTCAGCTCCCAATCTATTTTTTTACGATTCAAGCCTAAATTCTTTCATTTATAACTTTTCTATTAAAAAATTTAATAATATTTTGATAATTTATTAAAATAATAGTATCTTTAATCTATTTTTTCTTATCATTTTTGCATTTTCCACTTTAAGAATTTCTTCTTCAGTCTTCTTTTCTTTATTATGTTCTTCAACATCATAAAATAGAAATTTAGTCATAAAAATAATATATTTAATCATTTTAATAAATTATTTCTTGAATAAAATATTCTATTTACTTCAATTTCTAAAATATATTTTTAATCTTCGTTAAATATAAAAGAAGTCTTTAAAGAGAATTATATATAAAATTATTTAATGAATGTTAAATTCTGTATAATTAAACCCAAAAGATATTATTATCATATTATCATTTATGTTTCCAGTAATTTAAATTATATTAATGTATATTTAAATTTACCTGAATTGATTAAATAGATATATATAATCTTAATTTTTTAATGATTAACAATTTAAATTATATATATAATCAATGTGTAAAAGATGAGTAATTCAATCTATTTTTTATTTTTTAATGTATCCTGGAGCAAATGTGTAATCCACAAATAATGACCAACCATTAAATTCTTTATCCATTTTTTCCTTACTCCATTATGACAAAAATCATGCTTGAATGTATTTTTAATCTAATTTTTATTTTAATTCTTTTTCATTTACTTTTTATGATAGATTCTATTATTATGATATTTAATGTCCTATGGATTTTAATTAATTATGATGAATTTCTTTTACTTTTGCTTTGAAAGTGGTAATATTGAGAAAGTATGTGGGTCAGAAAGAAAAATGAAGGTAGGACAACATTTTATTAAAAAAATAATCAAATTGAAGCAAGATATAAAATTGTCAAGAATTAATTAAATATTTAAAACAACGATTCCACAATATTTTTGTTATAAAGCGAATTAAATTATAAGATTTAAAGAAAATTAATAGCTAGTCTGATGATATTGCTTTTACTATTAAATTTACTTGGACATCAGTCAAAACTATGCTTAATAATATTTCAATTGTCAACAATAATATTTATTGATAAATGTAGGTTTGAATTAATGATAATGATAAATATTAAAGCATTTGCACCTGAAAATGTTTTGTGATTTAATATCATATTGGAAATCTTCAGATTATTAATCAAAACTCGGATCTCATTTAAATAATTTTTATATAAAAAGAAACAATTGATTGGCTTTTTTAATCAATTTTATGATTTTACAAAGTCTAATTTATTTATCTAATTCCTAAATACAAACCTAATTTATTATCAATACTTGTGCTATATGATCATCTAAGATAATCAAAATGTAAATAATATTAGTTTATTTATGAATTCTAAACCACTTCAATTTGTAATATTATTTAATAAATACATTTTTCATTTTATTTCATTTTAAGATTTTTTTATAAATTTGATAAAATGAATCGAGCAATTCGTTATTACTCTAATAGTCAATAGAATCACCTTTAATATAATTATTAAATGTAACCCTACTCTAGACCAAGTAATTTAAATGCAATTAGATTTTAATAAGAGAAATAAAATTTTCACATTTAAAATGACTTTGAATAGAATAGAATTATAAATTAAGATAATCAATTTATTGAATAAAATAGAGATAATGAATTTATTGAATAAAATAGAACAAACATTTAATAGCACAACAATGTTTAAGAAATTACAAGAGATTTTATAAATAATAATAATAATAATATAAATAATGATCAAAATTAAAATACCCAAAAATTTGAATTTACAGAATAATACTTAAGACCAATTTATTTATTTGCTATTTTAGAATAAGTTATTGCTATTATATTAATCACTATTTTTTATTACATTAAAAGTCTTTAATAATATCTTATAGATTAAAATACACTTCAACTAAATAATATAACATTGTATTGCATGTTTATTCCCCTGTTTGTTCTTTATTTTATTATTTTTATTATATACCGAGGATCTAAAGTATAAATATAAATTAATTAAGAATCCACTTGAAGAATCCAATAAAATAGCAATATTAACCCACACTTTGATATTTTAATATATTATGATTTGTTTTGGCATAGTGTAGTTTAAAACATTGAATCAAGGATGTAAAATATATTCTTATAATTAAATAATTAGTCCTTTACGTTTAAATTACTGAGAGTCATATTGTTCTTATCCTAATTGTATTTTTTGTAAGGCCTATATAAAGTTTTAATTTGAGAAGTACTATTTTATAATCTATAAGGATATTTTTTGATTGTTATTGTATCAACCATAATATTAGTACTTTTTATGTCAAATTTTTTTTAAGATTTAAAATTTTGGTGGATGTTTGGGGTTCCTGTGATTGCATATTTTTTGTCCTTAAAATTTTAAATATGGTTTTGGGTAATTATAACCTTGTATATTTAGAACGATGCTAGTTAACGATTAGTTTTGATTCATAATTCCTTATCCTAAATGATGATTTTCGTTTTCATGATTCTAAGCTTATTTGAATGAATATTATATTTCATTCTATTATCTAATCAAGTTTTACTTAAATTTATAAATGATTATTTCAAATAAATATCCTAGATTAAAAAAGCCTTCGATTCTAAATAAAAATAATAATTCTTCAAATATATCAAAATAAAATTCTTTATACAGGTAAAAACTAACTTGATTTAAATTAGTTTACAATTAAATTTTGAATAGATTATTATCAAAGTGACATTAAGTTTAGAACTGTTGATTTTATATTCTCATCTACTTGATACTTAGTGTCTTAAAATATTCTGCTATTTCTATTTTAATGTTATCGAAAGTCGATTCTTTTTGATAAACTTTTCTCTAACGTCATTTAATAGGAACCTTGATGAAAAGGTGAAATCATCATTCGATAGCTTTCAATTTTGTTGATTTGATATAAAAAAGAGTAAAAGTTTGGCTACAAAAATAAAGATAGAAATCCTACCTAATTTAAGTTATTGGTTCTGCAAAATGATTTTGTATTTAAAGCTAAACCTAAATCATATATGATAACGCCCCTTAATAATTTATGCTTACAGGAATTTCGTTAGAGTCTTTCTACATAATATTTGACATTTCCTAAATAATTTATTATTTTTATTATATTTAAATAGAACTTTTTATGAACCAAAAATTGTCTTGAAAATTATTTATTGCTAAATTAAGCATATATGTTAAATTTATCACTATATTTAGGCTAGTAACCATTCGTTTACATAGATTGTTTTATTCTCAATAAATCAATTAATTAAATAACATTTGAAAAATTTTTTAAAATATTATTTCTATGTATTTCTCTTTTTTAAAAATCTTATATGGAAAAATTTTAAAAGAGAATTAATTTTTTTTGAGTTTGAATCATTTTCATTGTTGAATAAAAGTAAAAACTGAAAATTAAAAATCTTGATAAAAAATATTTATATATTCTTAAAATATTTCATTATATTAAATATATTTTTATAATAGATTGCCTTTGTACTATTTGCTTAGAGTAAATTTTAAAGCACAAGTAAATATTCTAAAACTCGTTGACATATTTTAAGCTAATTTTCAATCTTACATGAATTTATTCAAAGATCATCTACAAGTTTACGACCCATTTCTTTTTTTCATTAATAGAAAATTCAACCTTTTATTTAAAGAATTCAAATATTTCACTAACAATATGCTTTAACATTTGATATTAAAAATGAAATAAAAAAGAGAAACTGCTAAATTTAAAATTATCAAATAAATGGTGGTGTTTTGTAAAAATATAAAAAATATAATAATAACTAATTGGAAATCTTTTAAGGTAAAATTTTATATTCAGAAAAAAAGTAATTAACAATTTATTAATTAAAATTGTAAATTGAATGAAATTGGAAGCTTTGAAAAGTCCAATAAATAGTTGAATGAATTTAAAAAATAGTTTAAGGCACTAAAACCATTTGTTTAAAACGTGAAAAATAGAATAATAATCATTAAATTTTGATTATTTAGGTAAATTTTTTCAAATTAACTTGATAATAATTGTTTCATATATTTTTTAATATTCTGAGTCTTAAGACATTGTTTTAATAATTAGTAATTTTATTTAGAATTAATATATTTTATGTTTAATTAGAACGATTTCCAAATATAATTATAAAGATCCAAGTCTCAATAAACTTAAGGTAACTTAAGCAATAATCCTAAAATTAAAATATAATAAATTGATAATACAATTTATCACTTAAAGTAAACAGGGAGTACTTAAAATGTAAATTAATAAAAAGTTCCTTTTAAGTAATAAGCAATTGTTCCTTAAAATTATTAAATCTAATAGAATTATGCTTTGAAAAATTAAAAGTAACTTTAAAAAGAATAATTTTAACAATAATAAATTACTTAGAATCGATTTTGTATAGACCAATCTAAATCTTAATAGGAGCATAAAATAGCATCTGATGACTATATAGAAGAAGAAGGTAAACCTTTAGATATTAAAAGAAGCATTTCAGAAATTAGATAGAATTAATAGAAAAATAGTAACTATTAACAATTGGAAAATTAAAAAAATAAAGCAGAACAAAATATATTAAAAACCAATTTTAATAATTACTATTTGAAATAATAAAATACAAATATATAGTCCAAAGTTAAACCTTAAACTTCGAACCAAGAAGAGATTTCTCCAAATATTACAGATTCATAATTAATTTAATGGTAATCTGAGATTAAAGTTAATTTAAATTAATGCTATTATTGTAAGACTTTCATTTAAGAAACATATATTCAATTGAGTTGCTTTCATTTATTTCATATTATTTGTCTTAAGGAGTTTATTAAAAACTAAATATAAATTTATAAAGAAGTTTAGTAGATTTGTTGCTTATGTAAAAAAAAAATCACAAAAATTCCATTTATTGAAGTTTCTATTAATGAAAAATGGTAATTAGAAATAGTGAAAAAACAAGAAGAACTGATTTATCTTAAATATAAAAATCACTTAAAAAAATGTTAAAATAACAAATGTAACTTTTTTTGGATTATTGACAAATTTAGTTCTGATAAATAATGTGTTTAATGCACTAAATGAATAATAATAATAATAAAATATTAATAATCTATATATTTTTATAAATAGTGTTTACACAAATTTTGAACTCTATTATTTTTATATATTCTTATTTATTTTTTTTTAAGTATTAAAATTTCTTTATAATTTTTAGATAATAATCTAATTAATTAAAGGATCAGGTTTTTGAGAAATTTGATTTTATTTATAGGAGAATTTACGCTTCCATATATGATAAATAAGTTTACAGATAAATATTTATAGTGTAATAAAAGTATCAAGGAATAAAGATACAACTTCTCTAATTTTATAAAAATTTAGCAGCTATTATTAATAATATTACTTAAGCCTTTTCTTTCAATTTGTGAATCCAAGACCTTAAATCCTTTCTAAGTGAGCCATGAAAAACTAGAATTTAGGTTGTTATTAACATAAAATATTTATTATTAAGAGAATTTTTGTATAAATAAAACGGAAACGCATCCTGAGTAGGCATGTATAAATAAAATTATATTAAACATTTCGATTAGATAATTTCGTAGAACAAAATGACCTTGCCTACAAATTTAGAATAGTTCTAAAACAAAAAATTCTTCACAAATATGTTAAATTAATCTAGCTGTATTCATAAAAGCAGTGAATAGTAGAAATAAAAATTAATAAATGTACCAATAATATCAGCTTTGACTCAATACATTAAAAAAATTTTAATGAAACAGCTAAAAATAAATAATAAAAATATTGCATAAAATAGAACTATAACAAATAAAAAACAATAAATAAAATAAAAAATATAGCTTCTTATATAACTACCGAAAATATTAAAATTATTTTTATTGTTTGGATCATCTAATTTTTAATGCAACATTTATATCTGTATCATCTTCTCAATAACATCAACATTTAATGAAAAAAAGGAAAAATGTATGTTCATATTTATCCCAGGGAAATGAAAAGGAATCTTGATATTCTAATATATATCTTTGTTATTTCTACTTTGGTAAAGATTGTGCTTGCATAATAATGTCACTTGCTAGCTCTCTTATTTCTTGACTGCTTTCTGTGTTTTGCTGTTACCTCTAATATTTTTAAATATGACTTTGAAAAATCCAATTAAAAGTAAGCTTATAATTCCATTCCTTTTTTTTATTTAAATGTGTCTTTCATCAATTTATTTTTTTCAAGTTTATTTATTTTATTATTGCCTTTTTATTTTATAGCATTCCTGCGATAGCATTTTTCTAGTTGATTAGCTCTGTTATCAATCTATGTTTAAGCTTACAAGAATCAAATATATATAAATTTAATCAGCTTTATTGTCGTTTATAATTAAAGCCATTATTATTTATTTTTAATGCTTTTTAAATATTAATATATTTTGATCATTTTAATATAGACTCTTTCCATTATCCTAATTTAACTCCGTTTTAATACTCACCCATAATTATATATTTATTGTTTATATAGTCACTATAATAAAACCCATCTTTCTATTCTATCCACTTTCCAATTTTTTGTCCTTTCTCGTCATAATCTCCACCACCACTAATATTTAGATAAAGATCAAATAAATTATTACATTTTAACATTAAGCTTATCTTCCCCATTTTCTCTAAAATATATATCCCATGTTCCTTACTTTATTCCTTGATTATATTCTCCACTCCAAGTAGATTAATTTCCGTATCTAAATTTCTCACTTTATTCAACCCACTTTCCTATTTTACATCCTTAACAATCATACTCTCCACCACCACTAATAATTTAAGTTATTATTGCTTATTACATCTTTGATCTTTATTGATCCCAATATTAATAATATATTTCCCATAAACCTACTTTCACTCCTTCATTATTATACTCTCCCATCCAAGTAGATTAATTCAAATTTTCAAACCTAATACCTTACTCAATCCACTTTCCCACTTTATGTCCTTATTCATACTCTCCGCCGCCTCTAATAATTTTAATTATGTTTGTATTACATTTTATTCATTTTATCATCATACCTCCAAAATATCTCCCAAGTTCCTACTTTAACTCCTCCACTATATTCTCCAATTTGTAAAGATTAATTATCTATCAAAAATCCATCACACTATTCAACCCATTTTCCTATCTTAAATCCATACTCATTATACTGTCCACCACCCCTAATAACTTATAAAATATAGTTACACTTTATTATTATTACCTTTTAAATTACAATATATATCCCATTATCCAGTCTTTACTCCTTATTTATTATACTCTCCAGTCCAAGTAGTTTAATTAACAAACTAAAATTCTTCACTTTATTCAATCCATTTTCCAATTTTACATCCTTATTCATTGTACTCACCTCCACCACTTCAATATTATCTAAATTATGTTACATTTTATTAATTTTCCCATCAATTTTACATTATAACTCCCAAATTCCCACTCTTACACCTTATTTATTGTACTTTCCAATTGAAATGGATTAATTCCCATATCTGAACCTGTCACATTATTCAATCCACTTTCCAAATTTTCGTCCTTACTAATCATATTCCCCACCAGCTCTATCATTTATATTAATTTATTGATACATTTTTGTATTTTTTTCTCCATATTTCCAGTATATTTCCCATACTCCAACCTTAATTCCTTATTTACTGTATACTCCTCTCCAAGTGATATCAGAGTTAAATTTATCAAATTCTATCTCAATTTTATTTCCCATTTGGCAAATGCTAATATTTATTCTTAAATTAAATTTCTTTTCTACTCAATTTTTTCTTTATAATCTTAAAATTAATTTAAAGATTTATGAGGAATTCAAAATAGATTTTATGGACATTATTTGTTAATTATGCTTTTTTTAATTTAAGTTATCAATAGATTTTGAATTTATGAAAATTTAAAGATAATCATTCGATAAAACTATATTAGATTTATTCATATAAATAGATTTCATAAATAAATAACTTTTTTAAAACAAACTGTGATAATTAATAATTTGATAATTTAGTAACTAAAGAATAAAATATATTTGCTTATAATAATCTTTTTTTGTTAATATAAATTTAATTGCCTAATCTAACTTACTTGAACTGATAGAGTAAATTTTAAAACAACACCAATAAAAATAAAACCTGTTTATCTAATGTCAAATTTCCAAAATTACTAATTTAAAGGTATAAATAAAATGATTCAAATTTTTATATAGATTTTTAAATTTAAACTAATTTTTAAAGCATAAATGAGATGGTTGTATTAATTATTGGATTTTTTTAAACATTTACTTTGATAAAAAATGCATCATTAAGCCTTTGCAATAAAAATTATATCGACCTTTCTTCTTTTTATTAGAGTATAATTATAACTCCTAAGAGTTTATTTTCTATTAAAATTAATCATTCCTAACCATTCATATCCATACCTCATTTTATAAAATATATTCAAATAAATTATAATTAGTTTCCCTTTTTTTTTTTTTTTAATAATAATATATTTTATAAGGACTTTTATGCTGTGTATTAATCCTGGAGAATTTGTTGGGAATTGAGCCCTCTGTTTATGCAGTTGTAAATACTGATTAAACTATTTGTTATTACACAAGAAATTTTAACTATTTAGTAATACTAAAGAAAAAACTATTGAAATTTTTAATATACGTTAGCATAAGTTTAAATATCGTTACTGTTAGTGCTAATAATCATATTCACAATAAAGTAGCTAGATTTAAAAAGCCAGTTTGATTTCTATCTTTTCAAAAAAAATTTTTAGTTAACCAGTTTTCTTATCCATAAAATCTCTTTTCCGTTTTGAATTCATAATTTTTCAATTAGTAGAATCTTCTTAATTTTCTTTCTTCCTCCCAATTACTTTAGGATTTTATATGTTTTTATTTAATTTAATTATAAATGATTTATTTCTTTAAAACACTTTTGGTGCTACTCATTTTTATTCTTATAAATTGTATTTAATATGCTATTTAAGATCTCAAATCGAAAACAAATATTACACAATAATAGAGTTAATTTATAGTTTCTATAATAAGAATTCTTTGAATTATTTTAATGAGTCGTAATTTATGAATTATTAACTTATGATTCATAATTATTATTCAAATATTAAGCCAAATAAATAAATGCTGGAATGATTAGAAAAATTATAATCTTATTATGACTTTGATAAGTAAAATCAAAAATGATGAAAGAAAAAGAAAATTTTAATAATAGTGAAGTAGAATAATGTATAATGATGGATTTGTTGTTTAAGATAATTTAACTAAGATTTAAGAATTATACATCTTTATTGTTAAAAAGTATTATGATTTTGTGTTAAAACTTTTAAAATAACTAGAATATTAGGAAGATTAAATGACCTCAATAAATGAGCTAAAAAAAAGTAGTATAAAGGAGATAAGTTTATTAATTTATTAGTTAATAGAAAAACATTTAATGTGATTAAAAAGAATTTACAAAGAATTATATATTAAGATTCCTTGATAAAATAAAATGGTATTCAAATGAATACAATGATTTATCATAAACATTAAGAACCATTAAAAAATTTAAAATGGCACTAAAATCTTGGGACCATACTAATGCGAAAAGTAACCAGAGTGTTTAACAAATTTAAGTAATATCAAAAGATTTTAGCAAAAAGTTTAGTTATTTAATAAATTATTAAAGATCGCTTACAATATTGAATTAACTTAAGCACCACATTGAAAATGTATAATTATTGTAAACGACTAAATGAATTATAAAAAAAATTTTATCCTTATATAGCTTAAAATATGCTGTAAATACTCTATGGAATGTGATAAAAAAATGGAAAAGAAAATAAGGGATTCTCAAAGTATTACTGATAAAATTAAATAAGATATATATGCTAATGGTTCAAGAATGCTTTATTTGTTTTCTGAAAATTAGTTTAATGATTATATATTTTATAAAATTAAATATTTATTAGATTTAAAATCAAAATACCACTTCTCTAAATACAATTAATATATTTAATAATAATAATAATTCCGAATTTGAAAGAATATAAGCATTAGTATTATAAGTTAGGTAAATTTCTACAGATAAGTCAAATTTAAAATTAATGAGCCAAAAATTAAATTAACAAAAGTTGATTTATTTTCTGAACGATAATTAAAAAAAAAAACAGACTTCACACTAAAAATAATTTAGGAGGAGTAGAACTTCTCAATAAAGGAGCTAAAATAATTATGAAAAAAATTTATCTATTTCAAACAATTAGTTAAAGCTCTAATAATTAATGATAAATTAAAAGCAATAACTAAACTCTTAGGAACTACTTTAAAATAATTAATAAGAGTAAGATGATTTTTAACAAAATGATTTGAGTGAATTAATTAATAATATAATTAAACATCAATCATTAAATAAAACTCTTAAGTATTATTTTCATAAATAATTAACAACTGATTTTATATAAATTATTAAAATTAAATTTTTTCTAATAATAACTTCAATTTCCATCCTTTTGATAATAATGAGAGTCCATTTAAATTCAGTAAATATATTAAGATTGTATAAAATAGAGAAAAATAATTGGTTCGTTGGTGATTTAATAAGGTATTCAGTAAAATAAAAAAAAACAAAAAATTTATCATCATAACAGTAAGAAGCACTATTATTGTTAAATAAATAAAGTATAAGATAAATCAAATTAATTAAATAAAACATAAATTTATAGAACTAAAGAATATACATGTTAAATTATCAGATAAATGACTGCCTGATGGCTAAAGAAAATTTTTTTAATTATTTAAAATGCATCGCATAATATGGATAATGGAAAGAGGGTAAAAATGAAGATGAAAATGGAACATGTATACACTTAAACTTTAATATTTGGAGATATTTACAAATATATTGCTTTTTAAAAATGGTTAATTTGATAGTCAAAGAACTGCCTCTTTGAGTAAAGAAAATAATGTTTTAAGAAAAGTTTAATATAAAAAAGATTTTCTCCAATTTGGAAACATCATATTAATTTATAAAAAGAAATAAAATAAGGAATAGCTGAAAAATAAGAAATACATTACAAAAAAGAAAATGAAAACTAAATAATTAAAGATTATGATTTTTTTATATTGCTTCCCTAGACTAGAAAGATTCTAAGAAATAAGGCTGAAAACAAATGAATCTTTGTTAAATAGAATAAAATAATAAAATTATAATATTTATAGAGTTAGTTATTATATATTTTAAATGTAAATATATAATAATGATAAATTTTTTAAAATCATAAATTTTAATTGGAAAAAATATGAATGATAAATCAAATAATAAAATTATAAATTAGTTTTATTCATTAATTTAATCAGCTATTTTGATTTCTAATATCATTATTTTTATTCTTATAAATAATCGTTCATATTTATTTCTAATATTAAACTATATTTCACATAATCTAATTAACACTACAGTTTGAAAATTTATTAATAGTTTCAATTTATAATGAATTCAATAATATTATATTCAGCCTATTAATCTCTAATGATCATTTCACTAATCTTATAATCTAAATAATTTTCTTTGAATGGTTCTAATTATTAGAGAAAATATTCAATGCAAAATATCTTCATGAGATCCTAATTTTCTCTACTAAAGTTTCATATACCATAAAATTAATTTTATTCTAATCTTTCCAAGTCTCAATAAAACTTATTTTAATTTGAAAAATTTAATTATATGAGGTTCCATTAATATAAGATCAAAATATAAAGTATAGACATAAACTAAGAGTGTTTTATAAATATAAATCTATTTCCTCATTTTCATTTATTAACAACTTCTTTGCTTTGATACTGGTTATTCTCTGATATTATAAATGTTATCCAACTTTAGAGATGATTATAAATTATCCAAATTAAGCAAATTGAATAAGATATATATCTAAAGCTCATAAAATTAGACTTCTCTTTAATTGATTTAATTACATCTAATGTATTGTTATTGAGTTTGACTTATTTGTCATATCTTCTATTATAGGTTGCATAGACCTTTGGAAACTCATTACACTTTTATTTAATCCATCATTATTATTGCTGACTAAATATTTGGTTTTTAAATATATATGTTTTCAATAGATATTTTTATTACATTACTTTAAAAATAGTGTAAATATTTTCTTGAATCTTCTTTATAATGACTTTATTAACAGTGCTTTTTCTCTCTTTAAGAAAGTATATTTCATGAATACTTCCTTTTTTATATCTTTTCAATAAAACTTCCCTCCTAGTTAATAGCTTTAGTTGTCTAACAATTCTGAGGTTGATAATTCAGAATCATGTAAATTTATAATATCAAATCCATCAATTTAAACCTAAATAAAATATATAATAATTCATAATAAATAATGTTTAAATTAAAAATGATAGAAAATGTATAAGATCTTGATTGTCAGATGAAACATAAATATCCTATAGCTCAGGTTGTCTTAGATCCTTAACTACAACAAAATTAAAGACTCCTTTGCTAACAATGTATTGCTGATTATGAAACAAATGCCAAGACTATTGGATTTAAAAAAGTTATCCAAGATATTGAATATAAGAAAAAGAAGTCATTAGAAAGCATAGAGTATCTAATCAAATAATATATTAATAATATTAAGTCATTCTAAACTTAAATCGGTACTTTGAAGTCAAACATTATTGAATAATTAGATCATATGATTGATTATACAAAATATTGGATATTAAATTTAAAATCCACAGGTTCATAGTATTTTGAGTATAGTTTGTTTAAAGAGTTAGATTTACTAATCAATTAATAATCAACTCAAAATGATTACATTAATTTAAGAAATCAAATTAAAAATCTAAATGATTGTTGGAATACAAAAATTAATTCTAAACTTGAAATATTCAAATCATTTCAAGTATATCAGCAATGTAAAAATATATTAAACAATTTAATTGAATTATCTTAAGATTTATAATAAACAAACTCTAGTCCTGTTATTTAGTAAAATATCAATTCAGTTACAGAGTAAGACAATTAAGTCTATAATAATTTAATACCTTAATAAAATTATTAATAAAGTTTCAGTAAATTAAAATTATTTGGTAACTCTATAAAACAATTAGATATTTGTAATGCAATTGTATTTGATCAAAAAAGTAAAATTATGGTATCAACTAGTAAAAATGATATTAAAATTTGGAATTTCAATAATGGAATAATTAAATAAATTCATTCTCTTTAAGGACATTCAAAACAAGTTAAATGTCTAGTTTATAGCTAAATTAATAATTATTTTGTTTCTGGATCTGTTGATGGTTAGATTAGGATTTGGAAATATTACAATGATACTTAATGGTAAAGTTCTATACCATAAAATGAACATAAGGAGGATATTTATGATATAATCTTAACATAAAAAGAGGATTAATTAATATCATGTAGTTAGGATTAATCTATTAAAGTATGGATGGTAGATATCAACAAAAACGAATTAAAATTTCTATAATCTTTAGTTAAGCATATTGATGGTGTTTGTTCATTAAGCTTAAATCGATCAGAGAAAGTATTGGTATCATGTGGTCTTGATGCTAACATAATAATTTGGAAGAAAAAAACAAATACTGAGTGGATATTTTAATATGTTGTTAATTAATCAATATAAGAAGTAGGATCTCATGTTAAGTTTCTAAGGGAAAATTAATTTATTTGGTTATCACAGGTGAGTAATACTATATGTGTATTTGAAACTAAATAAAGTGATTTTTATCAAGAAAGCACAGAGAAAAGAGTTTAATTTCGTAAAAATTTTGAAGGTTATTCTAATTTAGAAGGGTTTCCAATTATTTATAATCGTTTTAGAAATATTATCTGCTTAAGACATATGTGTCATATTTGTATACTTGAGGAGCAAAATGATGGATATTTTTCAATTGTTGAAGAATTAGATTGTCAGGATTGGTCTATATAAGGAACCATAACAAATGATGGATAATATTTAGTTTTATGGGGAGATGAAAAGAAGATATATGAAACTTATAAAATATTATACTAATGATATTAATTAAATTTTATTTGATTCTAAATTTTGAATAATACATTTACAAATTAATTAAGAAATATAAGATAATTTAATATACTGAAAAAAATCAAAATGAAAATTCAAGATATAAAAAAGATTGTCCTTTTAGTTGTCCTTTTTTTCATTAACAAAAACCTTATTAAAAATAGCATGGAATATTTTTATACATAAATTTTAATTTTAGATATTAATAAAACAATTATTTAGCAATAAAACAAAGCTTTTCTAATATTATTGAAAATAGCTCAAATATCTGATCTTTAACTTTCTGTTTTGGATTAATTAAATAATATTTTTTCATTTATTCTTTAACTTAACATATTAAAAAACTAAAATACATAATTTCTTATCAATCTGATTTTATAGAGTTAAACAGGATTCAATTAGAGAAAATCTGCTTAATTAATTGAGTTGTTTCTCTAAATTTCAAAAATTCAATCCATCAAAAAAAATAGCTCCTTTATAATCTGTATATTAAAAAGAGTTTGCTAAAACTGTTATTTTATTTCTGAACTGATATTAAATTGTTAATTAATAACCTACAATAAATTTGTTGATGTTTCATTCATATTTTTATTTCATTAGATTTCAAATCAAAAAGTTATGTTTGTTTTTTAAAGGCTCTATACTGATTTAACTGCAATTTCCAATCTTTTCGGTCATATATAAATCTGATTGCTCTTATTTGTTTTAATTATTGAAAATTAGTTTCAACAATTTATTTATTAAAATTCTATTCTATAATTTATTAATTAAAAAATGTCTTTTGAGATTAAACCCTAATATAATTTATATTATTTTAGGAATTATTTCTATTAAGATTTAAATTACAATATAGTTAAATTAAATATTTCTCTTCTATTTTGATTAAATAAATGGTATAAATCAATTACTTTCTTGTTAAAAATATCCAAATAATTTAAACTTATCAATTATTAAATTCTTTTCTAATAAATTTATATATTAAGCTAGATTTTTTAAATTGATTGCAAGACTTGCTAAATTTCATTTTAGCTAACAGAAACTTTTCGATTGCAATTGATTTCTCCCCTGATATCTAAACTATAAATCACACTTATGTTAAAGAATAAATTATAAGATATTAAAAATAATGACAATGATCATCAGATTAATCAATATAACACGACAAATCAACTAAGTCATCCAAAATTAAAATGATAATTTAAAATATTTAGTAAATTTTGATAATTTTAAAATAAAAATTATCAATAATTTACAGTATTAAATGATCCTAATTTGAGATTTCAATCTTTCTTTTCTTACTTTTAAAATTATCAAAATCTCAGATTTTTCAAATAATTCTTTTATTGATAATTTATTTGAATTTTTACATATGAAACCAAAATTTTATAATATTAGTTGTCTTTTGACTATTTTCTTCTCTCTTATATCAAGATACTGAAAATAGATCTTTTGTTTTAACTATCAATTTCAAGAATTTTTTTTTTTTGGATCATAAAAATATTTTTAATTTTAAAAGAACTTTTGACAACATCAAAAACTATAATAAAAAATCCCCTTAATTTTCTTTAAAAATCAATCCATTTTTTTATTTGGTTTTGATGATACCTCAATAATAATGTATCCATAAAATTTATTTGGTCAGCCTAAATATATTAATAAATTAATAAAATATACAAATAACTTACATTATCGATTAAATTTAAGAAAATCTTATTATCATAATTTCATCGAATAAAAAAATCAAATTTTGGACTATTTATGAATATAAATATAAAAATTGATTTTGGTCTTGCGCTTAAACATGCATCCACTGCACACGATTATTGTAAAAAATGAGCTATGAAAATATTGCCTAGAATGAATGAATGGTTACTGGCCTAAATATACTGACAAATTTAACATAAATTTTTAATTAAGCAATACTAATTAGAAATTAGTTAATTTAGAATTTACGTCAATTATTTATTAATAATGATTAAGTTTTTATAAAATTAGTGTTGGTTATGTGATATTTAACACAAAGATAATAAAAGGATGCAAATAACAATAATTTTTAATTTAATATTAAAACTGCATTAAATAATCTATTAATTAATTAACCATAATAAATCATCTAAATAATTAATTATAATATGTATAGTGAATTGAATAAATTAAAAATTAATTACTTTTCTTTTTATTTTGAAATACCTTTACTTCTTATAGAAATGTTAAATAATTACTACAATAAATTACTAATTCAAAAATATGAAAATCGTTACCTTGAAGTATGTTTTCTTTCTACTAATTATCATCTTATCATATCTTGTAATTTTACTAAATTAGGAATGAACTTTTTAGTCCAATTTTATTTAGAAATTTATTTATTGTATTGATGTTATCTTTCTACTGCTTCAGCACTTTGTTCTAATTGTTTTTCAGAAATAAATATAGAAATATATTCAATTATTTAGTTCTAATTAGATCTAAGAATTCTTTATATATTTAAAAGGTTTACACTTAAAGTTGTTAAAAAATAATCTCCTTAAGAAGAACTTTATATAGTAAAGGAGTTTCAATTGATAAATTTTAAGAAATATATTTAATTATTAGTTTTTTTTAATAATCTTCCAAAGAATATTGAAGCTTATAAACAAAGAAATCGCAATACTATTTTATCATCTTATATTTGATCAGCATGCTATCCAATTTAGAACTCTAGCATAACACAGGTAATCCCTTTAAAAGCAAATAATTTACAAAATTTCTTACATTTTGGAATTTAAAAAATAATGAAAAATGAGATTGTGATATTCTTATTCATATACTATTCTACAATAAAAATATTATATAATAATACAATTTTCTATAGTTATATATAAATTTTAAGAAATCTCATCAAGTAAATTGTATATTTTTAATCAGAAATAATAATCAAGACTATTAAGAATAAATGAATAATATTGTAGAAATCGATGATTTTTATGAATCAGTTTTTCAAAGTAGTATGTATTAATTGTTTACAAGTATATTTTAAATGATGTATAAATATAACATAAATTAAACAAATAAAATAGGAATATATTATAAAAATAACAAAATAAATAATTAATTATAAAATCTTAAGAACTCTCAGATTCTATCAGAGAGTAATCAAACAAGAAAAAATTGATACAAAATGAGAACGAAAAAAAAATAAATTGAAAACCAGAAGAAGTTTCATTTTGTGATGAAAAAATAAGAATAAATGTTTCTTTGATTAAATTGAAATAAATTTTATTAAAAACGACACTTTTATATAAAACAATAAAATTATTGCTCAAATTTACTTGCAACTCTTAGATTCATTTTATATTAACAAAATTGTTCTTTTCATCCACCTATAATCAAAATATATTGATCTCTTTATTTTTTGCTTTTTAAAATTTTTATCATAAGTTGATTTTTTTATTTGAAATTAGATAAGTTTTAAAATCGCTATAATTATTTTTTCTTTATCCGCTAGCTTAATACTATATTTTAAATATAAATATCAATTGAAATAATTACTCAATTTTAAAAAATTCATTAAATAAGTATATATGGTTAATTAAAAATAAGAATTACTTTTTAATTTTCTAAAGAAGCAAGTTTAGGTTTAAAATACAGTAATAAATGTTAAATATATTTTTATTTAAGATATTTATATAGAATTCCGATTATTAATGTTTATAGACTTTTGTTTAATAAAATTTATTAAGAAATAACCACAAAAAATGGAAATCCTGTTTTGTTGTTGCAATTGTTGCTGTGCAGATACTTATGAAGAAAGAAGTGGATCTGTAGGAATATTTATTTGCCTATATTGCTGCTATAAAGGCTATAGAGAGAACATTTCTGGTCACAAGAGAAGGACTTATAGATATTTGAACATAGTTCTTATATTAATGTTGTCAATAGTAGCAGTTATATTGGCAGCTGTTATATAAAGTACAAATTCAGCTTCTACTTCTTAAATGAAAAATATACTGGAAAATTGGTAGCAAGGAGTCTTACTTGAAATTCAATTATCTACATCATGTCCAACAAATTATGAAATAATAAGTATTTATGAACTACCAGGAACATCAGAAGGATGTATATGTTTACAAGATAAAGAATTATTTGCTTCAACTTGCACAGACTGGTAGTTACTTAATAGATGTTATAATTTTAAACCAAAAAGTCCTATCTATTTAAAGAATTGGGTTTAACCTTTAGATGATTCTTTTTAGGAGGTTTAAATTTGTGGAAAAAGATCTTAATTAAATTTTTATGATCTATTATAAAATTAAATTACTACAGCCTAAAATTGTAAAGATAATGGTTACAAAGTTTGTTAAACTTAAAATCCTAATAATTTTTATTGCGTTCTTTAAGAAGAACCATGTCCAATACGTGATTTCAAAATTTCTAGATATGAATTATCACATAAAGAATTAGAATTAAATGGTTATAATTTAATTTATAGTAATGGTTTCTATGCATACACTAGTCAATCAATAGAGAAAACTCCATTGGTAAGTATGACTATTGTAAAAGGTAGAGGAGTTTGTTTTGATCCATAAAAAATTAGTTTAAATCCAAAGCTAGACTAAGATTATTTCTTGTTATCTCCAAAACCAGAAAATTGTGAAATAGATAATACTTACTTTTAAGTAGCAACAACAACTGAAAAAGAATTCTTTTATTTCAACGAAATTGAAGCTAAACTTTAATCAGAAAGACCTTTATATTCAATAGGTGATACTATTGAATATTAATTACTTGCTTAAAACTAAATATAATATAAAATAGAGTGCAGACTTAATAAGTAACAAACATTATTATTAATAGTTTTTAATAAATTATTAATCTAGGTTAAAGATTTGACTCTTAAAACACATTAATTACATGCTAATTAGTATTTGCATGTATTTTATTTTTTTTCATGTTTTTTTTTTCTATTTTTGAAGTTTAGCCTTGTATACAAAAGAATTGTAAATTGTGCTATTCCAAGATATATAATATAATCAAAGAAACTTCAATATATTTACTTGCTATAACTGTAATTTTTAGTTATTCCTACATGATAGATTTGGTAGAAAATTTAGAAGAATAAATTTCAAGAAATTGTTTCTTAGATAGTGCTTAAGAGAGAATGAATTCAGTATATCGTACAATGGTGGGTACTTCTTTATCACTTTCTTATTGTCTCCTAATAAATATGGGAATAATCATAATTATTGACTTTGTTATGACAACCTTTTTATGTTATAAAATAATGAAGAAACGTAAAGCATTAGGAACTTCAGAAAATAAAAATTAAAATAAAAATGAAAAAATCTATTAAAATAAAGAATAAAATCTTAATTAAAACTTGGATTATGCAACAAATTAAAATTTTATGTAAAACCCTTATTTACAATAATAAAATTATTAAACTGCTGCTCCTTAATGTTAATATGGCCTAGCCCCATAAATATAAAATTAATAATTTTAATAGAACCAGAATCATGTTCAATAATAAATTAGAATTGAAAGTTAAAAGGAACCATAAGTAAACTAACAAGAATAGAAAGTTAATATAGACAATCTTATAAATCTTAAAGGAGATAAACAAGTAGTCTAATGAAGAAATAGATTGAATTTATATGGTAAATTGCAATCAATAGAAAATACATCGAAAACATTATACTTCTAAAATATACCATATTCCTTGAACAAAAAGGACTGTTCTCTTAATTTCTAAGTCGCTTTTTTTTTAAATTCTGAAATAATTTGTTTCTTAATATAATTATTTATGCATAAATGATTAATTTCTTTATCATAAGCCTAAATTTTTCAAACAAAAGAAGATTATTAAGGCTAAAATCATTTTTTTGCTTGATACTAAAGTAAAATAAATAATATAGATAATTAAATGATGGCAATCTTGTTATTTTTGCCTCTTTCTTCTAATAGTTTTATTTTGTTCCTTTTACAACTTATAATCAAATTTTTAATTCTCATTGTATTATAATACCATATTAAACTCATTTGCATCATCTAAACTGGTAGGGTAGTCAATATTAAAAAATCTAGATATTTCTCATTAAAAAAGAAATTTAGAATTAGTTGAAACATGAAAGATTTAACAATTAAACAGTATACTCTTTCTACAATCCTCACAGAATGCAAAATTTCAAATACTTCAATCAGATTTTTAATGAATCCAATGAAAATAAGTAGATTTAAATAATAAAAATATTATATTCTATTTATTATTTTGAATATATCTTACCTTTAAATTAATAATTGTCAAAAATTTTTCATTTTTAAATAAAAAGAGTAGATAAATATTTTTCTTTTTCGCTTTGGAATGGCTCCCAAACATCAAAATGAAAAAAAATATTTTAAAAGGATGCTTAAAGGAATAATTAGGAGTTTTTTATATTCAAAATTAATCATTTAAATTTAAAATGAAAATAATATGAAATTTATCATTAAATAAATATGTTGCTATGGGAACTTATTGATTATTTTAAGAAAAAAATAATAATAAAATATTGTAGATATCATTCACAAATGAAGGCTGTGTATAAAAAACTAGTTAAAAGTTCAAAAAATTGGAATGTTCTTGATGTTAAATCTATTCAATTCTTTAATACGAACGATAATTATATAATTAATGATGAATTAATAAAAGTTTAATGAAGGACATATTTGAACATTTGATGAAAATATACATTTCTTGATATAATTCAAAAAATTTTCAAAAAAAATATTATTGATTATGAAAGTCAAAGATTTTAGAAATATTTCTTGTTTTTGAAATATTTTAGAAAATTTAAATCAAATAGTTTAGATGTTGAAAATGAATAAAGAACGATACTTAATTATTTTTATTTTGAAAATTAGAAAACATTATTTTATATGAATCTAAAATATGTCTTGTATATGAATCTAAAATATGTCTTGTATATGAATCTAAAATAAGAATTATGAATTAAATAGGTCAATCAGAATATTTTTCTTCATTCCAAAATTAATTTTTAATAGTTTTGAGATTTACATCATCTAATTTCCAAACATCCATTGCCAAATTCCTAATTATTTACCCTTGACATATTCACCACTCATATTTACTTAGCCATACCTTTTAAATAAAAATAACAATACTCATAAAATCCATCAATTAATTCATCTAAGTACTGATCTCTTACTAAATCATTATCATATTATCCACCCCCTCTATTAATCATAGAAAAAAAAGATATAAATTGTAAAATATTAAAATATTTACATTTGTTCGTTCTTATAAAATATATCCCATCTTCCAACTTTTTTCCCATTTTAATATTCCCCTTTATAAATAACCTAACTTTCACTAATAAAGATATTCAATAGTTGACAATACCTATTAAATTTATCACTCAACTCTATCCATTTTCCAATCTTAATTGAATATATATCAATTCCTATAATTTTTTCAACATATGAATCACCACCACGAAATTAAAAAATTTAAATGAAATATTTTCTTACATATATTCATTTTACTCAGTTTCTTAATTATTATAATATATATCCCATTTACCAACTTTGTAACCATTTAAATATTCACCATAATATGTCACTTATTTATCTCTAATTAAAAACAATGATTCAATACCTCCAAAATCCATCAGTTAATTCAATCCATTGTCCATTCTTAAATGAACCTAAAACAGAATTATCTTCTAACTATTTATAGTATCCTCCTCCACTAAAATAGATTAAACTATGAAATAATGGTTTACATTATTTAAAAAGATTAATTATCAGATATCCTGTACTTTATATCCCAAAGACCAACTTTTTTACCATATTTATACTCACCAATATTGATAACTTAACTCAAACTAAATAATAAATATTTAATCAATAAATTTACTTCCAAAATCCGTCATCTGGTTCTATCCATCTTCCTATTTTAATTGAATCTATAAAATTATTCTATTGATCATAAAATCCAAAAGCTCTAAATTTTCATAATAATTAAATTAATTATAATTCTTTTGTTACATTAATTTAAATGACTTATTTGCATTCCTTTTATACAAAATATCCCAGATACCATATTTCTTACCATTAATATATTCGCCTTTATAAATAATAAGACTTATGCTAAAAAATAACTATAAAAATATCTTCTACTTTTAAAAGTTTTAACTTAATTCAATCCATCTTCCATTTTTTTTACCTTGATTATTATAATTTCCTCCTCCTCTAAAATATAATTGATTCAAAAATACATTTATTTATTATCATATATAAACTTTCATGTTCCTCTTCTCTGATTATTGATGTATTTTCCAACTTCATAGATTTGAACATCATTCCTAATATAAATATTTTAATATTTTGAGAACCCTTAATAATTTTGGCTTAACTCCTTCCATAAACCTTCTTTCTTTCCAACAATAGAGTAATATCCACCAACATCTTCAAGGGTTATTTAATTCCAACTTCCTGTCCATCTATCAACTTTTTAAGAGTTCTATCCGTAATTTCCACACCATTAAAAATATTTAATCTATTCTAAATTAATTAATATTTCACTCATTTACAATTAATCCTTTACTTATTCACTTGATATTAAATAAAAATATACATTCTTATAATCTATCCATTTTATATGTAACTTACCTCTTTTTCTTCATTAAATTTAATTAGGATTGTGATCTTTTTAAATTTATAGTTAAGAGAATCCCATATTGTACATTCAATTTATTCAATTTCCCTATGCTATTAATCTTCTAATTCAGTTTATTATATTCAAAGACAATTAAAAATAACTTTGCNATTTAAATGAAATATTTTCTTACATATATTCATTTTACTCAGTTTCTTAATTATTATAATATATATCCCATTTACCAACTTTGTAACCATTTAAATATTCACCATAATATGTCACTTATTTATCTCTAATTAAAAACAATGATTCAATACCTCCAAAATCCATCAGTTAATTCAATCCATTGTCCATTCTTAAATGAACCTAAAACAGAATTATCTTCTAACTATTTATAGTATCCTCCTCCACTAAAATAGATTAAACTATGAAATAATGGTTTACATTATTTAAAAAGATTAATTATCAGATATCCTGTACTTTATATCCCAAAGACCAACTTTTTTACCATATTTATACTCACCAATATTGATAACTTAACTCAAACTAAATAATAAATATTTAATCAATAAATTTACTTCCAAAATCCGTCATCTGGTTCTATCCATCTTCCTATTTTAATTGAATCTATAAAATTATTCTATTGATCATAAAATCCAAAAGCTCTAAATTTTCATAATAATTAAATTAATTATAATTCTTTTGTTACATTAATTTAAATGACTTATTTGCATTCCTTTTATACAAAATATCCCAGATACCATATTTCTTACCATTAATATATTCGCCTTTATAAATAATAAGACTTATGCTAAAAAATAACTATAAAAATATCTTCTACTTTTAAAAGTTTTAACTTAATTCAATCCATCTTCCATTTTTTTTACCTTGATTATTATAATTTCCTCCTCCTCTAAAATATAATTGATTCAAAAATACATTTATTTATTATCATATATAAACTTTCATGTTCCTCTTCTCTGATTATTGATGTATTTTCCAACTTCATAGATTTGAACATCATTCCTAATATAAATATTTTAATATTTTGAGAACCCTTAATAATTTTGGCTTAACTCCTTCCATAAACCTTCTTTCTTTCCAACAATAGAGTAATATCCACCAACATCTTCAAGGGTTATTTAATTCCAACTTCCTGTCCATCTATCAACTTTTTAAGAGTTCTATCCGTAATTTCCACACCATTAAAAATATTTAATCTATTCTAAATTAATTAATATTTCACTCATTTACAATTAATCCTTTACTTATTCACTTGATATTAAATAAAAATATACATTCTTATAATCTATCCATTTTATATGTAACTTACCTCTTTTTCTTCATTAAATTTAATTAGGATTGTGATCTTTTTAAATTTATAGTTAAGAGAATCCCATATTGTACATTCAATTTATTCAATTTCCCTATGCTATTAATCTTCTAATTCAGTTTATTATATNATTTAAATGAAATATTTTCTTACATATATTCATTTTACTCAGTTTCTTAATTATTATAATATATATCCCATTTACCAACTTTGTAACCATTTAAATATTCACCATAATATGTCACTTATTTATCTCTAATTAAAAACAATGATTCAATACCTCCAAAATCCATCAGTTAATTCAATCCATTGTCCATTCTTAAATGAACCTAAAACAGAATTATCTTCTAACTATTTATAGTATCCTCCTCCACTAAAATAGATTAAACTATGAAATAATGGTTTACATTATTTAAAAAGATTAATTATCAGATATCCTGTACTTTATATCCCAAAGACCAACTTTTTTACCATATTTATACTCACCAATATTGATAACTTAACTCAAACTAAATAATAAATATTTAATCAATAAATTTACTTCCAAAATCCGTCATCTGGTTCTATCCATCTTCCTATTTTAATTGAATCTATAAAATTATTCTATTGATCATAAAATCCAAAAGCTCTAAATTTTCATAATAATTAAATTAATTATAATTCTTTTGTTACATTAATTTAAATGACTTATTTGCATTCCTTTTATACAAAATATCCCAGATACCATATTTCTTACCATTAATATATTCGCCTTTATAAATAATAAGACTTATGCTAAAAAATAACTATAAAAATATCTTCTACTTTTAAAAGTTTTAACTTAATTCAATCCATCTTCCATTTTTTTTACCTTGATTATTATAATTTCCTCCTCCTCTAAAATATAATTGATTCAAAAATACATTTATTTATTATCATATATAAACTTTCATGTTCCTCTTCTCTGATTATTGATGTATTTTCCAACTTCATAGATTTGAACATCATTCCTAATATAAATATTTTAATATTTTGAGAACCCTTAATAATTTTGGCTTAACTCCTTCCATAAACCTTCTTTCTTTCCAACAATAGAGTAATATCCACCAACATCTTCAAGGGTTATTTAATTCCAACTTCCTGTCCATCTATCAACTTTTTAAGAGTTCTATCCGTAATTTCCACACCATTAAAAATATTTAATCTATTCTAAATTAATTAATATTTCACTCATTTACAATTAATCCTTTACTTATTCACTTGATATTAAATAAAAATATACATTCTTATAATCTATCCATTTTATATGTAACTTACCTCTTTTTCTTCATTAAATTTAATTAGGATTGTGATCTTTTTAAATTTATAGTTAAGAGAATCCCATATTGTACATTCAATTTATTCAATTTCCCTATGCTATTAATCTTCTAATTCAGTTTATTATATTCAAAGACAATTAAAAATAACTTTGCTTACTTCTATAACAAATTGTTTTTTTCCTTTTCATTTAAGCTACCTGTGAAGTTGTTCATATATCAAATTGATATTAATTTAAACTTTTTCTAAAGAATTTATTATAAAATTCATTTTTATACATTTTTTATTTTTCTATCACTCTCCTTTTCTTTTTTTATTATATGAAATTTATATCTACATGAATGATTTGAGCAGAAATTTTTAGAATAAATTCATGCTGTATTTAGTAATTTACAAATAAATGCCTTAACGCAGCAATTAAATTATTTTCTTTAATTATATATGAGTGGATTAAGCAGCAATCATAAAAAAATTGAGAATTCTACTTATATATATTATCTTTTATATTAATTTGTTCAAATATTAAATATTTAATTCCTAAACAAAATTTTAAATAAATAAATCATAGATTGTAAAAAATTGAGTTAGGTCATTCACTAGCAATAGTTAATATATAATAATAATTTTATTGTTTTATATCTACGGATTGTGATTTTTTTTGAAGAGGCTTAAAAAATTAGAAGACACATTAATTATTTACTATTAGCTATATAAGATAGTATTTAATCACAAATAAATAGAAAATTGATACTCAATCGATGCATTTAAACTTCTATTTTCATATGTATATGTATTTTATAAATCTATCCGCATGTATATCTTTCATTTATCTGAGTAAAAAAAAATTTTTTCTTCTTAACTATTTACTCTCCTGTTTTTACTTCCTTGATATATCAAGTCTCTTAGTGATATCTCTATCATGACCCTTATTAATTAAGTAAGCTTAGATTGGATTTGCCTCTATTAACTTCACTTTCGAAAAGTCTTGGAGCGCGCTATCTTCCAAAAACTTTGTACTATGCTTTTATAATTTTTAATTAATCGATTTAATTTATAACCATTTTATTTAATTAAAAATAATACAAGAATTTTAATATTAAATCATTTTTATATTATTTATAAGTAAGGATAATTAATATTAGTAAATAATAGGAATGGCTTAATTTGGAAATCAAATATATTATAACTAGCAATAAAAATAATTATACCAAATCAAGCAAATGATTAAATTTTAATCCTACTCCACATTGGTACTTATTATTGACTAACAACATTTCAATATATTGAATCCTAATTATTTTTAATTCTCCTAGCATAAATTGAGTGAGTTGATAATTATATTAATATTTCTCATCAATACTTATGGATAAACAATAAAAAAAGTACTTTATTAAGAATATCACCTGTTTTATAAACTATATGTTAATTAAATGCGGCTCAAATAAATTCAATTAATTTTTAAAGATCAAAGAGTCATAAATATTAATGACTTTCTCGAACTTCAAATCAATAATAATCATTATATAATTGTTTATTCAATAATAAAATATTATTATAAAATCTTATTCTCAATAACAGATTAAATAGCTTTTAAAAATATGTTTTAATTATTTTTATAATATCAAAATTATTTTTATTAATATTATTTTATCAATTTACCTCAATATTTATTTATCAAATTTATATAAATTTTTAAAGTTTATTATCTTCAAATTCTAATAATTTTCAATTAATTAGATGCTTTCTTTTTTAGAAGGAATTATGATGATATTAATTTTTATATTCCAACTCTTATTGAAATGATCAAAATGGAATTCTAACAAATAATAATTAAGACAAGAGAATTTTTATAAAGAATAGAGTAACGTAAAATAAACTGAAATAACCTTTATTCAAACAAAATAAGCTTTATTTAATTTATTTCTTAGAAAATTTTTTATAATTCATTTCTATATGTTCATAAAATGAATTATTAAAAATCTATTATATTAGATATAATAGCATGATATTATTGAAATGAGATTTGTTAAGACAAAAAGGAATATACATTTGATATCAATAAAAAATCTTAGTAGTTGATAGAATTATCAAATAGATAATTGCTTCAAATGAAAAAGTAAGTTGATAAATTTACTCCATAAAATTAGACTATATTCTCAAATAATGTAAATTCCATAGTATACAAAAACAAAATAAGAAGCATTCTGCATTTATAAAAAGCTTAAAAAAATTATTTTAAATTTAATTAATTGTTGTAATGTTCAGAGTTGAATTTCATTTGATTGAGCTAAGCATAGTATATAAGGGGTCTTAATAAGAATAAATAAATATTAGTTTTACAATGGAATAATAAATTTAAGCAAAATGATTGAAATTAATAAGTAGATAAAAAGTTCTTATCAATGATTTTTCTTAATAAGTTGAAAATATGAATCCAAAATTACATTGAATTAAAAGTAAGAGGATATAAAAATATAACTTGAATATATAAATTTAGAAAACCAATAATGAATGGAAGAAATGTATAAGATTGCTAAAATATTTTTGATTGCAATTTATTAGTATAATTAAATACTTAAAGAATATGTATTTTATTCTATTTATTTAAATGTTATCCACATTGAAAATCTGATTGTAGTAATTCTATTAATCCATTTTGAATAAATATTTATATGTAAATATTTTGTACCTAAGTTGATCATCAGCAATTCTAAATAATAGGAATTTGTACAGACAATAAATGCCAACATTAAAAACCTTTTTGTCATTATTGTTTACCAAAACATGCTGATCATATTAGTAAATTATTACCTAAAGAAAAAATGCAAGAATGGATCAATCAAAAAAGTGAAATAGTTTCTAATATATATAAGTAAATTTAAGAATGTAAATTATCATTTGAATGTATCATAAATAAGCTGCAAATATATTTAAATATAAATATTGAAAAGTTAGGACTTTCTTAATTTGATAAACTAATAACCAATCTATGTTAAATTGAGAAAATTGAGCTAGGATATTTTAAAGAAATAAAATAATTATTAGAATAAATAAAATCTATTACCTTCAAAATCTTTAACAATATAAAAGTTCAAGAAGAAAAAAATATAAATCAAACTTAAATTTAAATAAATCCAACATTTGAAATTATAACTAAATAAAAATATAATGAAGGATGTCGTGCAATTGCTTTTAATAAAGATGATTCCATAGTAGTGGCTGGTTGTGATAAAAAGATAAAGGTATTTGAAAATAAATAAGGATATTTGAATTAATTATAAATTTTGAGTGAACATAAAGATAATGTAGTAACTTTAAATTTTATGATGAAATCTGATCATTTTGTTTCAGGAAGTTATAGTTCTGAAATTATTATTTGGTATTTAAATTAGGAAAATTAATGGGCCTGCAAATAAAATTTAAATGGACATTCTAATGCTATTTATTGTGTATTATTAAATAGTAATGAAGACTAAATAATATCAGGTAGTAAAGATACTACAATTAAATTTTGGGTGAAATAAAAGAATTGGTAATGTGAAGAAACTATAGAAGATATTAATCATCAAATATATTCATTAAGTTTAAATGAAAAATTTAATTAATTAATTGTTAGTTCATAAGATTAGTTTCTATATGTATTATAATAGTCTGAGGTAGATAATAAGTGGAAAATTAATTAAAAAATAAAAATAGATTCTCATGGTACAAGATTATGTTTTATTAATGATTATCAATTTGTGTTTTAACCTTATTGCAAAGAATATATGGAAATGTATGACATGAATATAAATACTTAGAACTTTGAAAGATCTTAATATATTCCTGTATAATGTGGTTCAAATGATGACTCTTCTTTTGTTTAATTATAGTATTTATAATCAAAAGGACTTTTAGTCAATAAAAATGGAAAATTTGTTAATATATTAAGGAAAAAGGAAAATAATAATTTTGAGAAGGAACTAGCTATTTAATTTGATACTGAAGTTAGTTTTGGAAGACTTAGTTAAGACGGAAATTTTTTAATTAGTTGGGACAATAAATAAAATGAATTAATAGTCAGAAAATTTTAGGAACAAAAATGAATTTTATAAATCAATTATAAATTTATGTCAACATTTTTTTATTCAATGTAATATTTTAAATTTATTTTGGAATTTCAACTTCAAATGATTAAGCAAGGTTGTTCTCAAATTTTATATTAAGATTTCATAAAATATCCAATTTAAAAATAATTTAATCATTCTTAAAAATCCATAAATATATCATCATTTCAAATTTTTAGAAATTTAACTTATTCAATCAAAATGCTGTTTAAGGCTTTCTTTTAAATTAAAGAAATAAATATATTTTTGGAAACTTTTAACAATTTCCTGTCAATTAATTAATGAATCAATTAATATAATTTATTTTAAATATCAAATGTATTTAACTTTGATTATAAATCATTATACTATTTCTTATTTTTCATTTAAAAATTTATTTTATTTTTCCTTTATTATTTTAATTTTGATAACTTGCTTTTTTTCTAAATTCATTGTTTGTTCAATCGTTTAAATCTCTTAAACTTTAATTTTACTTTATGTTTGTTAGTTTTTATCTCCTGATGTTGATTATATATTAATATAGGTTGGATTTCTTTTGATTAATCTTTCGATTGCAAGTCTTTTTAGATTTTTTAAATTTAAGCCTTACAGAAAATTCATATATTCTACATCTTTGGTTTGAATAGATATTTATTAGCATCCAATCCATAATTATTTACTTAAATATTATCTTTTGTTCTATCCTAATAATTTCATCAAAGGCTTATTAGATCCTGCATTCTTTCTTATTAGATCTTATAAATAGTCAGGAAATCCTGATTTTAAAATTAAGACACTTTTTTTCCAAGAATTTTTAATTTTTAGATAATAAAAATTATTTTTATCCTAGATTTAGGAGAACTTCATTTCTAAAAGATCACTAATTGTGCAATATGTTTTAACCAAAATTGATACAATTAATGATAGTTAAATTTTACCAATTTACTTTAAATCAAATTATAAGGATTCAATAAAATTTTCAAGGCAATTATTAATCCTATTTTAATTCTAATCTTAGTCTATAAATGAAATATCATTAGTCTATTGCTTTTAAACTTCCTAAACTATTTATTCTTATTTTATTTATTATATTAGAGATTACTATTTTTTATTTTCAATTTTCTACAAAATCTTTTCATTTGTGTTTTGATTCTATTTCCTTATAAAGTTTTCTTACAGTTTAAGTATATGTAGTGGGTCAAATATATGATTGTAAATGTTTTCTTTCATAATATCTTATAAACATGAGATACACTATATATGATCATCTTTTTCTTTATAAATTTTTGAAAGTTATTTCTCAACACATATGTTAACTTGATTTGTTGCTTTTTCTATATATTTTGAATCCTTTTTGGTTTGATATCTAAAATTTATCTTATCTAATGAACATAAAATCAATTAATTTATATTATTTAATAATGATTACTACAAAGATGGTTTAGAATTTCAAGTTTATATATATTTTTCTTCTCCAATTACTCTATTTAAATATATTATTGAATTATTTAAAAGTCTTAAGGATTATACAATTGTAAAACTTAATTTTCTGATTATGTTACTTTTATTCAAATAAAATTAAACAAATTCTCTATTTCAATCAATTAACCACTGTCAGAAAATAGATAATATTTACTATTTAAATGCTCAATACTAAATTTATCATAAGAGAGATAATTATGATTGAAAGATAAAGATAATTTAATAATAAACAAAAATTCATGAATTCGATTCTTTTTTATTATTTAGGATTATAGGAAATATAAAAAAATAGTTTAAAATTAACTAATACTTTTTAAAAGTAATAATTATTCAATTTATAAATTTTGTAAAATAATCTAGAATGGAAATAAGAACTCCTTAAAAACAATAAAATTAACTAAAAAGCGTTCTATAAGATAGATAAACCTGATTCACAATTTATATGTATAAATAATCATTCTTTCATCGAATCTAAAGTTTTCATTATTTATTAAATGGTCAACAATACGTGTGATATTTTTCACATTTTCAATTCCATTTTAAAATTTACCTGATAATGGAAGTCCACAATCTTCTAACATTTCCATCAAATTTGGATCTTTGAGATAATTCTTTATTCTTAATGATTTTGGAAATACTATATTTATAAAATTAAAATAAACCTTTTTTAAGATTAATATAATAAGTAAAATATTTAACAAGCTTAATTCCTTTTCTTTCAGCTTCCTTTTTAAGATGATTTAATTCAAAATCACTTGAAGTAATTATACATATTCTTCCTAAATCTCTTAATAAATCTTAAAATTAATTTATAGCTAATTAAAGTTAAACACCATTAGTTATTTGAGATTATATGATACCTGTTTATTAGGTGCAATATTCACTAATAGTTTAATTTTCTTATGGTTTTATAAATTTTTAATAAATTTGAGTGACTTTTCTTAACTTTATATCATAAAATTATGCTGAAAATTCAATAATTTCAGGATTAAACTTTATTTAGTAATCTTAAAAGCATGTAGTTTAAAAGTTTAGTATAATTAAATAATTAAATCCTTATATTCGAGATTCTTCTTCAGGGATTGGAAATTATAATGATTATAACATTTAGTATTAAAAAGTAAAAGATCTTTTGAGTAATTCAATGACTATGGAATTCAATGCAAACTATTAAGCTTTAATAAATTAGAATAAATAGATACATTATTGTGTTAATTTGAGAGACTTTAACATTTCAATTTAGTTCAATTATGGTTTTTAATAGGGAAAAACAGTTTTAAGTTCAATATATTTTTTAATAGGACATTATAAATTAAGTTTAATACATTAATTTAGATAAATTTATGCCTTAATTCTATTTTCAAAAATAATAAGATCTATATTATCTAAATATGAAAATGTTTTTTGGAATGGAATTGTTTATTAATTTTTATCTTAAGTAATAGAGTTTATAGGTTAAATAATAAATGATTAAGAATAGTTGTTATCTTCATCAAAATCAGAAATCCTAATCTTTGAAATTTTAAGTTTAATGATTTCTTGTATATCTCTTGTTTGATTACATTCTATTTCAATGATTCCTATATTAGAGAAATGCTCTTTATAATTCAATTCATCTAAAATAAGTGATAATAATACAATTGATATTCATTTAACAGCCAAAGAATTCTTTAGGTGTTTGACATTGAGTACATTTTTTAATAAAATACTCACTTACATGATCACAGATCATACATTTCCATGGATATTAATATGCTTCTATCTAAAACATCAAATAGATTAAATGTATTTCTAATCTAAAAATATCAAAAAATTTATATATATATATTGAATTAGTGATATATTTAATCAGAAAGTATTTCAGTATACAATATAATTTATAATAATAAAATGAGTAAATTGTCTTTGAATTTTAGAATAATTTTTGTTGTTGTTTAAGTTAATTAATGATAGTTGATCATGGGTAATTTGTATAATTAAAATAAATGATATAATACATCTTGCTAGTCATTATGTTAATTAGAACAATTAATTCCTAAGTTTAATAATGCCAATGTTATCATATTACTGATTAATTCATTTGTGAGATATCTAAAAGATGTTAGTGGTTAAATAACAAATGTAACTAAAAACTAAATTACATTATTCGGAATGGAAATAAATGTGAATAGTATTAAGAAGAAGAATGCGTTTTATAAACAGATTGTGCATTTATAGATAGTTAATGCATAGATTTTTAAGGATGTGATAAGATTTCAAAAGATAAATGTGCCTCATCAATAAATTGCATTTCAGATGGCAATATTTGCATTTCAAAAAAAGATTGCTAAAATTACAAAACATAATTAGCTTGTTAAAATCAAGATATAAATGGAGGATATTGTTCATGGAACTTAAAGCAATTTCCTATATGTTCAAAGATTTTAGAATGTTCTGATTTACCTATTTTAAGATCACATTTATTATGTTAAACTGCATTAAATCATTGTACAATAAATTAGAAAGGAATGTGCATAGATAAAGCTATTTAATGCGAATAATACAAAATATTCCAATGTTTCAGTACAATTGATGGTAAGGAATGTTTTTGGAATTAATCAAAAGCATTGTGCATGGAAAAAATATGTGTGAATGCTTAATTTTCTACAGACAAATTATGTAATTAATTTTTATCAACTTGTACTACAAATGGATTCAACTGCATCTTAAGAACAAAATGCAACGATTTTAAACACATAAATGGTTGTGTAATAGATATTGATTATAATTAATGCTTCTGGACTGGAAGTATGTGTATCAAAAAAGTATGTTCAAATATTCCAAAAGGAGAAGAATGTTCAACATATTTTCAAGATTTAGATTGTGTTCCTACTTAACAAGGTAATTGTAAGTCAAAACCTTAAAATTGTAATTAGTTTGAAACTTAAGATTCTTGTTTGATAGATTATGCATAATAATAATGTTGGTGGGAAAATAATGAATGTGTTCTTAAAACTTGTTAAATAGCACCTCAATATACTAATTGTGCTTTATGGAAGAATGATACATCATGTGTTGGTGATACAAATGGATATTGTATTGATTTGCCATAATATTGTTCATCTATAACGAATAATACTTATTGTTATAAATAAAATTCTGGCGATTTATGTCATTCTTATACTTGTACAATTGCTTATTGTTCAAAAGCTCCAGTAAACTTAAATAGTCATATTTAATGTGAATAATGGAATATAAATTGTACAGTTGAATTAAAAGATTCAAATTCATAGGTTGGTTAAGGTTGTGTTTATAAGTTGCAAAATTGTTAAGATTATGAAAATGAAATATAATGTAAAAGCACTTTAGATAGAATATAATGTATATTTAAGGATGGAAAATGTTTAGAAAAAACTTGTGAAATGGGTAAATTTTCAACATAAGAAGATTGTTAAAATTGGAAAAATGATTGTATAATAAATGAATTTAGTAATTCTTGTAAAGATTGGCCAAGTAATTGTTATGAATTATTGAGTGAAGAATAATGTTATATAGGTTTATAATCAGGAATATATTGTTAATGGAAAGACAATTAATGTTAAATATAATCTAATTCTTAATTATGTAGTACAGCAAATAATATAAGTTAATATGATAACCATGAGAAATGTAATAGATGGAATGGATTATGTACAGTAATTTAAAAAGTTTATGGTTGTGAAGCAAGATAAAATTGTGAAGATTATTTATATTAACATTAATGTGTTATAGGTATAGATAATTAGAAATGTTAATGGGATGGAATACAATGTATTAGGAAATGTGATGGGTATTAAATAGAGACAGTTGATATTAATGAATGTGAAAGTATTGATTCTAGTTGTTAACTTAATGATCTGACTGCTATTTGTATATATAAAACATACTGTTAAGCATATAAAAATAAATTGGATTGCAAAATTAATAATAATGATTAACCATGTAAATGGAACTAATTAGATTAAAAATGCGAAGATGTCATTTGCGAAGATAATACTACTGCTATAACTGAAAGCGAATGTATTTACTTCTTAAATTATTAATAATGTTATTTAGATACTATTGGTTGTATAACAAGACCATTAAAATGCGATTTAATTTCTAATAATATTATATGCAATCACACTATTCCAAGATGTATGAATAACTATTGTTATTATCATAATGGTTGTTGTACATAAATATTAGCTAATTAATGTGAGTTAATTGATGATGCTACAACTGATTATGATTGTTAAAAACATAATCCTGAATGCATATTAAATATACTTACAGGAATAGGATGTATGCATTCTAATAATTGTGAATACATATAAGATTAAACACTTTGTACATCCATTGATGGTACATTNTACAATTGCTTATTGTTCAAAAGCTCCAGTAAACTTAAATAGTCATATTTAATGTGAATAATGGAATATAAATTGTACAGTTGAATTAAAAGATTCAAATTCATAGGTTGGTTAAGGTTGTGTTTATAAGTTGCAAAATTGTTAAGATTATGAAAATGAAATATAATGTAAAAGCACTTTAGATAGAATATAATGTATATTTAAGGATGGAAAATGTTTAGAAAAAACTTGTGAAATGGGTAAATTTTCAACATAAGAAGATTGTTAAAATTGGAAAAATGATTGTATAATAAATGAATTTAGTAATTCTTGTAAAGATTGGCCAAGTAATTGTTATGAATTATTGAGTGAAGAATAATGTTATATAGGTTTATAATCAGGAATATATTGTTAATGGAAAGACAATTAATGTTAAATATAATCTAATTCTTAATTATGTAGTACAGCAAATAATATAAGTTAATATGATAACCATGAGAAATGTAATAGATGGAATGGATTATGTACAGTAATTTAAAAAGTTTATGGTTGTGAAGCAAGATAAAATTGTGAAGATTATTTATATTAACATTAATGTGTTATAGGTATAGATAATTAGAAATGTTAATGGGATGGAATACAATGTATTAGGAAATGTGATGGGTATTAAATAGAGACAGTTGATATTAATGAATGTGAAAGTATTGATTCTAGTTGTTAACTTAATGATCTGACTGCTATTTGTATATATAAAACATACTGTTAAGCATATAAAAATAAATTGGATTGCAAAATTAATAATAATGATTAACCATGTAAATGGAACTAATTAGATTAAAAATGCGAAGATGTCATTTGCGAAGATAATACTACTGCTATAACTGAAAGCGAATGTATTTACTTCTTAAATTATTAATAATGTTATTTAGATACTATTGGTTGTATAACAAGACCATTAAAATGCGATTTAATTTCTAATAATATTATATGCAATCACACTATTCCAAGATGTATGAATAACTATTGTTATTATCATAATGGTTGTTGTACATAAATATTAGCTAATTAATGTGAGTTAATTGATGATGCTACAACTGATTATGATTGTTAAAAACATAATCCTGAATGCATATTAAATATACTTACAGGAATAGGATGTATGCATTCTAATAATTGTGAATACATATAAGATTAAACACTTTGTACATCCATTGATGGTACATTAAAATTACCTAGTGGACATACATGTGTATCTTAAAATAATAAATGTTATTCTCAATAGAATTGTAATGCATTTAATACCAATTGTAATACCCTTGTTGTTTAATAAGTTAATTGTAAATTTGGAACAGCAGGAACCTGTGTTAAAAAATTATGTACTGATTTAGTTAGCGCTAATGCTACAAATTGTCCAGCATTTCAAAAATTTTGTTATTATTATGGATCTAAATGTATTTTTGTTACTAATGGTAATGATTTAACTTCTTATGGTTCTACATTCTGTAATTCAAGAATAACAATAGATGGATAATCTTGTTAATGGAATGGTACATCTTGTTAACTATTATCATGTTCACTTTTAAATAATAATTGTCTATTATCTAATAATAAATGTATTTAAGGAATGTCTAATTGTATTGATATAACTAATTGTAATCAAGTCACTAATGAAGTTTATTGTTATTTAGCTTATAATAGTTCTAATCTTAAATGTTTATGGATTAATTCTTAATGTGTTGATTATTTTGATTGTACAAACACTTTTACTAATGGATTTACAGAATATTAATGTATTAGATATGATCTTTGTAGATTATCTAAAACTACAACAGGTTGTGAATTTAAATCATGTAATGAATATTAATAAATGGAATATTGTAATAAACTTAATTAATGTATATGGTATAACAATTAATGTGAAAATTAAAATTAATGTTAATTTCAACTCAATCAAACCGATTGCGAATACTTTAATTATTGTTACTGGAATACTGCTTTATGTAAATAAAATGTTTGTAATACAGCCACAACTTAATAATCATGTTTTTCAGTTATTCTACAAAGTGGCAACAAATGTTTATGGATTAATAATGTTTGTTAAGAATAGTATTAATGTTCTTAAATTAAGAATCCTCTATTTTTTGATGATTGTTATCTCAAAAATAATGGATGTGTAATTAAATATAATTTTAGTGATAAATCGAGTTATTGTTAAACCAAAAAGGCTGAGTGTTCTTTATATACATCTAATTATTAATGCACCAAAGATATTTATAACAATTTATGCGAATGGGATCTAAACACTTCTACTTGTATTTATAATTAATGCTCCGCTTATGTTACTTCAAATAATATATACAGTAATTGGATATGTTTATAATTTAATAATAAATGTGTATTGAATACAACTTTGAATGGTTGTAGAACTATTTTATCCCTCTGTAATTTATATACAACATAATAATTATGTTAGTATGCATTTACAACATCAAAAAAGTATTGCTTTTGGAATGGATCATCATGTATAGATGCTTAATGTTCTTAATACAATTCATTAGTTTCTCCTCCACTATTATGTGAATAATATAGTCAATGTAATTTAATAGGATCTATTTGTTAAAATAAATTATCAACATGCAATTCTTATTTAGATGAAACTCTATGTAATTCTACAACAGATTTATCATCAAATATCTGTGTATGGATTAATGATAATTGTGTTATTAAAAGTTGTTCTAATTATCCATTCAATAATTTTAATCATTCAAATTGTTCTTAATGGTTAAAATCTTGTACAGTAAATTAGTAAGAAACCTAATGTATAAACATTATTGATTGCACAACAGCACCGTAAGAAATTGATACAATTAATGAATGTGAATAATTCTAATCATAAACAATTTAGATTTGTACAATATCATCAATTCAAAGTGGATGCACAAATTTAGTATCAAATTGTAATTTAGCTTCCAAAATATAATGTTTTATAGATGTTAATAGAAATAAATGCTATTGGAGCAAATAATATGGAGTTTGTAAAGAATTAAATTGTATAAATATTGACAATACAATCAAAACTGCTTCTGATTGTGAATCTTTATTAAATGAATGTACTCTTGCAGATTCTGGATTTGGATGTTAAAATAAAGCATCATGTAATAGTTACAATAATAATACTTGTAAATTTCTTAATATCCGTGATAATAATCAAAGAAATTGTGTGTAAGGATGTTAGAAGATTGTTTGCGAAGATTATTACTCTACGAGCGATTAATATTGTAAGTCCATTCTTAATGGTAATTGTATTACAAATGGAGTTTAATGTATTACATCATACAGTTGTAGTGACTTTCGATTTGATTATTAATGTATCATATCAAGATAAGGATTCTAATGTCTATGGTTTCATCACTAATGTGTTAATAGAAAATGTGAATTAGCAGATATTGCTAATTATCATAGTCATTCTTAATGTTAAAGTTTTATGAATACTTGTACTTATAGTAAATAAAGAAATAGTTGTGTTTAAATAAATAATTGTTAAAATAATGATAATATAGAATCTTGTTTTTTAGATAAGTATGGTTAATAATGTATTTGGTATGAAGACAAATGTTATAATACAAAATGTGAAAATATATGTGGAGATGGAATAGTTAACTTAGAGACAGAATAGTGTGATGACGGAAATTGGTTAGCTCATGATGGATGTTATGATTGTAAATTTAGTTGTGTTATCGGATGTTACAATTGTTTAGGAGGGATTTGTGTAGAATGTGATTATGAAAATGGCTACTATTTAGATGAGATAAATAATTGTATAACAAAATGTGGAGATGAAATAGTTCAAGGTAAAGAACATTGTGATGATGGAAACTTGGATAGATATGATGGATGTTTTGAATGTTTATTTGAATGTCATCATTCATGTATTCTATGTTTTTAAGGTACGTGTTTAGAATGTCAACATGGATGGTCTATATCAATTAAAGGATAATGTGAAGTAATATGTGGAGATGGCATAATAGTAACTACAAATGATAAAAATAATGAATAATGTGATGATGCTAATATTGATTCATTAGATGGATGTTCATCAACTTGTATGATTGAATAATAATGGACATGTTACAATGATCTTGATTCACCATCAGTATGTCAATATACTTAATAACCTTACATGATTTTAACGCTCTTAAACGCTGCTCCAAACTATATTCAATCAATTAAATTATCATTTACTTCTAATCTCAAATATCAAAATACATCTAATAATTATTCACTTATCTAGACTTCTATTTTAAATCTAAATCCTATTAATTATCAAATTTAAATACACCAAAATAATTCATTATATTCTATTACGACATATGAACCTATTGAATATTTAATAATTGTTGAATTCTTGATAAGTGTATAAAATCCAACACTCCTTATATCTTTTTAGGGTTCTGAATTTCTTGATTAAAATAATCAACATCCTCTAAATACTAAATAAACAATCAAATTATTTACATGTTATTATGAAACTGAATCAAACAAACGCATATCTTCTACCACTAATGTTTTTAATTCTATCCTCTTATATATATTATTGGCCATTGCTTTACTTTCTATTCTTACTTGTAACTTAGATGTATTTTGGAATCTTCTAGATATGGTATAATATTTATCTTACATAAAATATATTAATATACAATTTCCAACTAACTTAAATACCTTCTTTAATCTATTTACTATCATTACTTTACAACCATTATTAGATTTTATTCATTATTAAGACATAATTAATCTATTTTGTTTTGGTGAAACTATTTTCATTCAAACAACTAATAAATTTTTAGAAGATAATATCAATGCATTTTACTTTTATAATTTTGGAAGTTCATTACTTGTTTTGGGAACTACTTTTGCTTCATTGTACGTTAGCTTAGCACTCATTTATACTATTAATAAATATATTCATCATGTATATAATCATCTAAATATAATTAAAATAGTACAACAATTATTAAGATTATTAGTTAAATTTTAATTCTATTTCTTCTATTCTGGAATTATTAGAATATTTCTAACTAATACTTATGATATACTTTTCAGTGTATTGCTTCAATTATATTATCCTCAATTTCATAATTTTATAACTATTTTTAGTCTGATGGTAGCTGCTATTACTTTTTCATTCATTTTTATTGTTATTTACTTTATTATGTCAAAATAAACATCAAAATCTATTGGAATTTGTAATTAATATACTGTTTTATCTGAAGGAGTTACATTCAATTAAGGATTTTGGGCCAGACAATTCAACTCATTATTATTAATTAAAAAACTAATTTTTATGCTTTTATTAATTTTTATGTAAGAAGATGGTCAATTATAAACTACTTTAATTTCAATTACTCATATTTCATTTGCTTTATATCTCATCTCCAAAAAACCTATGACAAATTCATATGAATATTACAAAATGATATTTGTAGAATCCAAAATCACCTTAGCAACTAGCTTTTTTATTTTATATTCCATGCCCAATCTCACTTTAGACACTAAATACAGAGTTGGATGGTTTCATATTACAATCTTTACATCTATGCTTGCAATTTCAGTATTTTTTGATTTCACAAACCAATTAAGAATAATTAAACAAAAACTTATAAAATCATGTGCAGATAAATAAACACCTAATTCAAAAGTAATACTATTTGAAGCAGTACCAACAAATAAAATTATTTTTTGAAATTGTTTTAATAAAATATAAACCATTTTTATTAATATTTAATTATATTCTTACAATCTAATATTTGATCATCAATATATTTTCGATTTCTTCTAATATTTAATGATAATCTTCAATTTAAATCTAAATATTATTATCTTATTATTTATTTAATCACATAAAATCTTCTTTAAGCTTTTTGTTTATCAATAAATTTTTTATTCAAAATAGCCTTCATATAAATTTTAAACAGAATTTATATTAGTTTAAACTTATGATTCATTTTGTTTAGACAAACATTAATATGAATTTTAATTTAGCAGCTATTAAATATCAATTAAATTTTATATATTTCATGAAATATGCTACCTAATCTATTAAAACATTTGTAATCGTAATAATATTTCAAAAACAACAAACTTACCTGTCTTTTAATTAAATTTCAATTTCAGTTGTAAATTTACAACTAAGAATTTAGATTAAATAAAAATAACATAGATTAAATTCTTTAAGATTTAATAAATAATAGAGAAGGTTTTTTAAATTTTATTTCAATTTTTACAAATTGTTTGCATTCTTCATTTTTACAAGTAACTTTTCAAATATCTTTAATAAAAAATGTTTTGAAATTACAATTATTTGATTTTTAACTTATATTTATTCCAACTCCTGTCTTTTTTATACAAAATTCAAAATATAAAAAAAAATATTTGGATATTGGTTACAAAAAATTAAATTATTCTGAAATACTAAATAAAATTCATTGTTTTCTCTATTTTTGGTCACTATATTTACATTCGAATAAGAAGTGTTTTATATTTAAGACTTAATTACATTGATTTTGATAAAACCTTATCATTATTTACTTAATTTCTTATTCTATCTATACTAATGCTATTTTAATATTCCAAAGATATCTTAAAATCTTAATCATGTTCAATCATTTTCTTTTTAGAATTTTAAATTTATGGTCATTAAGTCTTTGACTAATAAATTTAATTTTTTTATGGAAAGTTTATTAATAAATTGAATATGTTAATATACTAATAAATATATAATGGTATGCCACTAATGGTTTAACAAATTAATTGTAGATTCACTCTATTTCCAACTTATGATATAATAAGAAAGATATTAATTATATAAATTTCGTTTGTTTAATTTAAGAACGAGCTTAGCTTCCGGAATAGGAGCCTCGCCCGCAACCTATTAAATAGGTTTAAACTTGGATAGGTTTTGTTTCAATATGATTGAACCCTGTGAAGGATTAAGTTTTATAAAGAATTTTATTTCCTTATATACAAAAATATTAATTTTAATATTATGGGTTTATTAATTTAATTAAAAAAGTATAGCCTCTATATAATATAAATATATAATATGTAAAAATTAATTCTTATTTTCAAATTTTAAGATTAAACTTTCTGTTTTGTGGAATTTTTAGATAACTTAAATAATATGCTAAAATTTAAAAAATGATAGAGCATTAATTTTAATAAATTAGTGTCGCATCAATGTTTTGAAGAGTATTAGATTCAATTTAAATCACTAATTATGAAAAAGGATTTCTTTATTTAGATAATTATGGGAAGATCTTTAAAACTGAGTATTTGAGAAACAATAAATTATTATTTGAGTCTGGGAGTATTTTAGTAATTGAGAGAAGAACAAATGAGCCTCGATGAAGCAAAATAATATTTTGCTAACTTATTTCTATGAAGAAAAATAAATATAAACACAAAAAAAAGAAATATATATCTTTCATACGAACTATTGTTAATGAGAGCATCATTACTTTTTTGCGACATAGAACACTTAAAAATTTTTTAAGAATCATAATGAAAGGTTCTATGAAAGTTTCGGGATATTGATGATGCCATTTTATTGAGAATCAAAATACAGCTATCCTTAGAGAATTTTAAAATAAAACCTTTTTTTAAAAGGAAAGAAAACCTACATTTGATAATAATTATTTTATGATGATTAGTTATAAATTAAAAGCAAAGTTATAGAATTAAATGTTATTAAATTAAAAAATATCAAAGTAAAAATTAAATTTTTAATTTTGTTTAATAACTTTGTCTAAAATGAATTACACCTGCATATTTTTATTTTTACATCATACTCTCTGCATGAAGATTAAAAGACTGAGGAAGAAATTTTAATTACATGTAAAAATTATTTGTTACTAAAAAACTAACACAAAATCATTTTTGCTTGTATAAATACATTTAAATTTTTAAATTAAAAGTTTTTACCTCAGTAAATAGATCTTTTATCTAATTTTTTAAAATGATTTAATTGCTTTTTAAAAAAGACTGCAAAAAACCAATATTAACATAATCTTGATATAATCCAGAATATTCTTAAAAATCCCTCTTATTGTAAACACTATTTAATCTAAAAGTATTCGATTATTAATACTTATATTAGATTAACATCTCATTCTACTATCAAACTTCAAATTAAACTATTGATATATTCTTCTATCTTAAATTTTTTATTAATGTTATCGCCCAATAACATTATTAAAATAAGTCAGTAGATCCAAACAATAAAACAGATCACAATTAATTTTTGTTTTATATTATTCAAATATATAATGATTAATATTAAGTTTTTATATGATAAAACCAATTTTTTAAAATTAAATTTTTTCACAAAATTAGCGATAAATTCAACAGATTATCTACTTCATCTAAAGTTTCGATAGCTTATAGCGCTAGTAGCTTGTAATCTACATCAATCATTTCTTAAACATTATATTATGTCTATGTTTGTCCTTAAAAATCTTTGAATTAAATCTAAATCTTCATTTTCTTGTAAGAGAAAGCTTTTGATAAAAATATATTCCTTTAATCTTCTGAATTTATTGATCTAAGTTAATCAGCAGTTACTCCAAGTAATTTGACTGCAATTTCATCGAAAATAACTGCCTTAATATTTGTAAATTCATCCATAATTGTTACTTTTAAAATAAAACTAAACTTTGGGGAATCATTTTCTAATAAACACTTCTTGCATCTAAAAGTTTTTCTACTTGATATTTCTTCCATTTTAGATTTGCATCGGATATTTGGACAGCTTGGATACATATTGTTGTAATCATTTATTTCTATAATGTAACCAAAAATGTATTTATAAGTAGCTTATTAATTCTTGCCTTAATTTAATAGTTGAAATGCATATTGCTCTAATTATGAAAGATTTATAGTTGAATTATCCGAATTCTGTTTCATTATTGTATCAATATCTTTACCTGCCAGCCAACTTTTTAATTTTTTCACTCTAAAATCTATAATAATTGATTACTCATTTAAATTTTGATTTTGTATAATCATTGTTTAAAAATCAGAATTTAACGATTTAAAATTAGTATTCTAAAACTTTAACCCTTTAAACACAATAATTTCACCCTTTTAAAAATTTACTTCAGCATATTATTAACCCCAAAGTTTAATAGTCAATCTTGCTGTATGATCCAAGATGATAAATGATTTACAAATTTCAGAACTTTATTTAATTCCCTAACAATATTTTATATTATTACTTAAATAACACCAACTACATCGACAATGGTATTATGTTATAAGGTTTCAATTTCTTAAAGAGTTTAAAAATTAAATTATGGGAGAGAAGGGATAATATAATTTTAGGATTCTGTAATTATGGAATATTCATTAAAATTTATTTTTTTGGTACCATTAGTTTTATCTTGACCTATGCATCCATTTTTAAAAGTATAAACCTTCCCTTCTTATAATAAAGAAAAGAATTTGTTTATAGCTTCGAAGAATAAGCCAGTTATAATTTCTTATTCACAGTCTAAAATTATTATTTTAAAATATTTTTTAATTGTTTCACTTCTTTTACATCTAAAATCTAATTATTATGATTTGAAAATAATTCTTCCCTCCAAAACCCATTTTTTCATATTAGGATACATCGAAGAAATTTTTATGATTTCTTATTATTAAATTTATTGTTATTGTTAATGTTCTTTGAACTGAATTTATTATTTTATACAAGCGGGGGTATCTAAAATTGAGAGATTTAATAGATTATCATCAATGATAAAGGAGCCTTAACAAAAAGTTGAATTTTCAATTTTCACTTTTTTCATTGAAGATGTATTAGGTGAAGTATTTCTATTTAGTTTATTCTTTTGTATGAATAGTTTAACCTTTCTTTAAACTGGAATTTGTTAATCTACTTAATAATGAGTAAATAAATTTAAATCTCCATTAAGAGAAGCAATATCTATAAATTCATATATAATAATTAAGTATGTTTATTCTTTTTTTATATAAGCTAGCTTCCATTTTATTAATTAAATTACCATAGAATTCACATTAATAAATTGTTCATCTTAATATTATTTATTTTTTACTTGTGAGCTTTTTAATGAGATCAGCAGCTTTTCCTGTTAATATTGCAGATTGATTATATTTTCCATCATTCAAATTAGTTTCTATTAATGTTTAATCTTTTAAGAGTTTTTTTTCTTTATATCCATTAAGTTTGAACTATAGCATATTGAATTGAAATTAGTTTAAGTTCTATTCACGGTTATAAAAGAGCTCTTCTATTTTGTTAAGGGAAGTATCAAGGTGAATGTTCATAATATATTTTATTACTTTTATTGATAAAATATCAATAGATAAAAAGTATTTAAGAAACAAATTTTCGACAATTAATATTTTCTGAGCTTATTCGAATTGTTTATGAGTCTTAATATTAATAAGTTAATATTTATTAGAACACAATCAAAAAATTTGTTTTGTTTAATATTAAATAATTAATTGGAAATGTTAGACGATAGAATTGCATTAGTAATGAATTCAGAAAACGAGAATAAAGGAAATTTATATGTTGGAGGATATGAATCTTTGTAAAGGTTAACTCAAAAAAGAATTGGTGCTGTCTTATCTGCAGTTTGGACAGGGCATTTCAAACCTGATAAGGATTTGAAGCATCTGGTAATAGAGGCTGATGATTGCCCTACTTATGATATGAGTAAACATTTCGAAAAAGCAGTGTAATTTATTCATGAAAATCTTTAAACAACAAATGTTTTAGTCCATTGTGCAGCAGGAATATCAAGATCAGTTTGTTTGATAATAGCTTATATGATAAAAATCCATAAAATGAAACCATAGGAAGCATTAATAAAAATCAAGAAAACAAGACCTTGGGCAGGACCAAATGATGGATTTACACAATAATTGGAAAAATATTACAATGAAGTAATGGAAGGAAAATAGTGATAATTTATAGATTATATGCAATTATATCATTAATTAGATTCTGTTAATTAAGACGTAGAATAATCTGGTTATTGAACGATTCCAGATAGATATCATGTGATTTTTATAAATCAGCATCGATTAAGCTTCTTAAGCTAATATGATAAGGAAAGGAATGTATAAATGATATTTCCATGATTATCATAATATTTAATTAATGAAATAGCAAGTTCTCCAGTATCAAGAACAGCCTTTTCTGATTCTTTAATTTCTCCAAACCATTCTTTTGGATGATGTTCATAAATTTTTGGTTCTGGAATATGAATTCCTTCTAGGATGTATTAATGATTATAAATTAAATAAAGTTTGTTTCGATCGATTGCATCTTTAATTTTGGGTGACATTTTCTAAAATAAATTGTTGAGATACCTAATAATTATATAAGAACAGGAATTTAAAATTTGATATATTCTCCTTTGATCACAGTATTTAAGTGAAAGCTCTTTGTATGCATATTCTCCATAAAGAATAATGCAATCCCTTTAGGACGGTAAATCTTATTAATATTATTAAGCAATAAGAATTTTATTATTATAATATGAGCATTAATGTAACTATCAAGAGAAGTTATTTGAAAGGTTTGAGGAAGTGAAGGTGTTGCTGTTTCTAATTATTATTCAGAGGGATAAGTTGATTTTTTTAAGAATATATTAGACATGGGAGCAAATGATCTATTTATTATAGATTCTTAAAGGAATGAAGATTGAGTAAATCCAAAAGCAATGCTTATATAAAGTAATTGAATTTCAATACTAATAAAAACGAATATTAATTGATTAATAAAATCAAATAATTGATTAATTAACATATATATTATAAATTAAAATCAAATGGAAAATTATCATGTATTACATTTAATAGGAGAAGGATCATTTGGAAAAGTATATAAAGGAAGATGGAAGAAAAGTAATTAGATGGCAGCTTTGAAATTTATTAGTAAGAGAGGGAAAACTGAAAAAGATTTATCAAATTTGAGATAGGAAATTGAAATATTAAGAAGATTAAAGCATGAAAATATAATTTTATTATTAGATGCATTTGAAACATAAGGAGAATTTTGCTTAGTAACTGAAGTAATATAAATAGTTATTATTAGTTTGCATAAGGTGAATTATATGAGATTTTGGAGGATGATCATAATCTTCCTGAAAGTGAAGTAAGGAAAATAGCTTAGTAATTAGTTAGAGCACTTCATTATTTACATTCTAATAGAATTATTCATAGAGATATGAAACCTTAGAATATTTTATTATCTGCTAATGGAGTTGTTAAATTATGTGATTTTGGATTTGCAAGAGCCATGTCAACAAATACTCAAGTTTTACATTCTATTAAAGGTACTCCTTTATACATGGCACCAGAATTAGTATAAGAATAACCTTATAATCATACTGTAGATTTGTGGTCATTAGGAGTTATTTTATATGAATTATTTGTTGGATAACCTCCATTTTATACTAATTAAATTTATTCACTTATTTAACTTATTATTAAGGATCCTGTTAAATATCCTGATAATATGAGTCCAGAATTTAAAAGTTTTTTAAAAGGACTTTTAAATAAAACACCATCTGATAGATTAGGATGGCCAGATTTATTAAATCATCCATTTATTTAAGAATCTGATTAAGAAAAATATGAAAGAAAAAAAAGATTAGAATAATATAGCTAATGGGCTGGAGTTGAAAATGAAGTTATAGATAAACGAAAAAGATCTTTAACTCCTACAAGAGATATAATTACTTATGATTAAACTAAAGATACAAGAGATGTCTCTCCTAGAAGAATGCCTTGTAATGATGAATATTGGGTTAAATGTGAATTAATTGCTAATGATCTTTAAGGTGCTACTTAATTAAGATGTGATCCTGGATTCTTAGATAAATTACTTTAAGTTTTAACACCACCTAAAAAACCATCTTTACATTGTGCATTGAAAGTCTTTGGATAAGTTATTACTAAAGGAAACTAATAAGAAGGCTTAGATGTTGTTAAAAATTAATAAATCCCTATTTAATTAGTTACACATGTCAAAAATATTCTCAAATAAGGTAGTTCTGAACTTTTATCTGAATTAATTAAAACTATTGGTCTTCTGGCTAAAGCAACATTTGATAAAAATATTGGCATTGATAATGTTTTTATCAAATTTATTGGAATGACTTCATAAATTTTGAGAATTGGATAAAATAATGAATTAGTTAATACTATAAAAACTATTGGAATATTTGCAAATTAGGCTAGTCTTAATCCAGTTAGATCTGTTTTATTTTATAAAGAATTAGTTGAACATAATTTAGCCTTAGAAACTGCAAAATTAACTAAAAATAATATTACACTCCATAAATTTGCTACTTAAGTTATTGGAGTCTTAATACATCCTATCCATGGAGAAATATTTAGTTTCCCTTGGAAAAAAGGATATTCAATTTAAATTCAAAATTTTAATGAAGCATTGCCTCTGTTTGAATCATTAAAAAATTAAATTGTTACAGCATATGCTGAAATTGATCATATGAAAATTTATAATGAATAAGACGAATAGCAAAATCTAACTAGAATTTCAGTTTTAAGAATTCTATTATAAATGATTAGAGTTAGCAAAGATGTTCATATTCCTAAAGAATTAATTAGTTCAGCAATTAATTCTGATGAAGCCTTATTTTAAGGAACAGCGTTATTAATTTTAGTTCAACAATATAAAAATAAAAATTAAGAATATTAAGTAAATATACAATAAGTTCTTGAAATCTTTGAAAATAACATTTAAAGTAATCCTATAGTTTCATTATCAGCAATATAATTGATTGCTGAGTTGTTATAATAAGAAACAAACTTCACTAATTAATTGTTAAATTACTTTAATTAATAATTACCTTATAAATTATTAAGTGATTTAGTAAATCCAAATAAAAAATAAAATAGAACAGAAGAAATCAGAAAATTAGAAGGTAGTAGTTTTGGATGTCCTAGTTATGGATTTGTTGATGGTGTTATTACATTATTATAAAAACTATTATTTAGATATAATAAAGAATAAAAGAAATTAACTGACTTATTTTAATTACTAGAAAAATATGAAATACATTAGTTATTATTTTAGATTTTGTTGAATATTACAAGCAGAAACGATGTATCTCCAAAAGGATTTGTATCTCTATTAATTTTAATTCATGATTCTATTTACTCAAATTTTAAAGCATTAGGATAATTAATATTTTTAGATAATTCTATAAGAGTTTTATGTACATTTTTAAAAGAAGCACAATTACAAAGTATATAAGAATGGCCATCTTCTAGTGGAGGTGGTATGGCTTGTGTAAATGTAATGAGTATTTAAATTATTCGTATATTTATTTTGGCATTCCAAGAGTAAAATTGTGATAATGTATTTAAAGAATTAAGTAATTAAGAAATAGTAGCATTAACTCTAAATTTGATCAAATATTTATAAAAAGATCACATATCATTAGTAATTTCTTTCATTTCACGATTAGTAGGAAATAACGAAGAAGATAAACAATTTGCATAAAGTTTTGTATAAAATAATGGATTGGCTATATTGTAAAAATATTAAGTAATGAGTGTTGATTCGATAAATATCTTATCGTAATTAGCCAGAATCAGTAAAGATTTTTATCCAAATATTCATTCTATCAATTTATATAATGATTTGAAGTAACAAATATAATCTCCAGATTCAAATGTTAGAGCAAAAGTTTGCAATTTAATTGGTAATTTATGTAGACATTCATCATTCTTTTATGAACATTTACTCAAATTTGATTTAATTAATTTATGTATCAAATGTTGTTAAGATCCAGATAAACATACACGTAAATTTGCTTGTTTCGCAGTTGGAAATGCAGGATTTCATAGTGATAGATTATATGAGTAATTAAGACCAGTAGTACCAATGTTAGTTGAATTATTAAGAGATTAAGAAGTAACTTTATCAATTAAAAAAGGAAAAAACAAGAGCAAATGCAGCTGGAGCCTTAGGAAATTTTGTTAGGAATTCTAATGCCTTAACTAAAGATTTAATAAAACATGGAGCCTTGCATCAGTTATTAGAATTAGTGAAAACAGATAAAGGATCTTAACCAACAAGAATATCATTATTTTCTATAGGTAATCTTTGTGCCTATCCTGAATGCAGAAAAAAATTTGAAGAATTATAAATTAGATAGATAATCGAAATGACTTTAGTAAATTTACAATTAATTTTAAGGCTTAAACTAAAGATTAATAAATATTAAAATATGGGAAAAGAATATTAATTAAACTCGATGAGAATTGAATATTACATATTATAATTTATATCATAAATTATTATTTAGTTAAATTAAAACTTAAATCATATTTTCTTTGATGAAATCCAAAATTGACTTCATGTTTATATAAATATATTTTATAATTTTTTGAATATATAAGATAAAACATTTTAACATCATTCTTTCTGTAATCAATGAATATTTTATCTATCCTTTTTCCTTTCAGTATATTTAATTTAATAGATTAGAGCTTTCATTGCTGTTAGCAATATTTAATAATTTGTGAAAACTAAACAGCCAATATAAATCTGGGGTTCAGGATGATTACTTTTGTAAATATGTTTTTTGTAAAATTATCAAATTATATAAAATTTAATAATGCTTAAAAAATTGACAGAAAATAACAATCTATTTAAATAAAAATAGATTAATACTTGAATGAAAACTAATCCAGAATTAGAGAAAACCACAATCAATATTTAAAAATATAGATAACAAAATGAAATTTGTAATTAAGATTGTAAAAAAATATGTTAAAGTAATCCATCATAAATTCTATGATTTGAGGAGATCTCTATTTTCCTTTAAAAAAATATTCATTAAATATTGATTAATTAGTTAATAGTCAAGATAATTGGATAAATGGAAATTAGTTCAACGAAATTGATGGATGGGGAAAGATGGGGAAAATGTGAATTTTAACAAAAATGCATCTATATAATATGTATGTAGAATTGATGTACATATATTTAATCTGAGATTCTGCGTTGTACACTATAAATTAATTATATTTATAAATTATGTTGACTGACTGCATTGATATGTCGACGTAATCAAAGGAACAGCAAAACTAACCTTCAAATATCCCTTATTTTATGTATAATTTCCCAACTACCTCTTTAATGGACTTCCAAAACACTTCTATTCCATAACTTCAGGTGAGGAATTCAAGTAAACTTTTTAAAAATATATGTAGCTGATTCTATTTTTAAAGATAACTTGTAAATTCCTTCATTTTTGTAAGGAATTTCTGTGCCGAGCTTCCAATTCAACAATTCCAATTAGTTTTGTGGAAATGAATAAAAACCATTATATATGCCACCAGTTGCAAATGCTTTGGCATAGTTTTTAAATGATTAATCCACTTACAAATTAAAACAAGAATCTAAGAAAAATAGAATAATTATTGGGACATAGGCACTGTGTGATATCGAAATAATTCTTATATAAAGATATTTTGATATTAAAAATTAAGTATTTATCTATAAAATCTTAGTTATTTTGCCCACCAAATATTAAATATACTTTGAATGAGGATAAATCCATCTCAAATATTATATGGCTAAAAGATAGAATAAAAAATAGATACAAAAAGCCTGTAATAATAGAATTATATATTTTAAGATCAAAGACTCTATGTTTGATATGATTAATATTATTGGTGAGATGGATGAAGAAGAGCTTCGTCAAATAAATTATTTCCAATAGTTTTAAAGTCAAGGATTCGATAATCTTGAGAAATAGGTACCAAAATCAGTGAAATAAGAGAAGCCATTTTCTGAGATGATGCTTGAAATTTAAATTCTAATTGGTTAGTTTTTATTGAGAAAATTTTGAAATAGAAAATAAAAGTTATTGAAATAAATTTAATAATATTTTTTAAGTTTAAATAATTGAGTTAATGATGTGGATTAGATGATTCTAATGTTATTTAAATATTGTATGTAAAATTTGTCTTTAATTTGAAAGAATAATTATTTTAAATAATTAAAAAATCTTAATGAGTGAGAACATCGTTTATTTTAAGATGAAACATGAGGCATAGACATATAAAATTCCAATCTAAGGTGTGAATGTGCAACTAAAAGATTTACGCCAAAAAATAAAAGATTTTCTAAGTAAGAATATTTGAATATGAAAATCTAGAAATGCCTCAAGCTCAAAAAGGATAGTCAAACTAAAATTTTGAAGAGTTAGTGATATATGGAGAATTAGAATAAAATGGTGGTTAAGAAAAAGCATTAGGATTAGCTGATAAAGTAGAATAAGAAAATAGATTATATTTAGGTTAGAAATAAACAAACAGTTGTAGTAGTAAGATAGCCATATCAGTAAGGACAATCATTATGTGAATCATGTCTATCTTCGAGAAGTACATCATAGACCCCTTGTTGCTAAAGAAGAATATGCCAAGGATGCGAAGAACAATTTATCAAAGTTACGAAGTGTTTCTTTAATGAGCTACAATAATGTCCATTTAAATATGTCAATTATTAAGTTTAGACTATCAAGTAATAAACTGAGATATCCAATACAGAATTGGAATAATAAATAAAAAATGCTGTTTTCTTTATTGTTAAGAGTAACACCGAACAAAATGTGATTTTGGCTAAAACTCATGATGTTTGGGCAACTACTCGTCGTAATTTTGGGACTTTAATGGATTAATTTAATAACAAAAAAGTCATTTTGATTTTTATTGCTAATCGTGTTGAAAAGTTTTTAGGTTGTGCTAAAATGAAGAATACACAAGTTCCTCGAGATCCTAAATGGTAATGGTGTGGTACATCTACTATTCAATTGGCTGATAATTTTTCAATTGAATGGTTAAGAAAGGGTACTGTTGATTTTGCCAAATTGTAAGATACCATTAATCCTAAAACTGGTGATCTAGTAATTAGGAGTAAAGATTGTTAAGAAGTTCCAGCTGTAATGATCCTATTATTAATTTTATTTATCAGGATATTGGTCAACGTATATGTCTATTGTTTGAATAAATCAAATAAAACGACGAAGAATAAGAACCCTAGCCACAACCATAATAAGAGCCTACTCCATAAAGAGAAGATAACGAATGGGAAATCTATCAAATAATTTGTATATACAATTAATTACAATTAATTAAAGCTCCTGTCAATGCAAGTCCAGTCAGAGAATAAATATAATAATCGCCTAGTCGTTCCCCTAGCAATTAGAATATCCCATCTTAAAATATTTCATTAAATTAGGCTTAACATGCATTACTTAATTAAACCTTAGCATCATTGGTATAACAATAATAAATGGAAATTAATTGGAATAAAATGAATGTAGGAAAAATACCTGGCTTAACTGGAAAAGTATAATATCCTCATCCATTTCTCTAAAAATATAGTTAAAAATAAAATAAAATGGTTGAAGGCTTTTTATAAATGGTTTAAAAAGAAACTGAAAGAAAAGACAAAGAAAAAAAATCATCTAGTCATTCTAAAAAATAAAAAAAGAAAAAAGATAGAGATAGAAGTTCATCTGAAGAAAAAAGAAGATCAAGTATAATATTTATTATTTACATTTATATAGGAAAAAAAAGTAAGGAACGAAAAGATAAAAAATCAAAACATAAAAAAAGAAGTCGAAGTAGAAGTAGATCAAGAGATCATAAGAAAAAAAAACATTGATCATCATTTTAAAATCATAATCAAAATATTAATAATTATTATTTTTTATAAATTATAACAATCTTCACAATTTTTTTTGGTTAAATTTCTAAGCTATCTCTTGGAATATTTTTATTAAAAATTTGTTTACACCTTATTATTTTTAAGTTAGAGTCAATGATCTATTCTTTGGAATATTAAAAATAAGTGGTTACTGTTATTTTACAAATTATTTTATAAATTTATCAATTTCTTAACCCAGAAACAGCATAAATTATAATCCTAATGCTATATAAATCTATTTAATATGGTATTAAGAAATCTATAATATCTTTATATGTAAATATAATCTCCAAAAATTCTTATCATCATCAGTTAAAATACATAAATTTATCAATTATTATTTCAATCTAAAATTTTCTTTATATTTTTCAAATAATTCAAATAAAGAAGTGAATTTATTATTCAATTATTGTTATTCATCAACTAAATAAAATTCTTAGATCATTTACTCTCCATTTTATTTTATATCATTCCAACCTATTATGATTCTTTTATGATTTTTTATCTCTTTAATACCTTCATAATAACTAATTAAAAAATTTTTTTTATCTAAATTCATAGATTCATTCATATTAATTAAAAGTACAAAAAAAGATTGATAATCATCTTTATCAAAATTATCATTATATTGTTATAAAAAACCTAATTCTGTTAAATTGTTATAAAATATTAAGACTCCTTCATTTTATTGTTAGTTTTCATTTTCTTAAAATTTAACTAATAATTATCTTAGAGACTAAAGAAATTATTGACTTTAACATTCATTCTGAATTAAATTTAACTATTTTATTAAATTATTCAATATAAATAATTGTTAAATTTAATTGATATCCTTAAAATCAATAGTTATTTTTTTAAAAACTATCTCCAATTAAGTTTTGAGTATCTTGATAAAATTATTAAGGTGATCCTTCTAATTTTGTAAATATTTGAATTCTGATAAAAAAATGTCTTCGTGTAGCTATAATGTCTTAAAAATTATAGTTTTTAGTTAAAAGAAAAATTCGAATGAAATACTTTACAAATTATTATCATTTAATAATTAACCAAAACTTATGATCATTTGTTAATTAATTTGATTTATTTTTAAAACACTACTTTCACTCTAATTAATCATAGATATTTCCTTTAATAAATTTATTTTACCACTCTAAACAGCAGTAAAAATATTTTCAAATATTTTCCCATCAATTTATTGAAAATTAAAAGCATCATTAATAATTGATTTAATAATTTGTAAAATTAACTTGATTGCTTAATATTCATCTGATTAATCTTTAGAAGACTCAGCTTAACTTAATAAATCATGAATAACTTTCAATATTTCTGAACATTCTACTTTTAAATCTGCTTATTCTTTCAATATATTTAAAAATGAACTCTGTAAAATTTAAAAAATATGAGATGCAGATGTTGTATTTTTAATTATATCATTTTCTGTTTTTATTGTCAAATTTTTATCTGCTAAAAATAAGCAACCTGGATTAATTTCATCAATTAATTCTTATTCTTTTTAGATAATTAAAGTTCTAACTTTTTAATTAATCTTAATCTTTTTTACATACACAACTAATTGCTCTTTAATTTTATTGAAAACTTCCCTAAATTCATTTTAAATTTCAAAAATGTTTTTTCTTTTTGATCTTTATATAAAGTATTGAAGTATTTAATTTTCATTCTCTGATTTGCAAAGCATTTTTAATGCTTCCATAATCTTTAAATGCTCTGGTTTTTCACTAATTAGTATAGTAATGAATTAAACAGAATACTTTTATTTTACTTCCAAAATTAAATTTTATAAGGATTCATAATCAAAAGGTTCCTAGCCATCTGTAATCAAAATGATTGTCACATATGAAGGATAATCAAATTATAATAAATTCAAAAGCATTTATTTCAAAGATATTGTTAAATCACCAAAATCATCTTCGAGAAAAGTTAAAGATTAACTTAAACTTTTGGTCCATTAAAATTGCTATCTTTCTTATTCATTAAAATCTTAAAAGACTTCAAAATATACTTTAAGAATTGAGGCATATTCTCTTTTCATTGATTTTGTGCCATCGATAAGTGTAATAGGAAAGGAAATTATTTATTTTGCCTAAGGGGCTTAATAAAGAAGGTATTAGCTCATTAAAATTATTATTTAATAAAAAATATCATTTTAATTGAGCAGGATTATAATTGATTAAATTCTATTACTATTAATAAAAATCTCAATTTATCAAATTCTAGTATATTTATTGTGCAATGCCCCTTAAGAGTGCATAAGCTTTAAGTGAAAACTTTTAAGAGACTAATCCTGTAATAATGGATTCTCTATGAAGTTGGAGGGTTTCAATTTTATACCTTAATATTCTGGTTTATCTCCTACTTAATCTTTTCTATATTATTTTAATTGCTATTTAAATGTGCTTGTACTAAATGATTTATCATTAACAAGGTCATTAAGTCCAGCTTATTATGAATTTCTAGTATTCTGTGATCCAATGTTACTAACATAAACTTTCATTCTTTCAAAAACATCTAAATATTTATTTTATTTTTACTAGAATTTGGTTACTCAGCACTTATTGTGGTTTTTTAAAGAGAATCATTTCCTCCTAATCCTAATTTTCCCATATAATTTGCTAATTCATCTCTTCGTTTATTCGATTTATTTTTATCCTTTATATCAATATTAATATTCATTTGTTATTAAACCTTTGAATTATATTAATTATCATTTTTAAAATGAGTAGGATTGAATCCTGGTGAAGCACTTCCTTAAACAAATCCAAATTTTTAGTTCTGTTTATTACTTCCTTTGTATTATCCAGAACCACTACCAGTTTCTACAAAAATATCTGTTTTATTAGGAGTTTTAAATTATTATAATAATTAATCTAAAGGTCTATTGCTTCCTTTTTATCTATAGTCAAAATGACTATTCTCTTAATATTATTCTTCTTAAAAAGATGATTATTTATTAAACAAATCAGTTAAATCACCTAGTGTTGATGTATTTTTAAATCTATCAACCATATTATTATATTAGCTATAAGATTTTTAACTTATATTTAATCCTGGTTCAACTTTTGCATCCAAAGCATCTAAAATTTACATTTTCTATTATGCTATTGCAACTTTGTGTTATGTCTCTAAAACTTATACATCAAGATTATTCCATCCCAAATTCCATTCTTGTTATGTTATTTTACCATCATGATCAGCATCAAACTTTTTAAATATTTCAGATTTCTATTCTCCTCCAACTGAAAAATGACTTTCATCTATTGTTCCTGTTTAATCAGCCATGGACTTAAATGCATCCATTTTATTTTGATGTTAATTGATAAGTTCTTTTGAAGATTTCTCCCATGTTGTTGTAACTTTCACTTCAGAATTGGATTCTTATGGTTGTTTCGATGAAGATTATTGCTCAGTTTCTTAATTGACACTATCCGACATCTGATAAATTTAAATTTTATTTATTTTTAATTTCGATAATTTTCATATTTTCTTTATATATAGTTAATATACATATCACAATGAATAAGGCATTTATCTAAATAAATACTATTACTAAATCATATAAAATTATAACAGCTATTCTTGTAATTTTTATTAAAAAAACATCGAAAACTAAATATAATCAATCTCTTACATTAGAATTTAATTAATTGATTTAATTAGCATAATTATTAGGTACAATTTATTATTATTATTAATATTACTGTTGTAATTATTGTTATTATTATATTTACTATGTTAATAACTAATTGTTATTATTTTCTTCTATTTTTACAATTTTTTGTATTTTTTCATAATTTTCCATTTCTTAAATATTGCTTAATTTCTCAAATCTTTAAAATTATTCTTATTTTTCATCTTCAAAGTTTTTGGTTGGTAATTTGTCAAAATCTTTGTATTTTTTAAAAGCTGACTTTCTTTCCAAATGATTAAAAGTTTATTTAATCTGTGATTGAGATTAAGGGTCAATTTCAATTGGTATTTATTTATCTAATTTAATATTCTATTGATCAGATTCTAATATTGATTATTCTTATTATTATTATTATTCTAGTGTAAATTAATTCATTAATAGTATCAATTAATTATAGCTTTATCTATATTATTCTGAATTTAATTCTAACTTTTAATAAGTGAGTTCATTAACATGTTTCTTTTCAATTACTTTTATCTTGGTTTACCCAAATAATTAATTTAAAGAATCCTCAATCTTAAATAAAATCAATAATTTTACTTTCCTCTTAATTCTATTATTATTTGACTAAAACACTATAAGATATTATGATATTTGGCATTTAGACATTAATTATTTCTAAAATTCAATCAAATGATTTTCAATTTCAAAATTTCCTTAATAATAAATATTGAAACATCTAGAAAACTTTAATGCTAAAAATACAGGATGTTTAATCTTAAGAATAATAAATATTTTTACTTTATTTCTTATATTTGGTGCAGTTAAATAATTATGTAATCCATTTTCATTATTTTCAATAGGTGCATCAACAACTTCATTTTAATGTTTTTCTTTTTTACAAAAATTACGTTCTAAGTATTTTGGTTCGAATGGTTAGATATACTATATTTATCTATGTTCATCACGAGCACTTTTTCTACTGTCTATAAAAATTGGAGGCGATTGTAAGGTAAGAATAATGTTTTCTTTTTCTTTAATGACTAATAACAATTAAAATTTGTGGCCTTGATGATTATAAGTGGTACTATTAAATTTTACACCCTAAAGTCGTTTAATGAATTTACAGTGAAAAATGCTCTGCCATCTACTAACTCATATTAAGTTGTTCCTTCTAATCCTATTTCTTCGAATAGATCAGGTTATAATAGTTTGACTGCCATTAATTGAACCTAAAAATAGTTTGCTATTAATTACTTAGCAATTCATCCATTACGCACATTCTTCATTCATTAGATTTAATTTAACAGATATATTAGGTATATTCCAACTTTTATGCCAATTCCACCCTAAATCATTATTATGTTGGAACTCCCTTTCTGTATCAATCTTTAATTAAACTGGTCCAACATTCGGTGTAACTGTTTATCTAAGACATTAGTAATTGTTTTTTGTTTTTACAGTACAGGAAGTCTAAGTCCAAGTAAAACCTTTAAGTTAGTGAGCCATATTATCGATATAAAACAGAATTTAAATAAAAAATTAGATTTCTTTAAATCACTCATTCATTTATAAATCCTCCCATTTTTCATCAAAAAATAAATAAAATCAATCTACTTTTGTACCTAGACACTTAGAGAAAAAAGAAATCCTGAATATTAAAATATTAATATAAAAGATTTTATTAAAATATATAATATATAATTAAAATATAGTTTATGTATTATTAATAATTACTTAATTGATTTGAATTACAAATACACAAATTTGATTTATAATGGATTACTAAATTATTGATTAACCTTGAATTTAGTAATGTAATACATATAATAAAATAAAATAATATAGAAAATGATATTTTTATGTTTTTTTAAATGTGAATAATCATATCATTCATTATGAAGCACCAGATTAAGGTCCTGCTGCTGTTTCACTTTAACCTGATTTAGGTCCAGCTGCTGTACTAGTTTAACCTGATTTAGGTCCTGTTGATTATTCAACTACTCCTGATTTAGCTCCTCCTGTTTTATCTATAACTCCTGAAGCTGGTCCTCCACTTTTTGTGAATTGTCCAGATGCAGGTCCTCCTGTAACATCAAATTATCCTGAAGCTGGTCCTTACAATCTGTTCAATTTGATTGAACTTAAACCTTAATTACCAAGTAAGACTGATAGAACTTAATCAGCAGCTTATTGTTATGGTTCATAGGGCCATGAAGAAATTACTTATTTAGGTTTATTTGTAAAGGCACCATCACCAAAGTTTAGATTCCAATTAAACATTGTACCTTCAAATTATTGATTAAATCCATCTCCACCCAAATAGAACCAGAATTTATTAGGAACAAAGTGTTTCAAATCATTGTATTGATTTCCTAATTCTCTATTTAAGAAGAGAGTGTAAGCAAAGGCTTTTCTAATCTTAGAATTATAACCAAAGTATAAGAATATCCATTCACCTCCATTTGCTCCAATCTTAGATGGCCATTAGATATCATTTTAATCATCATCATTACTATCTAAATCTCCATAATCATATGTAGAGAAGGTGAAGGCATCTTTAAATAAGAAACATGCAAGAGTTCTATCACCAGCTAATGATTTATCTTTTTGAATTTATGGATCATTAATAGTTAATCTGAAGATCATTCTAGATAATTCATCAGCTTATCCTTTTCTAGTTTGTACCCAACCAGATACTGCATATTCAAGAACTCCCTAATATTAATCATATTAAGTTTTAATTGGAATTCCAGCATCACCTTTATTGACTACTTTCTCTTCTTTCAAAACATTAATATCGGTTCTAGCAGGAACTGTCAATTATGGTTTAGGTTAGACTGCTAAAACATCTTTAAGGAATTGTTCTTTGGAACCAACAAATCCTTAGCCGAAGAAGATTCTTAAACCAGTAATCATACCATTAAATGATGGATATCCAAATTCATTATTAGCTACAACAACTCTAGCATAACCATTCAATGGATTATGAGCAATATCTATTAATTCAATTCTAGAAACTGTTTACACTGGTAGTTCTCCAAAGTGAACAAAACCTACTGCTCTAGCTGAATCCTATGCTGTGAACGAATAATAAATATAATTCCAATGTCCTTCAAGATAATCATCATAATTTGAATTAGCAGAAATAGAAGCCTTATTATTCTTCTTATCGTATGTAGTGAAGTGATAATATCCTTTACCAGCCCATATAGCTAATACTCTATTTCCAAGAGCAACATTATCCTCATATTTCTCAGTACTAGTTAATCTAATCAATTAATGGAATGGAGATTTCTCAACTACTCTATCTGGAGTGGTCATTAACCATCTTGTCCATAATCCATAACCATATTCAGTAACTCCACCAACTTCTTCTTTAAATGTCAAATCATATCCTGGTTTATCCTTTATTGGTACAAGGATAATTTCTTCTTTAGCAGGTTTCCATTCTGATTTCTTAGCTTACATTCCTAATAAGTTTGGTAACATATTTTCATAATTTCCTTTATTTGGATCAATATATGCTCCTTTTCCAAATATTGCTCCTACTTTTCTCATAGGTCCATCCCAACCTCCTAACATACCATCTGATCCTGCAAATAATGCCATATATTTAGGAACCATATGTGCTACATTATCATAGGGTACAACAGCCTTATCTGAGGGGAATTTAACAATACCAGAGGCAACTTTCTTTGGCCAACTATATCCAAACCATACGTATGTCCAAACACCAAAGTTATTACCTAATGGAGTTGGTTTTCTGATATTAGCAACTTATCCATCATCAATAGTACCAAGTGTGTATGTTGAGAATACTACTTCATTTGGTTAATACATGATTAAGAGTGTTCTATCTCCTACTATAGCTGCTTCTTTTCTGTATGCTGGTTCATTATTTGTCAATCTCAAAAGAACATTATTATCTTTCTATAATTTAGGTGAAGCATATCTGAACCATCCAAATATAGAGTATTCAAGAGATTCTTAGTATTGAGTAGGCCATTCAGTGAATTATGGATTATCTCCAACTTTCTTTTCAATTTCATCTTCTTATATTTTTAGAACTTAAGTATCAGGAATATTGAGATCTGGTTATGGGAATGTAGTTTTGATTAAAGCTTCTAATTATTCAACATCTGGTACATAACCTTATCCTCCGAAAATCATTTATAATTAAGCAATTTTACCACTGAATCCTGGATAAGTGAATTCTTTTCCTACAACAACTTTACCATAACCTTCAATTGGTTTATGTGTAATTTCTGGGAAGGTAACTCTCTTGACATCTCCTGTACTACTGAATTTGACATAACCAAGTGCTTATTATTTAGAACTTGCAAAACAGAAGTAAATGAAATTCCATTCTCCTTCTAACTTATCATCATATTTAATATCTTAAGCAATAGTAGGTGTATTGGTAGCTAAATTATATGTTCTAAATCCATAAAATCCTTTTCCTAACCATAATGCAAGTGTTCTATCTCCAACCTTAGCTTAATCTTAATAATCTTTATTGACTGTAAATCTAGCTACAGAAACCCATGCTGGTTTTTCTAAGACTCTCTTTGGAATTGCTGTTAAATATCTACTCCAAAATCCAATTGCATATGCTGAATGTCCATCTACTAATGCTGGTTCAAATTCTTATTATAATGTTCCATCAAATGGTTATTCAAATTCATCTTTTTTATCTGACCATTTATATGGTTTTGCTTAAACTCCCAAAGCACCTGCAATATATGGATCAAAACTTAAAACATCTTTATCTCTATAAGCACCAGTTCCAGCCATTAAATACATTTATTAGTATTTACCATTGTATGGAGTATGAATTCCATCCTTTCCAACATATAATCCTAAATATCTTGGAACTCTGTGAGATGCTGGTAATTTCTTTTCACATTCAGTAGTTCTGGTCTTGTAGAAACTATAAACACTTGAAGCTTTTTTGCTGTAAGCATAATAAGCATAAACCCAAGCAGTTTAATCAAGTGCTGGAGTTGGACATTCTGTAAAGATTTATTAGAATGCATCATCAACATCTGGATTAGTATAAGTACTAAAGAATTATCTATGATCAGCATATTAGAATAATGATAAAACTCTATCTCCAGGTCTAACATGATTTCCTCTAATATTTGGTTCATTATATGAGAGAGTATAAACATTTTCCCAAGTTGCTCTAGCTATTGTAGACCATTTAAACCAAATTGATACTGAATACTCACTTTATCCTGCAAACTTATCAGCAAATTCTACTGGAGCTACTTATGCAACTTCTCTCTTCAAATCTCTTGCTTCTTCAAAAATAACTTCTTTAATTGGTACTAATTCTGGGAATTTTGGCATTTCTGGTAATAATTTTCTAAGATCATCTGGATTCTTATAGTATGAACCATCTCCTAACATCAATATAACATTTGATATATGACCATTAAATGAATGATAATTTGTTCTCAACTTAGCACCTGAACTACCAACACAGAAGTATAAATAATCAGACAATGGTAAATGATTAACTATTTCAGGGAAATTAGTTGTTCTTACTGCTTAACCTCCAAAGAATACATGTCCTACTACATTTCCACCTTTTTCTAATTTCTTATATCCATAATAGATATAATTCCATGAACCATCCAATAAATTATTATAATTTACATTATTAACCAAATTTCCATTTCCTGGCAATGAGGTTGTGAAATGATAGAAACCTGCTCCTACCCAAATAGCCAATAATCTATCTCCAACTTATGCTGCATCTCCTTAATAATTTGGTCTATATGTCAATCTTGATAATGCCATCCAAGCTGGTTTATCTACTATCTTCTTCTCTCCATTCCAAATAAATCTTGTCCACATTCCATATCCATATTCAGTCAATCCATTTATATAATCATCTGTTATTTCTACTTCCTTTCCTAATGATTATTCTGTTGGTCCCCAATTGTTTTAGAACATTTCTTTAGATTCCCAATTCTATGGTTTTGGTATCACTCTTCCACCAAATCCAAATGATAATTAATCTGATTCATCTGTTCCATAATCTTAAGTCTTGTATGCTCCATTACCAGTATTGAAATACCATGATTCAAGGAAACCATTCCATCCACCATGCCATTAATCTTTACCAAATTAAACATAGAATTATGTTGGAACAAAATGATTTGCTGGAACATCAAAGTGTATATCTCTTGATGGATATTTAATATATATGTGAACATTCTACTTCTATCTTGAATATCCTTAATAGAAATAAACCCAATTCTTATGCATTACTTCATCATAAGGATTTGTTCTCTCAATATTCCATGCTCCACCATGACCTTAATCTACTGTGTATGTGGCAACATAGAAAAATCCATTACCCTTCCAACATGCTAATGTTCTATCTCCTGGTCTATCCAAATTCTTTAATCCATCAGCATCTTTATCATAAATTTAAACTCTATAAAGTAAATGCCATGCTTAAATTGCTGCTGGGTCAACCCATCTAGCCCAACCTGATATTGCATATTCATCCTTTCCTCTTGCAGCATCTGGTTTTATTGTTACCCAAACTGGTTCACCATCTGCTTTAAATTCTTTCTTTTCTTTCAATATTGATTAACTAACTCTAGTTTGATCAAATAACACTTCATCTGGTAATTTCCATGGACCTTATAATTATCTTAATAAATCTTCTTTAGTAGCAATATGAGCTCCTTGTCCATATCTCAATCCAATATTTAACAAATAACCATTGAAATTGTTGTATTTGAAAGTTTCAGTTTCACCTCCTGAAGTGAATCTTAAATAGTCATTTACTAGTTCATGTTTAACATTAAATGTTAAATCAGCAATATCTTTATCATCAAAGAAAACATATGCTTTAACTTATCCTTTCTTGTAAGACATAGATATGAATCTCCAATAGCCATCAACAATCTTGAATGGAGTTTGTTATGCAACATCATTATTACCTTGAGTATAGGTAGCGAAATAATAAGTTGGGAAATACTACCATGCCACTAATACTCTATCTCCAGGTTATTGAGTGTTCTTGTTAACTCTTTAAGTTGTAAGTCTACCAATAGAATGAGTATGAGGTCTAAATGGTAAATTCTTTGGTTCTGTTCTAGATGATCTAACCCATGCAACCCAACCATATTCGTCTAATCCTCTAATATTGTTCTTGGCATCTTCTAATTAAACATCAAAAACTGGATCTTTGCTATCTGAAATGGAACCAATTAATTTATTCTTTTCAGACCAAATTTCAACTAATTCAAATGGTTTTCTGTATTTCTTTTCTCCATCAGCAAATTAGAATAAGTCATTCTTTTTAGTAAATGGTTTCATAGTAAATGCTCCTTCTCCATAATTTAAATTAACCATACTAGCAGTACCAGTAAATCCTCTATGAGATGGGAAGAACTTCTTATAATCTTTACCAAATGATAAATAATGTTTGTTAACAACAAGATGTTTCTATTTATCAAAAACTTTCTCAACATCTGATTCTTAGAAAGAAATGTAATGATATTGAATTCCTTTTTCTCTTGAATATCCTGAATAGAAGAAATGCCATACTGTATGTTAATCAGTATGAGGAATTACATGTTCAAATGTCCATGGTTATCCTGGATTATAGTTATAAGTGTGATATTGATAGTATGTATTATGTTTGAACAAAGCAAGATCTCTATCACCAAATCTATTTTCAGCATTCTAATCTCCATTATATAAACTCAATCTGAATACATTGTACCATGGTGCTCCAAGAGCTGGATTATCCCATCTAAGCCATCCTGAAATTGAATATTCTGTTGAAAATTTGCTGAAATCATTTGGTACTTCTACAATAACTTCATCTTAACTATCTCCCTTGAATTATTTCTCACCTTCAACAACTTTAAATTATCTGAATTTATTATCATCAGCTGGAGGATGTGGGATTCTGTTTACTAAATACTTCTTCTTTGCATCATAATTCTTGACAAATGCACCTGGTCCTAATTTAACTGCATAGTTAGCAAATTAACCATTGAATCTTGGATAGAAATGTGGAGGTGCAGATCCCAAAGTGAATTTCAAATAATCAACCTTTCCATGATTACATTTCATTGGAATATGGAATACTTCATCATTATTGTCAAATTTCAAAATACCTACTGCCAATTAATCTTCTAATGAATAACTGAAGTATAAGAATGTCCATACTCCTTCTCTGTCAGCAACATTAATTCTACCTAACATATTTGGATCTCCTGGTAAATTATTTGTAACAAACAAAATAGCAGCCTGTTCTTACCAAGTAGCTAATAATCTATCTCCCATTCTAATATTTCCTTCATCCTTATTCCATGATAATCTTGACATCATGTACCATGGTTCTAATCTTCCATCTCTCATTTAAACAGGATATTATTCTAAATGTCTATAATAGAATCCATAACCATATTCTTAGATACCTACTAAGTCTTCCTTCTTGAATTCAGTCTAATAAACTGGTTTATCTTAATTCCATGCTGAATCCAATACTTCTTATTATCTAACTGGATCTAATTCAGGCTCTTTCTCTTTGACATTATCTTTACCAATATTGTATCCGAAGATATCTTATTTATTATCAGCATATGATTTAGGATCAAATGCACCATCACCTCCATTGAATCTCAAGTGTGCAATATTACCACTGTATGAGGGATAAACTTTATCCTTAGCTACATAAAATGAGAATTTATTAGGTAAGTATTGGAATGTATTTTTGAAAAGAAGTTCAGCATTTCTATCTCTAAATTCTACCTTAGCATGTGCCAATCTTTATGGTCTAGAATATCCAAAGTAGATGAAATGCCATTTGACATGATCTGTTTCATAATTCATATTCTAATTCTGATTAACATTTCCTGCAGCATTAATATTAGCAACATGATAACAAGTGAAATGGAAATATCCTTATCCAACCCATGCATTCAAAGTTCTATCTCCTAAGAATGATATATCTTCAGAGTTTTAAAGAATTGCAAGTCTAACCATTAAATGCCATGCTTATTAGACAGTTGGAGTCCATTTGAACCAACCAGACCATGAGTATTCTCCAACCAAAGCATATTCAGCAAAAACTTTTTCATCTTTAGCACTATCTTTATTGAATTCTTTTGGTGCTTCAACGATATTCTTTGTCACAAGATTTCTATTGAATGGATCTGGTTATTTAAGTTCAGTGAAGAATGAATTAAAATCAGCATCTTCTTTCTTGAAGATTCCATCACCAACTGAGAAGATTACATTTGCAAATTGACCATTAAATGCTGGATAATTAAGTTATGATCCTCCCAAATAGAATTATAAGAAAGTAGGTGGTGTATGTTCAGCAGCAAATACAACCTTATTCAATTTTTCACCATTATGCAAAAATCCAACTGACTATTTGCTTCCAAGACTGTGGGCAAAGTGTAAATAATACCAAATACCATCAATATCATTTAAGTTATTTATGTTCTATATCAAATTTGGATTAGCTTGATGATATGTAGTGAAGTGATAATAATTTCCTTATTACAACCAAACAGCCAAAACTCTATCTCCAACAGTAATATCTTATAATTATTAATTCTTAGTCAATCTAGCAACAAATGACCATGGTTTATCACTTAATCCTCTGGGCATTTGAACTGGATAATGTGCCATGTGTCTCAACCAGAATGAGTAACCATATTCATTAATGTCATCCAAATCTGATCCAATCAATTTCTTTGTCCATACTGGTTCTTTAACATCAACTGGTGAATCAGAAACTCCCTTATTTTAATCCTTATTGACATCAAAGGTAGGTGATGGTCTCACATAAGCTTATTTACCTATATTGTAAGCAAATATATCATTCTTAGCCTTTTCATAACCACTTGTTCTGTAGGCACCTTCTCCAACATTCAATCTGAAATATGCAGCTAGTCCAACAAATGGTTGAGAGAATTTATCTTTGCCAATTTATAATGAGTATCTGTTTGGATAGTAGTGTTTATGATCTTTGAAAGTAAATTCTTCCAATCTTCCTTTGAACTCTACTCTATAATAAGCTGCTTTCTCAACTAAAGAATATCCAAAGTAAACATAATGCCATCTTACTAAATCTTATCCAGGATTTAATCTATTCCAACTATCTGCATTTCCTCCTCCTATCAAATTATTGTAGTTATATGTTGAGAATTGTAATACATTTGGTCCTGCCCAAGCTGCCAAAGTTCTATCACCTAAAGCTTACAAGTTTTCAGGTGTCTAGAAGATACTCAATCTTGCATATAAGAACCAATTTCCTACTGGAGTACTATCCCATTTAAACCATCCTGACCAAGCATATTCTGGTCTCAAGGCTACATCTTCTTAGAACATTTGCTCTTTAATTTCTTATTTAGCATCATATGGTTATTCCTTAGGTATGACTTCAAAGGTCTTTAAATCATAATTAAATTAGGCAGGCATCTTAAATCCTGAGAGATGTTTAGTAAATGCAGCTTCATCATCAATGAAGATACCTTTGCTGGCTGACACCATTACGTCACTGAATTGACCATTCCATGAATTATAGAAGTCCTTACCTCCCAAATAGAATTGTAAGAAAGATGGTGGTACGTGATTTGCAGCTTATTAGTATCTGAAAGGTTTTTCATCACCATATTTCAAGAAAGCAACACTTTGTTTCTTTTCTAAATTATGACTGAAATGAATGTAAATCCAAACTCCTTCAAAATCTGGTCTCACAGCTGAATTTACAAAAGCATTAGGATTACCAGCATTTGTAGTAGCAAAATAGAAAGCACTGTTTCTATTTAAGAATATTGCTAAAGTTCTATCACCCAAAGTTACATCTTGTAATTTCTAGTTCTTAGTCAATCTAGATACAAAAGTCCATTCACCTTACATACCAGTTCTTTATGGAGTTGGATATTATGTCAAATATCTAGCCCAGAATCCATAACCATATTCTTCAGCACTTGCTACTTCATCATCAGGTAATACTTTAGTATAAGATGGTTTTTCTTATGTTGGTGCTGCACTTACAAAAAGATCTGTTGCTCTATCTTTAATATCAAATGGTTTAACTTTGGTCTACACAAATGGAGCACCAAATCCAAAGAAGTCTTTATCATGAGTGAAATCTTCTCCTTTTCTGAATGAACCAGCTCCTATGTTGAAATTAATTGCTCCAATTTATCCATTGAATCCATTTATTGCATCTCTACCTACATAAACATAGAATCTTGGAACAAAGTAGTGATTGACTTTATCCCATGACAATGATTCTGAACCCTTAAAGTATTATACAAAAGCGTATGATAATCTATCATTTCTTGAATATCCATGATAAACAAAGAACCATCTGATATGTCTATCTTTATGTTCAGCCTATTTCCAAATATTGTTATTTCCTGCTCCATTCATGTTTACATAAGTATATGTACTTTAGTGAACATTACCAAATCCAATCCAACCTGCTAATGTTCTGTCTCCCAACACTGCTGTATCTGTTGGTTCCTTCTTTAATAAAACTCTATATAAGTTCTACCATTAGTTTGCTGGAGTTCCTTCAATCCATTTATACCATCCACTTATTGAGTATTCAACTGGGAATCTTTACTTCTCCTCTCCAAATTCTCTTAAGAATAAGTCATCATCTGGTTTTCTAGTTATTGGATCCTTAATCAAAGCATAATTTTATGGAGTTGTATCTAATTTTGGATAAGAATTAGCATTAACATATTTATTCAATGCATCCATACTATCAACATAAGCACCTAATTAAGTAGAGAATGTTATAGATGTGAATAAACCATTGAATCCTGGGTATCTCTTCTCATCATTACCTCCAAGAATGAATCTCAAATATTTGGTTAATGGTTAAGTTGTTTAGTGTGTGATCTATTTGAAATTTTCATCTCCAAACTTAATGAAACCTTAAGCCTTGTTCTCTTCTACACTGTATGAATAATAAACAAATGTCCACAATCCTTCAATATCTTCTGGATAATTAACATTTTGAATCATATTTGGATTTCCAGTCAAAACATTTGCTGCTGTGAAATGATAATATCCTTATCCTTACCACATGGCTAACATTCTATCTCCCATTCTAATATTGTCATATTTCTCTTAATTAACCAATCTAGATATGAAGTACCAAGCTTCATTCTTACCATTATTTAATCTTTAAGGATAGGCTGTCAAGAATCTCATCCAAAATCCATAACCATATTCATCAAATGGATTCTCTGAAGTAGCAACCTTATCATGTATTGGTTTATCTTAATTGAAAGCATTTTCCTTAACTGCAGGATCTGATTCAGCTGGTTTAAATCCAGTATCTGGTTTCTTTAACTTATCAACTCCAGCTCCAATTCCAAAGGCATCATTTGGATGAGTGAAATCTTTAGCACTTCTAAATGCACCTTTACCCAAATTGAATTGAGTATATGCAATCTTACCATTCCAACCTGTGAAGAATTTATCTCTTCCCAAAAATACTTAAAAGTTTGGTGCATAATAATGGTTTGTATTATCATAAACCAAGAAATCATCATCTGCCTACCATTTAATGTATGAGTATGCCTTTGCTTAAGTCTTGGAATATCCGAAATAAATAAAGAACCATTTTGTGTGTCTATCCTTATGCTATATGTTCTTCCAAACATTTGCATTACCTCCTCCATTCATATTAGCATAAGTATATGTTGGCATGTGAATAATACCTCCTTCACCTGTTCCAATCCAAGCTGATAAGGTTCTGTCTCCTAAGAATTGATCTGCTGGTTTTTCATTTATTGATACTCTGAAAATATTTTACCAAGCATCTTGTGGTGCTGATTACCACTTGAACCAACCACTCATTGAATATTCAAATGGGAATCTTTCATTGTCTTTTCCAACTGCATTAAAGTTTGGATCATTAGTCTTCTCTCTGAATTATTCATTTGTAATTAATCTATAAGTTTGCAAATCAACTTATCCAACTGTTGGATTTTCTAATTTATTCATATATCCCTTCAATTAATCAGCAGTATCAATGAATACTCCTTTAGCTGCATCAAATGTGACTTAAGTGAAAATACCATTGAATCCAGGATATCTCTTAGCATCAGTACCTCCCAAAGTGAATCTCACATATTTTGTATCTGGATGGGTAACATCATGTCTGATTGCTTTGATTGAATCTTCATTTCCATATTTAATGAAACCAACTGCTCTTGATTTAGCTTCGCTATATGAATAGTAAATGTATGTCCAAACTCCTTCAATATCAGCTGGATAATCAATATTTTAAATAACATTAGCATTTCCATTAACTGCATTACAAGTTGTGTAGTGATAATATCCTTATCCTTACCAAATAGCCAATAATCTATCACCCATTCTAACATTGTCATATTTCTCTTGATTAGCTAATCTTGCAACAAAGTACCAAGCTTAGTTCTTTCCATTAAGCATTCTTTCTGGGAAGGCTGTTAAGAATCTCATCCAGAAACCATAACCATACTCTTCTAAATTGTTATCTGATTATGCATTAGAATCAACAACTGGTTTATCTTAACTTGTAGGACTACTCAATATATCTTTATTAATTTATCCTGGTTTAACTTCTTCTTATTTTTCAAATAATTTGGCTTAACCAACATTAAATTTGAAGATATCTTATGGATGATCAAATTTATTGTTCTTAACATAAGCTCCATCACCAGCATTGAAATTAACATATGCAATTCTACCATTGAAACCAACAAATGGTTCATCTCTACCAACCCAGACTTAGAACTCTGGTGTCAAATAATGGTTGATCTTATCATACGACATGCTATCTTCAGAATCAAACCATTTAACATAAATCTAAGTAGTAGCTTATACTTTTGAGTATCCATAGTAGACATAGAACCATTCATTTATTCTATTCTTATATTGAATGTTTTTGAAGAAATTATTATTACCACCTCCATTCATATTAGTGTAAGTATATGTTGGGAAATGAAGGATGCCTCCTTCAGCAGTTCCAACCCAGCAAGTAAGTGTTCTATCTCCTAACCAACTATCAGTAACTGGGGTCTTCTTAATTTGTACTCTGAAAACATTATGCCATGCTGCTTATGCTGTAGGCTTCCATCTGAACCAACCGCTCAATGCATACTCTAATGGGAATTTATTATTTCCTCCTACTGATTATACAACACTTGGTTTATCATCTTTGTCTCTAGTTATTTGATCTTTCACTAATTCAGTTGTTTACAAAGGAACAATAACACTTGGAGCTTGGTTCTTTAGCAAGTAAGCATTTAATTTATCAACATCAGAAACGAATGCTGATTCAGTTGAGAATGTGACTGATGTGAATAAACCATTGAATCCTGGATATCTCTTAGCATCATTACCACCAAGAATGAATCTCAAATATTTGGTCAATGAATGTGTTGTCTCATGAACAATTCTTTAGAAATCAGTATTACCATATTTGATAAAACCAACAGCTTTATTTTATTCAGCACTATATGAGTAATAAATATATGTCCATAATCCTTCAATATCTTCAGGATAGTTATTATTTTGAATTAAATTTGGATTGTTTGTAGCAGATGAACAAGTTGTGAAATGGTAATATCCTTAACCTTACCAAATAGCTAATGTTCTATCTCCCATTCTAATATTATCATATTTATCTTGATTAGCCAATCTGGATACAAAGTACCAAGCCTAATTCTTTCCATTTGGTAATTATTCAGGATATTTACTTAAGAATCTTAACCAGAAACCATAACCATATTGTTCAAATGGCTTTTCTGAACTTACTTCCTTATCAACAACTGGTTTATCTTAACTTGAAGCATTTTCAAGAATATTCTTATCAGAATCAGCTGGTTTGAATTCGTCAGCAGGTTTTTTAATGAATTTTTCTGTACCACTCTTGAAACCAAAAATATCCTTTTCATGTGAATAATCAGTTGGTTTTCTGAAAGCACCTTTACCAATATTGAAATTAACTTCTCCCAATTTACCATTAAATCCTGGGAAATGATCATCTCTTCCTGTAAATACATAGAATTGGGTTGCCAAATAATGATTAGTCTTCTCATATGCTAATTGATCTTCTCCATCTGTCCATTTAATGTAAGCTTAAGCTAATTGTTGATCTTTTGAATATCCAAAATAGAGGAAGAACCAACTAGTGAATCTATTTTTATGTTAAATGTTTTTCCAAACATTGGCATTACCTGCACCATTCATATTAGTGTAAGTGTATGTTGGTAAATGAATGATACCTCCTTCTCCTGTTCCAACCCAAGCTGATAATGTTCTATCTCCTAAAACATTGTCTGTTGATGGAGTCTTAATTTAAACTCTGAAAATGTTATGCCATGGTTATTAAGCCAAAGGTTACCATTTGAACCATCCACTGAATGCATATTCAGCTGGGAATCTTTCTGTTTCTTTTCCAATGACTTTAGTGAGTGGTTTATCATCAGATGTTCTTGTTAAACTATCTTCAATTAGTTTGTAATTTGCTAAATCATTGAAGCCTTAAGATGGTTTAGTTAATTTGCTAATAAATCCTTTCAAGAGATCAGCAGTATCAATGAATGCTCCTTCTTTGGTGCTAAATGTAATCTATGAAAACACACCATTAAATCCTGGATATCTGTTCTCGTCATTACCTCCCAATACGAATCTGACATATTTAGTTTCAGGATGATTAACATCATGTCTAATTGATTGAATATCATCATTTCCATATTTAATGTGACCAACTGCTCTATTCTTATCATCGCTATAAGAATAATAAAGATATGTCCAGACTCCTTCAATATCTTCTGGATAATTGATATTTTTAATGTAATTTGGATTATTATCAACTTTATTACATGTAGTGAAATGATAGAATCCTTATCCTTACCAAACAGCCAACATTCTGTCTCCCATTCTGATATTATCATATTTCTCTTAATTAGCCAATCTGGCAACGAAATACCATGCTTAATTCTTACCATTAGGTAATCTAACTGGATAGTTGTGTAAGAATCTGAACCAAAATCCATAACCATATTCTTCAAGATCTCTCTCAGAAGGTGCAGCCTTATCAACTACTGGGTTCTTTTATTCAAATCCATTTGTTAATTCTTCAGTAATTGGTGTTCCTGGCTCAATTGCAGCAGCAGGTTTCTTCACTAAATTTTCAACACCTTATTTAAATCCAAAAGCATCTTAAGGATGATCGAAATTAGGATCTTTTAAGAATGATCCATCTCCTAAATTGAATTTTACGTAACCCATTTTACCACTAAGTCCTGGATATTATTTATCTCTTCCAACAAATACATAGAATTCTGGAGTCAAATAATGTCTAACATTATCATAAGTGAGACTATCATCATTAGATGCCCATTTTACATAAACTTAAGCTTTTGAAACTGTTCTGGAATATCCATAGTAAACATAAAACCATTCAAGATGTCTTTACTTGTGTTGAATGTTTTTGTAGAGATTTGTATTTCCTCCACCAACCATATTGTCATATGTGTAAGTTGGGAAATGGAGAATACCTCCTTCTGGAGTACCAACCCACATGGTTAATGTTCTATCTCCTAAAACATTGTCTGTTGATGGTTTCTTAATTTGAACTCTGAAGATGTTATGCCAAGCAGCTTAGGCTGTTGGTTTCCATTTGAACCAACCACTTATAGCATATTCTTATGGGAATTTCTAATCGCCTCCTCCGACTGTTGCTTCCTTTGTAATATCTGCTTCAGCACTTCTACTAACTTAATCAGCCAATCCAACTGTAGTCAATTATTACAATCCAACTTATGGAACTCCAACCTTTTAGACAAATGCTTTGAATTCATCTACTGTACCAATATATGTTTTATCAAATGAAACTCCTGTGAATTAACCATTAAAACCAGGGTATCTTGCTTCATCATTACCTCCCAAAATAAATCTCACATATTTAGTGTCTTTGTGTTAAGTTGAATGAGTAGCTGTTTATGGAGCATCATTTCCATATTGAATGAATGCAACTGCCTACTTACTGGCTCTACTGTATGAGTAATAAACATATGTCCACAATCCTTCGATGTCATTTGGGAAATTGATATTTTAAATAAGGTTTGTATTTCCATTAGCAATATTGCATGTTGTGAAATGATAAAATCCTGCTCCTTACCAGATGGCTAAAGTTCTATCTCCCATACCAATATTATCATATTTTTCATTCCATGTCAATCGAGATAAAAAGTACCATGGTTAATTCTTTCCATTAATTTATCTTTCTGGATAGACTGTCAAATATCTCATCCAAAATCCATAACCATAACTTTCTAATTCTTTTTCATCCTTCAACTCTCTGTTCAATGCTGGTTCTTTCTATCCTTATGCATTGTCAAGCACTTTAGAATCTGGTTTGGTCTCTGGTTATGGTTTTGGTTAATCCTTATGATATGTATTAACTCCACTTCCAAATGAGAATGGATCTTTTGGTAAATTAAAGTTCTTATCTCCTACAAATGCTCCTTCACCAATATTAAATTTAGCTTATGCAACATTACCATTGAAACCAGGGAAATGCTTATCTCTTCCAGTGAAGATATAGAATTTTGATGCAAAGTAATGTCTGGTATCAGGGTATTCAAGAGTATCTTCTGATTAGGTCCATTTAATATAAACTTAAGCTTTATTTTAATCTTTTGAGTATCCAAAGTAAATGAAATGCCATTCAGTATTTCTTCCTTTATGCTGAATATTCTTAAAAAGATTTGTATTACCACCACCATTCATATTAGTGTAAGTGTATGTTGGTAAATGAATGATACCTCCTTCTCCTGTTCCAACCCAAGCTGATAATGTTCTATCTCCTAAAACATTGTCTGTTGATGGAGTCTTAATTTAAACTCTGAAAATGTTATGCCAGGGATCTTATTACATAGCTGCCCATCTAAACCAACCACTGAATGCATATTAATGAGGTAATCTCTTCTCTTCTACTTCTGTTACAACTGGTTCATCCTTTGGAGTTCTTGAAGTCTCCTTATCAACTAAAGTTGTAGTACTCAAATCAACTAATTTAATGCTTGGTTTTGGTCCTTAAGTATCCAATAATTTATTAAGATTTGGTACTGAATTGATATAGGCTCCAATTCTACTATTGAAATAAACATTTGTAAATAGACCATTAAATGCTGGATATCTCTTTTCATCTGTGCCTCCTAAAATGAATCTTACTTATTTAGCAGCTGGATGTGTGACTTAATGAGTTACTTATTAGAAATCGCTTTCACCAAATTTAATAAAAGCAACTGCATTGTTCTCTTTTGCACTATATGAATAGTAAACATATGTCCAAACACCTTCAATATCATTTGGATAATCAACATTCTTAATCACATTAGCATTGTTACTCTTTTAATCACATGTTGTGAAGTGATAGAATCCTTATCCTTACCAAATAGCTAATGCTCTATCTCCCATTCTGATATTATCATATTAAACATTTGTGGTTAATCTTGATACAAAGTACCATGCTTGATTCTTTCCATTTGGTAATTATTCTGGGAATTTAGTCAAGAATCTCATCCAATATCCATAACCATATTCAACAAGGTTCTAGTCACTTGCAACAGTTTGTTTATCAACCTTTGGTGAATCAACACTGGATGCACTTGTAAATACTTATTTGTCAGCTTCAGGAATTGCCTCTGGTTTAGGTGGCTCTACTGGTTTAGCAATTGCTTTAGAACCATCTGAAAATCCAAATCTATCTGCATCATCTGTGAAATCATTTCCTGATCTGAAACTACCTTTACCAATGTTGAAATTAACAAATCCAATCTAACCATTGAATCCTTAGAAATTTGGATCTTTGCCCAAATAAACATAAAACTTTGGAGCTAAATAATGATTAATATTCTAGAAGGTTAAAGTTTCAGCACTATCTTTGAATTTGACATAAGCATAAGCTTTTGAATCTTTTTTTGAATATCCATAATACATATAGAACCATTCTAAATGTCTTTCTTTATGTTAAATATTTTAAATAACATTATTATTTCCTGCTCCATTCATGTTGTTATATGTGTAAGTAGTGTGGTGTAAAATACCTCCAGCAACAGTACCAACCCAAACAGCCAAAGTTCTGTCTCCTAAAAATCTATCAGAAAATGGTGAATTAATGGTAATTCTGAAAATATTGTGCCATGGTTATTATCCTTATAATTTATCCCATCTGAACCATCCACTAATGGCATATTCTTATGGTAATTTAGTTTATTCATCTCCAACTGTTTCAGCAACATGAGCAACAGTAGGAACTCTTTCAATTTATCCAGCAACAATCTTTTTATTAACAGCAGGAGTGTCTACATCTGGAACAATTCCAATTCTAGGTTTGAGTGCATCTAAACTATCAATAAATGCTCCTTTTTCATGAGAATAAGAGACTTTGGTAAAGATACCATTGAAGGCTGGATATCTGTTATTATCCATACCACCGAGAATAAATCTGACTTATCTAGTATCAGGATGTGTAATTGAATGAGTAATTGATTTAACTTCATCATTACCATATTTAATAAATCCTACAGCTTTCTTCTTTTCTGCACTGTATGAATAGTAGATATATGTCCAAACACCTTCAATATCAGCTGGATAATTGATATTTTAAATAACATTAACATTTCCGTTTGCTTAATTGCAAGTTGTATAATGATAGAATCCTTATCCTTACCAAATAGCCAAAGCTCTATCTCCCATTCTAATATTATCATATTAAACATTTGTAGTCAATCTAGCTACGAAATACCATGGTTGATTTTTTCCATTAATTAATCTAGCTGGATAAGCTGTCAAATATCTAGCCCAAAATCCATAACCATATTCAACCAATAGATCATTAGAAGTCAAAGTCTTATCAACATTTGGTGCATTATTATTGAATTTGCTTCCATATTCAGTTTTATCATCAACAACTGGTTTTGTAGGATCAACTTTTGGAACCAATTAACTACCTTTGTCAAATCTGAATGCATCAGTAGGATGTTTGAAATCATTTCCTTTTTTGAAAGATCCTTCACCATGATTGAAAGCTGTAGAGGCTACTCTACCATTGAATCCTGGGAATTGAACATCTTTACCAACAAATACGAAATACTTCTTAGCAAAGTAATGATTAATATCTTTATATTCTAAATTATCTTCACTGTCTCTCCATTTAACATAAGCATAAGCAGCCTTATCATTCTTAGAATAACCCATATAAACAAAGAACCATTCAAAATGTCTATTTTTATGATTAATATTTTATGGTAGATTATTAGGTCCAGCTCCATTCATATTTTTATATGAATATGTAGTTAAATGAATGATGCCACCAGCTCCAGTTCCAACCCATCCTGCTAAGGTCCTATCACCATGACTATTATCTGTTGATGGTTAACTAATTTAAACTCTGAATATATTATGCCATGCTTATTAAGGTGTAGGTTATTCCCATTTGAACCAACCTGAAAATGCATATTCTTTAGGGAATGGTGCTTCTACAGTTTATGTGTTTGGTGCTGTTCCTGGATTTCTTGTAATTTAACTATCAACTAATGTAGTTGTTGTTAAAGGAACCTTACTACCCAAAGGATTTGGTTATTTATTTAAGAATGCCTTGAATTAATCCATTGAACCAATATAAGCTCCAGGGGAAGCAGAATGAACAACTGATTAGAATTGACCATTGAATGCAGGATATCTGTTATTGTCTTTACCTCCTAAAATAAATTTGACATATGTATTATCTGGATGAGTTACTTAATGAACTACATCAATTGGATCAGTTGCACCATATTAAATAAATGCGACTGCCTTCTTCTCTTATTTACTATATGAATAATAAACATATGTCCATAATCCTTCAATATCAGCTGGGTAATTAACATTCTTTATAACATTGACTTGGCCTGGTAAATTGCATGTTGTAAAGTGATAATAACCTTGTCCTTACCAAATAGCCAATGTTCTATCTCCCATTGCAATATTATCATAATTAGGTCTGTTAGCCAATCTTGAAACGAAATACCATGGTGCATTCTTTCCATTTACTAATTTAACTGGATAAGCAGTGAGGAATCTCATCCAAAATCCATAACCATATTCAGAGAGTGGTTATTCTGATTTGAATTCCTTAGTAACTTTAGGTGTATTGTCTGATACTGAATTAGGAATTTAAGTTTCTCCAGTCTCTTTATCAACTTCTGGTTAGACTTTCTTTTAATCTGGTTTTTTGAGAATGTTAATTTCACCTTTTTATAAACCAAAAATATCATCTGGATGTTTGAAATCTGGTGTCTTTCTAAAAGTTCCATCTCCTAAATTAAAGTTCACAAATCCCATTTTACCATTTAATCCTGAGAAATGCATGTCTTTACCAACAAATGTATAGAATTTAGGTGCATAATAATGATTTACATTATTATATTCTAAAGTTTCAATTCCTGAAGCGAATCTAACTCCAACAAATGCTTTCTAAAGATTCTTAGAATAACCAAAATAAACAAAGAACCAATCGAAAATTCTATTCTTGTGCTGTATATTACTGACCATATTTGGATTACCTGCTCCATTCATGTTAGTGTATGTATATGTTGGGAAATGTAAGATTCCACCTTAAGCAGTACCAATCCAACAAGATAATGTTCTATCTCCCAAGAATCTATCAGTTGATGGTTTCTTGATTTAAACTCTGAAAACATTATGCCAAACTTATTATTAAGTTTATTCCCATTTAAACCATCCAGAAATAGCATATTCATGTGGGAACATTTCTTATCCTCCTCCAATTTCATCATAATCTGGAATATCATTTTACTTTCTAGAAACAACATCAGACACTAATTCATGATTATAGAATTAATCCAAATCTTATTTAGGTACAATTGTTCTCTTTAATTAATCTGAAAAATCTTCAATTGTATCTAAAAATGCTCCTGGTCTAGCAGAAAAGGTAACTTAACTGAATAAACCATTGAATCCAGGATATTATTTATTATCCATACCACCCAAAATGAATTTCACTTTCTTTGCAGCAGGATGTTAAACTGAATGTAAAATTGTTCTTGGTTCTTAATCTGCATATTTAATAAAAGCGATGGCTTTTTTAGCTTCTGAACTGTATGAATAATAGACATAGGTCCATAAACCTTCAATATCATTTGGATAGTTGATGTTTTAAATTACATTAGCTTGATTCTTTGGTTAATCACAGGTAGTGAAATGATAATATCCTTAACCTTACCAGATAGCTAGTAATCTATCACCCATTTCAATATTTTTGTAATTCATATTAGAAGTTAATCTTGAAACAAAATACCATGGAGCATTCTTTCCATTCAATAATCTATCAGGGAAAGCAGTTAAGAATCTCATCCAGAATCCATAACCATATTCAACAAAATCATTTTAATCTTCTTAAGTTTCTTCAATGACTGGTTTATTTTCTTCACTTGAACTTGGTCTAGTCAATCCATCAGTATCTGCATCATCTACTACTTTATATGGTTTCTTTTATTTTTCAGGGTCCTCTTCAGTATCTATTTCTGGTTGAACTCCAATCAATTTCTTTTTACCACTATCAAAATTAAATGGATCTCCCTTTCCTGTGAAATCATTATTAGGTTTAAATGATCCCTCACCAACATTGAAAGATACTAATGCTACCTTACCATTGAAACCTGGGAATTATTTATCTTTTCCAACAAAAATAAAGAATTTTGGTACTGAGAAATGTCTAATATTGTCATATTCTTATTTATCTGTTGTTTATTTCCATTAGATAGTTGCAACAGCTTTCTTCTAAGGTCTTGAATATCCAAAATAAACAAAGAACCATTCAGTATGTCTATTTTAATGTGGAATATTCTTAATAACATTTGGATTTCCAGCACCTTCTAAATTTGTAAATGTATAAGTAGGTAAATGGATAATACCTCCATCTTATTTACCAACCCAAGCAGATAATGTTCTATCTCCTAAAAATTTATCAGTTGATGGTTATTGAATTTAAACTCTAAAAATATTATGCCAATCTTATTATTATTTTGGTGCTTCCCATTTGAACCAACCACTGAAAGCATATTCATGAGGGAATTTAGGATTTTTAGTTGTTCCAACAATTGAAAGAACTTCTTTAGTTTCAGGATCTCTTTGTTAAGGATTTGAAACAACTTTATAAGTTACTAATTCAGGTAAAAAGTCTTTTGGTTATTTCTTTTAAGATTGCAATCTTCCAATAACATCTTCTTCAGAATCAAGGAAAACACCTGGTTTAGTACTGAAATAGACTTATTAGATTTGACCATTAAATCCAGGATATCTATTTTAATCTTTACCTCCAATAGTAAATTTAACCCATTTAGTTGATGGATTTTATACTTCATGAGTAATCTTTTTAACATCATCATTTCCAAATTTAATAAAAGCAACAGCCTTCTTTTTCTCAACACTGTATGAATAGTAAATATATGTCCAAATACCATCAAAATCTTCAGGATAATTAACATTTTAAGCAACATTAGGTTAATTTTTTGGTTAATCACAAGTAGTAAAATGATAATATCCTTTACCTAACCAAACAGCCAACAATCTATCTCCCATATTAATATTCTCATCTTTCTTATTAGCACTCAATCTTGAAACAAAATACCAAGGTGCATCTTTACCATTTGGTAAGAATTTAGGATATGCTAATAAAAACTTAGCCCAATATCCATATCCATATTCAGTAAATGGTTCTTAATTCTCTTTTTCCTTTGAAATAACAGGATCTGGATTTGTAAAGTCAGCTGGTTTCTTTTTATTTGTTGAATCTTCATCATCCTCTTCATCTGTTGTACTACTTGGTTCAGAAACACTTTCTTATTATTAATCTTCTCCTTCTGGGACTCGATCATCTGGTTTAGGTCTAACTGGTTATACTGGTTATATAGGTTTCTTTGTTTCTTCTTTTCCTTATTATTAACCATCAGGTTTTCCTGGAATCACTATTTATCCTCCTTAATCTCCATCTTCTCCATCTTTTGGTTTAATTCTTATAATAGTTCCTTAACCATCAGAACATTCTTTTGTTAGTTCTCTTACTTAATCAGCTTTGGAATTTATAATGTTAATTGTAATCTAAAATATTTAAATATTTTTTTACTTATGGTCCCTTTTAACATTAATTTCTCACTTATTCTCTCTCTTTCATTAATCTATTGATCAACTCTTCTATTCTATCACAACATTATTCCAAATCTTTTTCATTCTCAGCAGTATCTAATAAACTTACTACTCCTTGTAATTCCATTGCACTATCCTTTCTCCATCTTTAATATGGTGTAATTTATAAATGTTGTGAACTTATTTAGCTCATTATATCAGAGAATGAATTTCTAAACTACAACAATACTATTTTTATTAAATTTTAGATATTACCAGGTTAGGCATCTTCATATCCACTTCCACGAAAATCTTGTAATGCCACCTTTAATTATTAAAGATTAGAAGAATCTGTATTTAGCTAGTCTTAATTCTCTAAGATCTCTGACCATGCGTCAATAGAAGTACTCACTTCTCCTAACATTGGGCTACAATCTAAATTATTTGTCTCCATTTAATGCAATTCACTTAAATTATGCAATTTTAAATTGCTACCCAGTTAAATGAATTCTTAAGCTAAAAATCATTGTAAACTTATACCTCCTAGCGTACATGCTAGTAATAACACTATAAGCATTGTTTAATTATTCATAAATAAAAAATAATAATGTTTATATGTAGAGATCATATTCCTTATATTTACCAGAAAAATTCGTTTTTCCATTCTGATTTTTTTTTTATAATATATATAAATATTTCTGTTATTATTATGAAACCTCATTCTATTTCAATTACTTCGAATCCCTCCATTTATTTTTTTCGTTTTAATTATACCACTAATCTTTCAAATTTAATACAAATGCTTAACATAACACAATTTTTCTTCAAATCATCTTAATAATACTACATACTATAAATACTTTAGCATATTCCTCTGTCTTTAAATTTCATTACAATCACTTTTCTGATTATAAATAAAATCACCTTAGAACTAACATTACTTGAAGCATCTCAACTTCAAACTTAACCAAAATATAATCAATAGCTAATATTTGCTACATTTTTAATAACAATTAATATTTAAAAAACTATTATTTCTTTAACAAAATATTTTCAGAAAGAAAATAAAATAATATAAAATCTGAAGTTGTTTTGTTACTTTTCAAACAAATTTATAATTAAACTCACATAGGGCGGATGGTTAAATCAGAAATTAACATCTGTTTGCTCATTTTTATTTGATTTTAAAATTTAAATTTTATCACTTTAATTTTACAAAAAGTTTACTTGTATTTTATTTATTATAATGATATAAATTATTGCATTACAACGTTACTTTAAAAATATACATAACAGCGAAAATATATAAATAAGATTTATATTTAATTTTCCTTTCATTCTTGAGAATATAAGAAATCTTATAAACAATTTAAAAAGATTATATAAATAATGATGTATTGTTTTGATTTATTATATAAATCAATGTTTTCAGCTGGATTCCTAAATTTTTGAAGTCATCTCAAGATAGGCTGCATTAAGTTTACTAGCCAAATTATCACCTGATTCAGATTCAAGAATGTTTCCATTAATATCTGTGGCTGTATAGGAATAAACACCAGCATTATTTGAAAGATCAACTACTTCTCCGACGATTCCTGGTACGTATTCAGAATGAGTTTCTGTGAATGATGCATGTTTTTTGGTCTAAGTTTCTTTTTCAGATGTAATTTAGGCCCAATGTTCTAAGAAGGACACATAGAATTAAATAAATACAAGCTTCCTTTGCACTCAAATGATAATCTTTATCACCTAAATTTTCAAACTCAATGAAAGCGCTATTAAAGGTTCTAGCTTTTTTATTATGAACTGCTTTATGGGTTTTTCTTACATGTCCTGCAGTAACTGATAATAATAAGACACAGATGAGAATTGCCTTAATCATAATTTATATTATTATTAAAAATCGTTTTTACTTCTTTTTGGTTTTAAAATTATTATTCAATTAATCTATCATTCATTTTCCATTTACTTCCATACTAATATCAATATCCATGTTATCAATAGGAAAATAAACATTGGCCAAAAAACTATGCAGCTGTAATTTAGTAACCAAATAATCGTCAAAATAATCAAACTCCATTTACATGTCGAATAATTGATAAGGTTGTTGAGATCGTGAAATTACAATGATAAATGAAAACAACAATTATTCTTGCAAGGTATTATAATGCAGCAACCATCAATGCACCGACAAAAAGCAGATATTGAAAACAAAATTAACAGAATCGAAATTACAGATCCAATGAAATCACAACCTTCAGGTGTTTCATCTATTTTCTTTTAGAATAGTTATCTAAAAACAAATCCTAAAAAAACAAATAACCAATATGCAAAACAACATTCAAAACAATCTGGTTGTTTTCTTGATTCTTTTACTCGTTTTTACAAATCCTATAAATATTCTTTTCTTAATTCCTCATCATTATTATTTGCTCTTAGTTAAATTACATATGTACGTATCCTCTTTTTATTGGGTCTGCTTCTCCTCTTCTCGATTATTCATAATAATAATTATTACAAAATGTGCAATGTATAAAATATTATATTTATATATAAAATGTTTAACTATATTCAAAAATTTTTGGCATATTTATCAACCTACATAAAAAATTCGTTACTATATACTTTACAATTTTCCTTAATCTTTCAACTCCTAATTTATTTTCCCCTGAAATATTATCTAGAATAAAAATATACTGATAATATTACCTGATTTATAAGGCGGTGAAATTCTGATTGAAATAGATGGAATTATGATTTCCTATTCTTTCCAATCAACATCCCTATATAATTTTTATAAATGATCAAATAATTGTTAATGTGGTTCTTTCATTTCCTTTTTTATCATCTCTTAAGCCATAGCTGCCAAATCAACAGCCAATAAATTTTATAACGTTTACTAGGCTTAGTGGTACGTATACTTTAGGATCTTAAATATCGATGGTTTACAAATCTTAAATTGATTACTGATTTATTAAAAAAAAGTCATCTTCATTTTCTAAAAATAAATAGCAATCACATTTTATACTTAATATAATTATCGATTCATCACAATAATAAATTAGACCTTGAAACACATCACCATAATTTGTTGTTACTTTAGCTTGCATACCAAATAATTATAGTTTTTAAGTGTCCGTAGTCAATAGTGTCCATTGCTATTTCGACATAAATTAATAATTAATTTAATATTATATATGTATGTAATCAAATATTACAATAGAATCCATACTCAAAGACAAGATATCTAATTGATTCTCATAAATCTATTAGGTATTTATTGTTTACTATTTTATTCTTTATAAGTAGGTTTATAATTTTAAAATTGCCATTTCTCAATTATCTCTACTTTATTAACTCATAAAATATATATAAATAGCTACACCGAACATACTATTTTTGCTTATCAATTGATTCCAAATTTTGAACAACTAAATTTGAACATATATACTAAAATTCCATAAATATTAATTAAATAATCTAAAAAATCGTACTTATTAATTTTATATTCTTAAATTGACATACAAAAAATCTATCTAAAAATTTTATTTTTTAATCCAATTTATTTTTATGTTGACAAATTTCACAAAATAACTAAAATTTATTTTTTAATTTCTAGATTCCTATTAAATATTTTATTCATTCCAAATTATTCTAAAATTCACATTTTTTACATTTAAATAGTGAAACTGATTGGGACGATTCTTAATTATATATATAAATTCTATTTTTTTTTATTATTGATTATTCATACTAACTTTAGATTCATTTTTTTAATCTATCTCGTTTGTATACATTTTTAAACCAAATTTTTTTCTAATCTAATCCTTTAGACTTACATATATCTAGAGATAATAGTTTTTAATATTTTTTTCTGAAATTTCTAATTTTTCAATACAATATTTTCACTAATTCCTTAATCGGAGGTATTTAAAAAGATAAAATTATTATTTTAAATAGTTGCTTCATTTCTATCCTAATTGATTACTCTAAATTTTTTTAGTATTTTATAATTAATAATTTAAATAATTCATTATTCTGAGAGATTTGTACTTGTCATCAATTAATTAACTTAAATCACTTACAAATTAGAAGTGCCATTTGGATGTACTAAAGCTGTTTTTTTTCTTCCAATTGGACTACCTGTTAAACTTTATCCCATTTAAGATTATAATTAAAAAAAACTTCCCTATTTAGTTTCTCTTCTTGGTCGATAATTCCCTATTATCCAATCTTCAATCATTTCTACTTAATGAGATGCAATCACACTTGCTACAAGATAGACTATTAAAATTAAAGTCAAAACTGCTAACAAAGTCATAATTGCATCAATTCCTACATCAGATATTCCATACTAAATGAATAAAACTAAATAGTTTTTAATCATTTACTAGCAATAGTACCAATTATAGCACATATAAAGAAAATTTAGATAAGCCAGCAAATCTTTTAGTGTCTTGGTAAATCCCAAAATCTAGATTTTTGAAAATGATTTTGTAACTTCATCTTCATACGAAATTTTTAAGAGCACAATTCACATTTTATCTAATATTTTCTAAATAAATACTTAATCTTTAAATACATCTTCAATACCATTTTTCTAAAGAATCCATAGCTTTAAACATTCTTCATGTATATATTACAAACTTCCTTTACATGCACATGGCATTATAAATCTTGAGGTCTCTTCCTCATTCATACAAATTCTACAAGTCACTTTTTTTATAGTATAAAAATATACTTCCTCTTTTTGATAATTATAATTACTATTCATTCATTTCATTTACATATATATTACATCCAATCAATCTTCTTCTTTTGATATCCTATATGAATAGATTATAATACTTAATAATAAAAGGTTTTCAAAATTCCTTTTTTAATTACTTCCTTCCTTGGAGAACTTTATTCCTCAGGCTACTAGTCAATATTAATATCTGGAATGAATTAAATAGAAGAATTCATCGGATTAAAATTTCTACGAGGAGATTAATTCGTCAATCCTATTTCACTAGTGTTTGGATTAAAAGACATAAGAGTTTTAATATATTATTATTATATCTATTAATTTCTATAATAATTTAACCATTATTCCTAAAATTTTTACTTCAAGATTTAGAATAAAAATCAATTTTTGCTTTATCAAATGCAACTTTTATGCTCTTTTTTTAATTATTATTTTTTAATTAATTGAAAATAAAATAAAAAAGATTTATAAATGTATTTAATAATATTTTTAACTCTCACAATTCTCCCCTAAAATGAAAATGATCTTTATCTGTTTGTTGCAGAGAGAATCTTGACTAATAGCTATTGTTTATAATATAATCAGCTATTTCTCCTACTTTATTTTAATCTATCAAATAATCTTTCCAATTTTAATTGAAAAGATTATAATTATCATATCTTATTGGATTTCCTATTTATTTATGATAATATAGTATTTATTATCCATAATGACAATGAGGAACTTAAACTTAAGTTAATTTTCCATTTATCAAACTAACATATATTGATGATGAATAATGTTCTTCAAGTGCATGCATATTAATATTTCCATACTATGATTCAGTGCAATTTCTTAAACAAAATACTTTTGAACATAAAACACAAACAAGTATATCATTACTTTCAGAAAATTATTAATTATATGATTTACAATAATGACATAATTGAGGAAAATATTTGTCATGGAATAATTAAAAATTCTCTCCTAAAATATTAATAATTTTCTTTTTTAATTAACTCTTCATTATTAAATAATATTCAGCAAATTCATCCTTTAATTATAATTACTATAAATCTTTATTTTTATTAAAATCTTCTTATAAATTTTATGAGATTGCAAAACAATAACATAAAATAGTCATCTATTATTAATAATTATGATAAAAGTTTTTAGCTATCTAATAAATTTCCTCTTTCAACTAATTCTGATTCTAAACTTTAATAATATTTTTATCTATTGCATCCAAAATATTATTAAAAATAGTATTATTAGATTTAAAATGATAATTTATTCCATTTGTCAACCCACAGATTTTATAATTTTCCACTATTAAACTTAAAAAATTAATTATTTGTTTCAATATTAAATGTTTTTCTAAAAGTTAAAACTCTTCAATATTAATAAATAAATTTTAAATTAAATTAATAAGAATTTATAAATATATTTCAACTAAGGCATTAAATTCATTTTCCTAGTATTATTAAAATATATCTTATTTTTAATTTAATTGTTTTACAACGAATAATAGAGACTAATTAAAGGATTGCAATTATAAAGCATTAATATCATCATTCATAGGTATTTACAGATTAAAGCATTTCAGACAAATTGGACAAACATATTTTTACCATTCTGGAAGTTCAGGAGGTGTTTTCATTAACATTTCTTTTATACTTTATTCAAAACATCTTGCATGGAATTTATGATCACAAATTTCAATTGAAATTGTTGGATAATAAATAAAAGAATTTTCTGTTTATTTAATCAGATTTGGTACTATGGAATAATTTTTGGCTGATACTCTATTTGTAAAAAACATTGGAATAACTTTATTTTCATCAAGTTATAATTTACATAAATCACATTATTATAATGTTTTATCATTTAAGAAATTTTATTTCATTAAATTTACTAAAAATTTAGAAGATTATAATTTATCATATTTGCATTTAAATTGAGATTTAGATGCTTTAGCTTTTTGTTTAGAGATGCAATAAAGAGAAAGATTAGGAATATCTCCCTGAAAAGATTATTTTTACAATAATAAAATTATTAGTTCAAAGTGTATTTAAAATTTTTAAATTTATGGATTCCTCATTAAATTACATAATTAATTAATAATGTTTTGTGTTTATGCTTAGAGTTCATTATTATAAAAGTAATTTGCACATAAGATTTAATAGTAAATGAATTATATGAAAATTTCTGTTTTAATAAAACCTTAATTTATTAAATGGAAACTTTAAAATATTGAAGGAATAGAACACATAACTTAAAGTACACATTTTCTTTATGAATGATAATCTGTTTAATTAAATTGTTTAATATCCCATTCAAGTCCATTTCCAAAAATTAATACTCTTTAAGTCATCAATTTATTTGATAGTTTTTCTAATTAAACAGTTTAAAATTATTAATCTAAAAAAAATAGTCCAGGATCATAAATCTATTTATATTATTTTTTTAATGTTAGTTTATTTATAGATGAATCTAAAGAACATATTTTAAGAACATGATTTTATAAATGAGTTGTAATCTCTATTCCCATATCTTTCAATTTATTTTAAATTGTAGAATAAAGGTAATGAGATTATGTACCTAAGATATTTTAAATTGTTTTTTCTAAGGTTTATTAAAGGATTTTCGGTAGATTTTCATTTTTATGAAAATAACTAATACATAAATTGAAAACATCTAAATCTGAAGTCATAATTCTCATAAAGTATTAACTAAAAATAGATAAACATAATAATTACTAAGTTAATTCGCAAGTTTATGTCATTGAAGGAATAGAAACAATTTAGAATTCTTAATAAATATCTGTAAGTCCTATAGAATCAAATAAGAAGAGATATAATTTACCAAAAGCGGTATCAATGGATTCCGATTTAAATTTAATTGAATTCTCATCCAGTCCATAATAAGTATCAATAACTTCTTAATCTTCAGTGTAAAATACAGTTGTAAAGGTTTAAATACATCTACCTAAGATTCTTTAAAAACAATTTTTAATAGTTTCTATAGAATCTTCTAATAAATCTGATAAATATTATCTAAAATCAGCAGGAGTTTTATAATCTTTTTAGCAAAAATGTACATACAAAAATGTGATAAACATTTTATCTAATAAAGATGCATTCTTAAAAAGATGTACAAACATTGTTTTTAATAAAAAAGTCTTTTAATCATTTGTTTAATTTTGTTTATTTAATATCTAATGATAAAACTTTTTGATTTCAAAATCTAATGGTGCAAAGATATTACGTTTAAGTTTAATGAAATTATAACATTTTACTATCAATAAATCAATGAAATTCATTTAAAATTATTTTTAGCTAAGTTTTGATTAAAATAAATCTTGAATAGCTAAGTTTATTACTTATAAAGCATATCCTTAATATTTTATATAACTCATTAAATCTTCTTTATTTATTACTCTATATGTATAATCTCCTTTATATGTATCATATACTGCTGGTATAGCTTCACTAACACTATTAATTAAAGTTGTGATTATTAAATCATTCATTTAAAAGTTTTTTAATATTTTTTTATCGACCTTATGATTTAAAAAATTATTAAAATCATTTCCCAAAATTTATTAAATTTGTATCATACAAAGATCTCCAATGTCTTCTTATTAAAATTAAGTATCGATAAATTCTAATGGTTATGATGGACAGAAAATCCATTATTCATTTGGTTTATGGAGATATTAAAATTATTTCTATATTATTTTAAATAATTCAAATGTATTACCTCCAAAAACAAATTCATTTAATATTTATTTATCTTAAAATGTACTCAACCATCTAATAATTTCACAACCATTAAATCCAATATTAATCAATTTCGATGTTTATAAAGCTTAAAAATACATTTCAGTTTATTTCATCAATCCTTATACTATACCATCAAATCTTTAAGTTCCATTTGTATATTCCATTAAATTTTCAAGTTATACTATTGAAGTTTTAATGATATCACTATTTGGAGTAACAATAATTTTGTTATATGAAATAAATGATTAAAATTTTCTAAAACATAACGAAGTCATAATCTATTTAAATTGATTTTTGAAAATTTGTTAAAACAAATTAGATAAATCATAAGGTAATTCAATAATGCATAGAATAGGTTCAACTAATCCATATGATTGTAGTATAGATTCTAAAATACTTGATTATGAATTTTGTTAAAGTGGTAATTAAAATAAATATGAAACTACATTTTATAAAGAGGGACTATTATTTATAATAGAATCTAATGCAAGATAAAATAATTCCAATAAAAATTTAGTTTTTGATAAAAGATGAAAATAAGCAGCAATCTTACATTTAGATTCTATGAATTTTTGAAGATTAGGTATATTTTAATTCAAACTAAAAAAATAAAGCATTAATATTGTTGTGGGAAATGAATCTTTTTATTGAGAAATTTTTTATGAATACTATTCAAATAAAGTTGCAACAGCTTTCATAAAAAGTTCAAGATTTTAACAAAGATCTTAAGGTACCTATAAATTGATATTTTCTTAATATTGAATTTATTATGAATGAGTAGTACAAAGAGAATGTTTGAACATTTCTGAATTTCCACAATCACAAAAACCACACATTGTAGTTGGAATATATTAATGACCTAAAAATTATTTTATTAAAAATACCTATATGTTTACTAAAATCAAAACAATCTAGACAAATTAAATGATTTAAATTTTTTGAACATGTTAAGCATTGAAAAACTAATTATCCTTATTCAAAAGTATTTTAACATTAAAATTAAGGGATTTTTGCATTTTCTATAAAATTTAAATGGGATAACTAATTTGAAATAAAAGCTGTAATGATGTCTTTAATTTACAATTCTTTATCATGTTGATTGCATTTTGTATCAATTTTATCTATAAGAGCTTTCATAAATGGTAAAAATTAATAAATTTTAGGATTAAGTCCAGATAAAAATATTAGGAAAAGAATTAAAACAGAATTAATTTATATACATATAGATTATTAAATAAAAATGTACAAAAATATTAGATATATAAAGATTAAAAAAAAAAATGAAATTAATAATGAATAATGAGATATTTGAATAAATGTTATAATAATGTAATATGAAGAGAGATTAAAGTAATTAAAATATTTTGTAATAAATAATATATAAAAGGATGGTTATTTTGAATGATAAGTTACTGAGTAATAGTTAGATAATATTAATGTATATTTGTATGGTAAAGTATAATAATAATAAATTAATTGGTTTCATTTTAATTTTCTTTATGCATTTAACTTTAGAAACAGAATTAGGAGTAAATAACTTGATAATAAATGATTTTCCAAGAGATGAATATGCTGATTTTCTGAGTTAAAAATCATTATCTGAACATGGATTTCCAGTACCAGAAATAAAAAGAAAAGATGAAGATGCAATACCACCACCTAATTCTAAAGATTAACAAATTAGTTTTATGATGAGTCCAATAATGTCACCTAGTTATGAAGGATGTAAGACTAATGAAATACTTATTGTTAAACCTAGTGCAAATGGAGGAACATAGACATCGTTTTAAACTAATTATTCAAAATTAAGGAATTCATAATCAACAGTTGGAGAAGATATGATGAGATACTTATAGATAAGAAGATTTTTTAATCGGTTTATGCGTTCCATGCATCTTTTTAGTAGATTATAAAAACATCACTTAGATATTCTAAATGACTCTGCTTCTAATTATGATCCAAAAATATTTGGTTAAAGATAATTCAATTTTAGACCTTTAGGAATGATGAAAAACCTTAATCTTCCTAAAATACCTTCTTTTAGTTAAAAAATAGAAAAAACTATTAATAGAGTAGGTTAAACAATTAAATAGAAAATCGAATATTGGGATTAAAATATTAGAATATTCTAGCCAGAAGAAAGAAACAAAATTATATGGGATAGTTGTCTTTCTATATCTAGAACTTATTTTATTATATTAATACCTATGGATATATCATTTGAATAAGAATTTCTATACTCTCCTTAACTATATACTCTAACAGTTATTATGACAATACTTTTAATGATAGATATATTACTTAATTTAAATACAGCATATTATTAATTTGGACTTATTGTAAATGAAAGATCTAAAATATTTAATCATGTAATAAGTAAAGCGTATGGTTGTGATGCTATATCAGTAATTTACTTATTTATCTTAATGTTTCTTGATTGGGATGATTATCATGAGGAAAAACAATATATTCTTGTTGGATTATTGACATTTGTAGGATAATACTAGAACATTACTAAATTAATTAGATTAAGTGAAGAAGTTCTAAATTTAACTAAAGTTACAGCTTCGATCTTAGAATTAGTAAAATTGATAGTTTTTTTAATTTTTATTTTGCATGTTGCAACTTGCATCTGGTATGGAGTATGATATTAAATTTATATACTTAGGTAGGTAATTACGGTTTGTAATACCTAGGATCTAGTTGGATTGACAATTATAACTTAGAAGATAATAATTGGGCTGAAAGATATTTGAGATCCTTTTACTTCTGCACTGTTACTATGTTTACAGTTGGATATGGTGATTTAACTCCTTAATGTAATTATATATTATTCATTTTAATATAGCCAATCTAGAATATGTAATTTGTATCATCTTTATTATGATCTTTAGTATCTAATTACCATATAGTGTTAATACTGTTGGAGCTATTATTGATGAGATTTCTAAATATAGTGAGTAGAAACTTTAAAAATTGAGAATCATTAACACTTATATGACTAAAAAGAAAATCAGTTTTTAATTGTAATTTTAAATTAGAGAATACTTAAATTACTATTGGGAAATGGAAAATACTTAATAATCGAATGAAGAATAAGTCATTATAGAATAATTATCAGAATAATTAAGAGAATAATTAATGGTTGAAGCTAATTCTGTTGTTTTAAATAACTGTTCTTTATTTAAAAATAACTTTTCACATGAATTTAAAAAAGCACTTGTTAAAAAAATTAGAACAGTTTCAATCTAACCAGAAAATATTATAGATTATTCTACAGAACCTGATGCGTATCAAAATGCTTATCTTACATTCATTGAATAAGGAGAAGTTGAAGTTTAATTATCAGATTAAATCTTCTCTCCTGGAACTACTTTTCATAAATTAACTTCAGGAAGTATTTTTGGATTATATGAATTCATAACAGGTTAAGAACATAAAGAAGTATATAAGAGTGTGGGATTTACTAAATTACTCATTTTACCAAGATTATCTTTTTTGAAAATTTTAAAAGAATTTCCAGAGGATAGAGAAAAGTTTTGTTAAATTAGAGATAATTTATTATATAATTTTTCAAAATAATCTCTAAAAAATTTAGATATCTCTTGTTATGTTTGTAAATCTAGAGAACATCGTTTTAAAGATTGTCCTTTACTTCACTTTTGTCCTGATAAAGAAAGAATTATAAAATCTTTTAATTTTGTTAAGGAATAAGTCAGAGAAAAATCAATTAGAAAATTCGCTTTAAAATCTGATAATCGTTATTTATATAATAATGCATTATTAGATTTTAAAATTGTTAAAGAAACAGCTGAATATATTTAAGATGATTTTTGGCAAGAAACTCAAATTTATGATTTAGACATAGAAAATGGTTATAATAGTCCAAATAATAATAATAATAATGGTGGTGCTTAAGGATCTCCTTAACATTCATCTAGTTCTGAAGATGAAAAAGATGAAATTGTTTAAGAATTATCAAGACCTTCACTTAATTCTACATAAAAATTCCCTCGATAAACTAGAACTACTAGATTATTAGAAGTTAATTAAATGAAAAAACTACAAGCTAGAAAATCTAGTATTTCTCCATTAATTCCAAGAACTTCTTCATATCTAATTGAAACTTAATAATAACCTAAATTATCTATATTTAGTTAATCAAAATCATTACATACTAATAATAATCAAAATTCTGATGAAAAAGTACAATCTTAAGATTCAGATCATAAAAATGAAACATCAATTTAATTACCTACTTAAACAACTGATTAAATTAAACCCACAATTAGTCCAATTAAATAAAATTTTATGAAATCAGCATTGAAAAAATTAAATGATAATTCTCATAATCATGAAAATGATAATCATTAACTAAATCAAGAAGAAGATAAAGCTAAAAAAGTTAAAGTTAAATTTTAATAAGCTTTTACATTCATAAAGAGATTAAAATAATTAAAGATCTCTAAGGAAGTTGAAAAACCTCGAATTCAACCAAAATAATAGACCTTAGTAGTTTAAAAATAAAATTTAAATTTAATTTAGCAAAGAATCTAAAGAAAGAGTCACACTTTGACTTTGCAAGATCAAAATAAATTAGATCTATTGGTAATAGAACTAAATAATTAATTAAATAATAGATTTTAGGAACTAGATAATTTTGAAAATAAGAAAGATTTTAAAATCTATTTGCCTCATAATAATTTAGTAAATTTATAAATATCAACTAAATTTCATCCTAAATTTTTAAGTAATATGACTCTTTATATAAAATATTTTTTATATCCTGCAGAATTTATAAAGAGATATAAGAATAAAGATCCAACAATATTGGAAGTTAAACCAGTATCATTTGCAACATAGATGAATGCATATAAAGATATTTTGAAATTTAGGAAATAGGCTAGAAAAAAAATAAATAAAAAATAGATAATGCCAGAATGATAAATATTGATATTATAATGATTTATTAAAGAATCACTCTAAATCATTATATGGAATAATGAATTTGCCTGTGCTGTGTAAAAGGTACCTTCATTATGTATTTCCAAAAAGTTTTCTGCAATAGTTCTTTTTTAATCTCCTTTAGAATATTATCTAATGTTGTTAATTCACGATAAGTTGAAATTGGATCTCTTATAATGATTGCCATTTAATTATATATCCAGTTCCTGCCACAATATTATATTAAACTTATAATCACATTTTCTAAATAAATAACTGTATCATCAAAATTATTAAGATCTTAATCAAAAATTTTAATATATTCTAAAATTGAATTTCGTAACCATATCTCCAATTTTTTTAGAGTGACACAATTCCATATTTGAAAATGGTTACAAATCCAGTTTTAAACTATAATTAATCAACAGCTTCATCAATATAACCAATTTTATAGAAATAACCAAAGCAGACACATATTCAAATTTAATATCAGATCTATTAAAAACTTCAACAATTCCTTCTAATTCTTATGCATATTATGGATAATGATTTCTAACAATTACTGCTAATAATATATCATAATCTTTGGTTGTTAAATGTTTAAAGGTGGTTTGGTTAAGATATGAAGAGAAAGTACCAAAAGAAATATCATATCCATATGTATTCATTCAATATTAATTAAGCAGCTGATTTATTTAGTAACTATTCTGTAAGTAGAGGTGGTAACTACTTACTAATAAGATAATGATGAACTTCATTTTATTTTTATTAATTACATATTTAAATATAAGTAAATTTTATAATATTATCTATGATGACTTTATCATTTTTATATTATTATTTCATTCATCTGATAATGTAATACTTGGTTATCCAAATGCTATTAATCTATTATATTTGGCATTCATTATGACTGTATAGAAAGTTCCTTCATTGTGAATAGGATAGGTATCCATAACAGCATATACACCAAATTCATTTAATAAATTATTTTACATTTTAGATAATAAATTCTCTGCAATGGTTCTTCTTTAATCATCTTCAGGATCTTGTAACCAATGATCATAATTTGTTTCTACCAAATATTTGAATCCATTTTAATTTAATGGCTAAGAACTTAATGAAATTGTTGGATAATTTTCAAATGGATCTCTTGAGATTATAACACCTTAATCTTTTCCAGTTCCTCCAATTATGTTATATAAAGGACATGCAACTTAATTGTTTTCAAGATATGTTACAACTTTATCAAAAGTATTCAACTTTTCATTTACCAAAACATCTCTATATGCCCATGCTAATGAAGGTACTCCTTATTAAATAAAGGTTAATAATTAATCTTTACTCAAAGCATTTCCAAATCTCCAATTTTCTTCGAGAGATGCAACATTATATTTCAATAAAGTAACAAATCCAACTTTAAACCAATACCAATCAACTGATTCTCCTAAATATTTACCATCTTTTTTAATTGTCAAATGTAATACAATATTTCTTGCTTAACCTGGATATTAATCCATATTTCTGCCATGAATCACTTAATCACCAATTGATAGTAAAACACCAGTACATTCTGTAACATCATTTGTTATATGTCCTATTTCATGAAAGTATGCCCAAGCTGCCATATATTCAAAAGTAATATTTGATCTATTGAATTCTTCAACTATTCCTTCTAATTCTAAAGAATATTCTGGGAAATTCTTTCTAATTGCTTTTGCTATTGTTGTATAATCTTCAGGAGTCAATATATAAAATGTATTTTCATTATGAAATTCAAAAACAGGCCCAAATGAATTATCATATCCATATAAATCTAGAACTGTTCTAACAGACTCTTTCCATCTCTATCTTGGAGGTGCACTCAAATCTATTTCTACCTCAGGAAGGTAATTAAAACAAAAAGCTGTTGCTAATAGCAATAATACTATTTTGTATTACATGGAATAATTTTATAATAATTGATGAGCTAATTCTTAAATTTATATTATATTATGATGACTTCACTTAAATAAATTAATGACTTCACTATCTTGTCATTCCTTCTTACTTTTTCTTGTTTGTTCCCAATTTATTTTACTCATGGATATATTTACTCTCAATCTTCAAGATATTAGTACAATAATCAGGTAATTAATCAAATACATTTTTTTGTAAAATGATTTCCTAATTTTATTATTAAATTATACTTTCCCTGCATTTTTACCTATTCCATCATGAATACCTACACCACAATGGAATGTTTCCTACATTTATTTTAATACATATGCAAAACTATAAATATCTTCAATCTTTCCTTAATGATCAAATCCAAATTATTCTAAACCAACAATTCTATTAACTTATTGATTATGTTATTTCTCTGCTATCAATTACAATCCTTTAAATTCACCTTACTTTAATTCACTTTAATTTAATCTAATATTTTTAATCCTATAACTTTTCTACATTAATTCTTCAATTCTTTTTTATAATTTATCTAGAGTAATCTAATTTTATGGTTATTTTCTTTTTTATTCTTTTTCTTTTTCTTTATCTTTATCTTTTTCTTTATCTTTTTCTTTGACTTCTTGTTATTCTTCTTTTTATTCATCATCACTATCAGATTAATGTTCTTTGATTCCTAATTCATTTATTAAATCTTCTGTCAATACAATCATCTTTTTCTCTTATTTTAAATTCTTCTTAATATATTAATTTAATTATGATGTATATTACTCTCTTGTTAATGGTTCAACTTTTTAATTCTCTTCACCTTCTTTACTAAATATTTTAATCAAAGGACCAACTGGTAAAAATAGATCTGTGACTTCAATATTTTATTTATATTAAGCCACTTAATTCTTATCTTCCTTTTCTTCATCACCTTTTTTTGCTGCTTTCAATACAGTTGGTTCCCAATCACTTATTTATTCATTTTATCTATCAATCTTAATTATTGAAGGTTATCCTCCTTTTTTAATTTCCTTATATTCAATCAAACCATCTTTTTACATTGTCTGTAAAAATCTTATAAATTATAAATTATATTTTTTACTTTCCAATCTTTTAAAATGAAGAATTCTTCAAATCTAATTCAATTCCTGGTTTTTTAAAAGCAATCATGTACTTTTCATAAAATACTTAACCTTCTATAGGTAATTATTTATCATTAATTCCAATTTTACAAGCATTTAAAAATGATTCTTTTATATATTCATCCATTACTTTTGTAGGAACACCTCCTACTTATTATTATTACTATTATTATGGTTTGTCTTCTTATTTACCACTTTTTTTTTTGTGTTTATTATCATCATCACTATCATCAGCAAATTATTATTTCACTTATTATTATTATTATTATTATTATTATTATTAAATAGGTTTTCCTTTACTAGATTTTTTTTATTCTTTTTTTACTGCAGGTTTTTTTGTTCCTGGTGCAATCATATTTAAATCTATATCTTCATCAGAATATTCTTCATAATTTTATGTTTTTGTTTCTTATACTTCATCAAAGTTTTCTGGTTCTAATGGTTGACCTAATTCATTTGGACCATGTTCCCATAATTTATCTCCTTATTTATGCAAAATGTAACCAGCAATTCCTTTCTCTTATTCTTTCTTTAAATCCACACTATCACAACCAATAGCTATTATTGCCAATAATCTAAATATTACATTTTTTATTACTTCTTATCATTATTTACTAATTTCTTTATAGAATCTTTCTTAAATTCTCCTAACTTATCTTAATTACATATTTAATTCCATAATACTTTTCCTGCCTTCAATATTCCTGCTTCATCTATTCCAGCTTTTAATTACAAAGTACCAACTAATTTTGGATACTCAGCCACCACAAACACTAAACAATATCTCAATTATCATTACATGTTGGAACATAATCTTCCTTTCCTGTGCCATCAACAAAAGCTGGATATTCATCTGTATGATATATTATCATCTTTGATCCATTAAGCTTCTCTTACATACACTATTCAGAATCCTCAAAAATCTTTTTCACTGTTAAGGCATCAAACTATTTTCTTAATGCTGTCTCAAAGTTTTCCCTATCTTTTCCCTTTAGAAGAACAGATCCTTAAATTTTTATTGTTTTGCCAAACATTAAATTCTTTAATATAAATAATCACCTTCTCTCATTATAAATCATTTATTCTCTTTAAATTCATCCATCTACTCTAAACCATATTTTATCAAAACAAACAAAAAAACTAATACTCATTTATCCACCTTAAAATAATAATAAAAAAACAATCTATGGTGAAAAATTCATTTTTTTTTTTGAAAAAATAAATTGATCTTAATAGATTCCAAAATTAAAAAGTGCTAATTTTCTACAATTCTGGACAGTCAATAATATAGAAAAATAAAAACACAAAGCAATTAATTACCTTAATTTTATATACTTATAAAATAATTATTTTGTTTATGTCATTTATAAATCTCACTTATAAAATGAATTATACACTTGATCATTTTTATCATTTATTTTTGTCATATCATCAACAAATTATTTACGAACTTGAGTTCTAAATTATGCATACTCAAATGAACAACTATCAATACAATTATCAAATTATTCGATCATTTTTTCCCTCTTATTTTCTTCAATTTCAAATAAGGAATTTATATTGTAAAGTTTTTTCATCTTCTATGTACATATCACAAAGCATTTTTTAGTTAAATTAAACAATGAACATTCTAAAGCTAACTAATCGACAATTTTATTTTATTGTTATTGTTATTACGATTATGATTATGGTAAATTAAAATTCATTAACGAAATTTATTACTTAAATTATTAACTCTTAATTCTTTTCTTTGATAAAATTTTGTTTGTTGCTATTAACTTTAAAAATTATAAGATAGATGATTTAAATTTATAAATGGTATTTTGTTTATGTGATGTAAGAAAATTGGCAGAAATTATTGTAGAAAGTATGATTGCATGAATGGTTGTGGGTAATTTATGTTTCAATAAGAACGTAATTTTTGTAATAATTTGGTTATTCATAATTTTTTACGTGTAATATCATTAATAAATTTTGCTGGTTCAAAAATAGGCACATGTAATTCTGATATTGGAGTAGTTGGACCAATAAATGTAGTTGATTCCTCTCTGTTTTGTTATTTATCGGATTGATTTTAGATTTATTATGAAATTTTATTTTGTTATTGTATTTCTGTATTATTTTGCTATTCATCTGTATCTATTATTTTATGTGCTGCCTTCTATTGAAATCTATTGTTTTTAATACCAAATGCATTCATTTATTTCAGTAGTTTATTTAATTTAAATATTAAAATAAAATAGGCTCGTTGAATCAATTTGTGTATTGATTAAATGTATAAGTATGAAGAAATTTATAGAATATTAATTTTTCTATTTAATTGATAAAAATGAAATGAAATTTGATTTAATAAAGCAAATTGTAATATTTTATATCAACTCAAATTTTCCTCCAAAACATTTGGATTATAACCAATATATAAATTGTATATATAAAATAATAAAAATTTTAAATATGAAAATTAAGAAGAAAAATGAATTACAAAAAGTCACAGAGTTAGGTGAGCACATATTGAAAACATAAAATACAATGTTAGCAACAAAAATTGATTAATTAAAGAAAGAGATTTAAAATATGAAATCTGTATACAACAATCCAATATATCTAGTTTCTAGTTGCCAGAATAAGCAGAGCGAGACATTCTTTAATCAGAAGAACTAATAAATTATAAAAAACTTAGTAATTAACTTTCTCGAAGAATACGAATCATTATGGCTTATAATGAAGAGGCAATTCAAAAAAAAGTATCCTAAGAAGATATCTAAGAAGAGAGATTTGAATGTCTTTGTGGTGCAAATTAGATTGATTCTATTAAATATTTCCTTCCAAATGGCAATCAAGAAATATTATAATAATAATAATAATAATAATAATAAGAAATATAGCAACCAGAAGATAATAATTAATAAAATCAATCTTATCAAAAGTAAATATTACTTAAATAATTAGAGATTATATAAAAAAAATTATTTAAGAATCTTCAGAAGAGAAAGCTCAATTATTACATTAAATAGAAGAATTAAAATTATAATAAAAATTACCTGAAGAACAATTCTTTCAAACTTAACTTTTTGCTGATTTGGTATAATAAAATAATTATTTGACAACTACTTTATTTAACATAGAGGAACAATTAATATAAGTAATTTAATTAATATAATTAGGCTTAATTGGCTAGTAAAGAACAATTAGAGAAAAATCAACAATAAATTCAATAGTGTCAATTAGAATGTGAATAAAAAATAAAAGATTTGTTTTCTTAGTAAGATGTGTTAAAGATAGAACTAAAATAAAATGATGACTAGACATAAAATACATTAATTGAAGAATTGAAGTTATAAGTAGAAAATTCATCCAAAATGATAGAAGATTTAAAAATTGAATTATAATAATGTAGAGAACGAAATAAAGAAGCACATAATTAAATAGTTGAAGTTTTGAATCAGAAACAAGTATTATTGAATTAAAATAATGATTTAAAATAATACATAAGTGTTCATAAGATACTATCAAAAGATGAGAAGATAGAATAAGTGACATTAAGATATGAAAAACATAAACAGTTACTTTATGAGATTGAATAAGAGTATGCAAATAACAAATCTAATGAATTTATTTAAAGATTTAGAGAATTTGTTGGATATGTCAAAATGAGAGATGAAAAAGTTAAGGGATTGGAATAATAATTAGATGGAAAGACTAATGATTTTAATAATATAAAGAAAGTAAATAAATAATTTAATATAATTTTAGTAAATATAATAATTGATTGATGAATTAGATTATAATTCAAATACATTTAATTCTATTAATGAAACAAACAAGAATCTTAGTAAACTCATAAATGAAACCTAAAAGAATTTAAGTAGAGCTATGCAAGAAAAGGTGGATGAACGTATAAGATTTGAAACAGAAAGATAAGTATGATCCATCATTAAATCATAGCAATTTTAATTAAAAATATAAAATTTAGACGATACTATTAAATAATTATAATCCTAGAATGAATAATAAAAAAAATTAATTAGTTTATTTGAAAATGAAAGAATTAGCTATAAAGAAACTATTAGAATGTTATAAAAATCTGATGGAGAAAATTAGCAAAAATTCTTATAAAAAGAATGGGATGTTAACAAAATATTAGAAGAAAGCAAAATCATTTAAGAAAGAGAGAAATTAAGTGAATCAATTAATGTTAAATTTATAAAAAAGGCAGAAAAATCAAAGAGCAAATTAAAATATTTAAAATTACAAATGAAATTGTAATTTTATTAATTTATTTATTTTTAGAGAGTCTAAAGATACTGATAATGAATTATTAACATCTTTAAAAATGATGGTTGATTGTTAATAATGTAAAAAAAGAGTAAAATAAGTTATTTTGATGAAATGTTTACATATGTTCTGCAAACCTTGCATAGATGACAACTAAAAAAATCGAAATAGAGCCTGTCCAGTCTGTAGAGCTAAGTACGGAATTGAAGAGGTAAAAGCAATAATATTGAATTGAGAAAAAATTATATATCATCAGTCATAAAAATTAATATAATCATAAGTAATAAAAAAATACAATTTTTGTATATTTAAATAATTTTAATATATATCTAAAATATCTGAATATAAAACAAATTATTTCTTTTATAAATATAAATGTTCATTTTATCTTTTTTTATTTTAGAAGTTTTAGGCTTTGCTCAAGAGAATATTACATCAGTTTGCATTCAAGAAATGAATAATCTACTCACCTTGCCATTTAAAGAATAATTATAATTAGTTTTACCATATTATTCTTTATCTGGTGACTGGATAGAAAAGTTTGGATATTATGATGAATGCCTAAGAATAGATAAAGCATATTCTTCAGTTCAAATAGACTAAATCACTTCAAAATTTAATTATGGTTTTTGTCATTCTAAAATTTGTTCTGTAGAGGATTTTAACTCTCCAGATGGATAATAAACTATTAAGAATTTATTGAATGAAACCGGTATAGCCAGTATAATTTAAGTATTATTTTAATCTCATATATATCTAGATTAATTTATCAGCAACTAAATTTACATTCTACAATCCATTAACTTATTATCCAAATCTTGGATTAGGGACATTTATTACTTCAGCTATAATAATCATATTATTAATTTTAGTTTTAATAGATCCTTTAATGAGATTTAAAAAGACTCTCAAGAGTTCTCATACTCCAGATGTCAGAGATGATATTGACAAATAGGTAAAAATTGAATATAAAAAAAATGAAAGTACTATCATTTAAGATTTTTCAATAATTGAAAATTACAAGAAAATTATAAATCTTAAAACAATAGATCCAAATTTAGCTATGTTTAATGGTATAAGAGCAATTGGTTTTATGATGGTTGTATATGGACATGTAAGTTAGTTAACACTTACATCCACATATGCATAGGAAATGCTATTGTAATACAAGAAATTGAGTTTCATCATGTTATTTAATATGACATTTGCTGTAGATATATTTTTTTGGGTTGGTGGTTTCTTTTTAGGTTATGTAATGTGTGAAGAAAATAAATGCTAAACCATTTAGAAATATCCTTTCTCAATATTAATAAGCATTATTCATAGATTAATGAGAATATGGCCTTGCTATCTATTGTGTATTGCTATAAATTTATACATTATTCCATACATGGGTAGTGGACCTAGGTGGTTTATGGTAGAAACAACAACTTAATGTAATGGAGGAGCTTGGAAAAATGCATTATTTTTAGATAATTTTTATGAAGATTTTCAACTTTGTTTTGGATGGGGTTGGTATTTAACATGCGATTTCTAATTATTTTTAACATGTCTTATACCTATAACCATTTATTGTTTGAATTATAAATTAGGATCGAAAATATTGATTATTTTGATGATTTTAGGTAGTCTAGGATGGGGATACTATATAAGCATTTATTATAATTTTTTGATTCTTGCAAAAAATTTTACCAATCTTGCTTATTATTATAAATATTATATAAGTTCTTATGCAAGAGCACCTCCTTACTTTTTAGGGTTGCTAATAGGAATTCTTTATAGAGAGTTTAAATAATCTAAAGAGAAAGGAAGCTACAATATTCTGAACTATTTTAGAAGCTTAGTAGAATCAAACCGAACTAGAAAATTAATGTAAATAGTTTGCTACAGTGGAGGATTTGGTTTGATCATCTTTTAATTTTTTGGATGGATAATTGAATTTAGTAGTTTAGAGTTAATATGGCCAGCATGGATATAAAATATTTATCATACATTAAGCCGATTTGTATTTGCACTTGGAATAACTTTAATCACATTACCAAATTTAGTTGGAGCATATGATATGTAAAAATAAATATCTAATATTTAGATTTAATCTAAAATTTATGAATAACATTTTTTTTAAATTTATCTCTAAGGTTTCATTATCAATTTATTTGGTTCATTTCATGTTTATTGTGATTATAACTGAGACATTTTATGAAACCCCATCATACACATCATTAGATGTGATTTCATCATTTATTTGTGCTGTATTTTTATCTTTGACATTTGGATTGGCACTCACATTGTTAGTAGAACTGCCATTTGTAAATTTAGATGCTCGTTTGTCAAAGGTATTAGTAGCTCCCAGAAAAATGAAATAATCATGAATAAAATTATAGATTATTCACCTTAAAAATTTAATATTATTCTAGTTAAAATATTTCTTTAAATCTAACTAATACAATTAACAATTCAAGATTCATCTCAATCTGAAGTATTTCTTGAAGAAACAAAACTAAAAGTTTTAGGATTATCAGAATTAAAGCTCAGAAAACTAACGGATTAAAGATTAATATAAGGATGCAGCATTTACACAAAAATTAATTTTGAGAATAAAATAAAAATTAATAAAATTTAAGTAAGTGTTGATGAGAGCCTAGAAATCTTTATCAGCTTCTTTAAAAATATTACTAGTAAGAAAAGATGTGATTTTAATTTTGAAGAAGTAATTAAATTCTAAAAAATTGAATTAATAAAAAATTGAACTCTTCATTATTTAATTTAGAATTCTATAAGTAATAGAATACTTAAAGATTTTTTATATTATAAGTATGGCAAATTATCATTTAGGCTTGTGATAAATTAATTTCGATTTACGGCAATCCAAACAATACCAATTTTTTTTAGGAATGAAAAACTCTAGAAAACCAGGATCACAAAATGTATGGCACATCTAATCATTGCATTTATCACAAACTAACATTAAATACTAAGAGTGAGAACATCCACAAAGTTAACAATTTTGATTTTCTTCTTGTTCTTACTAGAAATCATAAAATTGATCTTGTTCTGGCTACCATTTAGGTTTTTTAAGATTTAACTTGATCGGACTTCTTTTTCTTTTGCCATTTTCTATTGGATAGATTTTTTTAAATTTTGCTCTGCAATATGGACATTAAGTCTTGTATTTTTCTGCCCACTCTTTTATACAAGGTAAACATATTTAATGTTGGCAAACATCGATTTCACAGACATTTTATAAATCATCTAAGTTTGTCATGCAGATAGGACATTCTTCTTGTAATTATTATTTTAATCGATTTTTTTTTGGTAGTTCCTTTGATTGATGAGTTTGTTGCTGGTTGTTTTATGGTAGGTTCTAATAATAAAAGATGATATATTAAAAGATGTTACTTCTTTATTTGAAACAAAATCTTTGATATCAGGAGCATCTAAGATAATTTTTTTTGTTCTAAACTTTATATTCTTTTCATGACTTTCGATCCAACGCTGTTCGAAGGTATCTAAAATACGTTGATATTGCATTTTTTCTTTATTTTAGTTTCGAACTAAATTTTTAATTTTTATACAATTATAACTAAAAATGGCAAATGCATTAGCAAATGACGCTTTGATTTAATAACAAATTGATTAATAAGTAATTTAAAATCCAAACCTATCATTTGCTTAAAAGAAGTCATTAAGAAAATCAATTTTAAAAGCTAGTGTAGCAAATGCTCCAAAGAATAGTTCATTTTAAACTATATTAAGTGTTAGCAACACAATGGTTGGATCATCATTATTAGTAATACCAGTGTTATTTTAATAATCAGGAATTTTGAGCGCATTAATTGTTGCATTAGTATTTTGTTTAATATCGTGTAAAACTTGCTAATTATAAATGGTTCATAATAAACCTGAAGAATTAGATTTACCTCAAACTATAGTGAGAATACTTGGTTAGAAGTATAACTTAATTTTTAATATTACAAATATCATAATTTTATACTTTGCTGGTGTTGTCTATTTTATCTTAATATGCAATATGTTATACTCATTAGTATAGTTAATATGTAGATAATGGGATATGGATTATGCTCCAAAAACCGATTTTGTATTGAGTAAATTATCATATTAATGGTGTGGAATTGTATACATGTGTTTATTATATTTGATTATGTTATAGAAGAATCTGTCTCTGATAATAAAACTGGTTCAATATGGAATAATATCAATTATAGCTTTAATTTTATACATAATAACTAAAGGAGGTATTAATATGGCAGAGATTGTGAATGCCAATTTATTCACATTAGATGTTGTAACATTATGTGGTGTATTTTCAGTGGCATTTATGGTACATTCTTGTATAGTTCCAATAATGAAAAATAATTTGATGTAACAAAATAATTTGAGGGATATAGCTATTAGTTTTGGATGGACTTGGATAATTTATGCTTTAGTAGGTGTTTTTGGAGCAATTGCTATATAAGGAAAGTCAGTAAATCCTTCAGGTGATGGATCTACTGTTTTAGATTACTTAGAGTAGAATGCATTTTCTTATGGGATCTAAGTATTGCAATTACTTTAATTAACAACAGTATTTCCATTATTAGCATTTATTACAAGATCTCAATTTTTTGCCTTAATATATAAATTGGAACAACCTCCTCAAAAATGGTTTGTTATTTATACATCAACAGTAGCTTTAAGTACTTTGTTATTTTAGTGTCTCAATATTAGTGTATCATTGATTTTGAGTTTGTCAGGAGCTGTGATTGGATTTTTCCAGATATACTTAATTCCAATCCAACTGCACATGACCTGTCTTTATGCTAAAAAGAAGGTTAATGACAACAAAGCTGGATTAATAAATGATACTATGGAATACATAGAGAATCCAGATGAATCAATATTTGATGAATAAGATTTTAAATGCATAGATCATTCCACTCTTAAGAAAAGATTTAATAAACAAACTAGATTCATTATTTATTATATGATTATGTTGATCGGAGCAATGATGGGATTTTTAAATATAATAGCTCCATTCTTCAAATGAGTAACAGCTTTAATTTAAATATTACAATATCATTATTATGAAATAATCAATCAGCATCCTCCCAATCTTTTTCATTCATCTCTAATTCTCTGAGATCTACTTCTATAATATCTTCCTCTTCTTATTATTCTTTCTATTCCTTTGTCACCTCCTTCTAAGAGTCTTTCTATTCAATCTTAACAGCCTTCTTCTTCTTCTTTTATCCTTTTGCCATAAATTTATTAGCCACAGTCTCATCCATTTCTTACTCTCCAAATAATAATTCAAAAACCTAAATTAAATTAAACTATCTATACTTCTTAAGGTTTAAATTTATCTCCCTGAAATCCTCCAGAATAAACAGTTGATTAAACATTCTATTTTTACTATGCTCTCTTCACAATCCTCTCTTCTATTGTTCCTTTGGTGATCAATCGATAAACATAAACATCTTTTGTTCTCCCTATTCTATGAGCTCTATCTGTAGCCTAAGCATCCATAGTAGGATTCCAATCATTATCATAAAATATTACAGCATCAGCTTAAGTCAATGTTATTCCTAATCCACCTGCTCTAGTAGACAATAAAAATGCAAAAATCTTATCATTTTGTTAAAATTCATTTACCATCTAATAAATATATTTTATTATATATTACATCTCTTCTGTCATTTATTTAACATTGTCCATCCATTCTAAAATATGTATATCCTTTATGCAACATGTATTCTTCAAGTATATCTAACATTCTTGTCATCTAACAGAATATTAAGACTCTCCATTATTTCTATTTTAGATCTTTCAATAATTTATCCAATTATAACAATTTAGAAGAAGAAGCAATCAATGATTCAGGACTGTTTGGTAAAATAAAGCATGCCGGTGATTCTTACATATAGGAAAGTGCCTATCTATTGTATAAACTCTTTTAAATCTATTAATAAAATGATTGAGATCTGCATTCAAAAGATATTATTTAACTTTGGGCTTGAGGGATGTAAAATTGAAATTATTTTGAATATGAACTATTCACTATAGTTTGCTAATCCTTCTTTTCACACAGCAATTCAATTAAATCAAATACATTTTTTTCAAACAAACCTAAAGGCAAGTGCTTCAATTGCATATATGCAAATGTAGACTCTCCATTTTTCAATGATGTGTAAATGTAATGTGCTGTAAACAAACATCTCATATCTTGAATTTAATTATCAAATACTAATTTAGGAATAATAAAAGTGATAGGATTTCGTTTCGTTACTTATACTATTGGGTTTTTCTAATAAACCTCCACATTTTATTTATCCTAAAAAACATAAGGACTTTTATAAGGTTTTCTTTCAAATAATTCAGGATGATTACATATCTTACGAAATTACATTACCAAATTCATCAAATTATCAACCTTTTACTTAGAATCTAACATCCTAAAAAACTCTTTTATTGATAATTTAGATTTAACATTCTTATATAAAACAGCCTAACGACTAGTCATCTCACAAACAATTTGAATTTCCTTCTTCTATCCAATTTCATTTTCAACATCCTTTTTTAACCTTCTTAACATAAAAGGTTTTAATATTGCATGCAATCTCTATAACTAATGCTGATTCAAGGTTTTTTAATCTTGAGAATGAGCCTCGATATCTTTTGAAAACCATTCTTAAAATTAATCAAAACTATCAAAAAATCTAGGCATTATAAAATGCAATAATGCCCACAATTCTCCCATTGTATTTTATATTGGTGTTCCTGTCAATAATAATCTATTTCTTGCATTAAAAGATAATAAGATCTACCATCTCTATGAATTAATATTCTTAATTGCTTAAGCTTCATCCAAAATCATATATTACCATCTGACTCTATTGAAGATTTTATTATCTGATACTACTAAATTATATGATGTAACTACAATATGAAAAAGGGATTCTCGTGATCCAAAGTTTCTTTATTAAAAATATTTTCTTATTGTTTTTCTTTATTATGCTTAACCCCAATACGGTAAGACTTTTAAAGTTGGACAAAATTTTTTAATTTCTTATTACCAATTATGTAAAGTTGATGATGGAGCGATTACTAAAAATGGACCCCATATTTATTTAAATGAACTGATATGTGATAATAAGGCTATAGCTTATATTGTCTTACCCAATCCCATTTCATCAGCCAAAATTCCATTAATACCCTAATCATATAAATTATCTAACCATCTAAGACCTTTCAATTAATACTCCTTTAAGTCTCCCTTAAAGGTAGAAGGAGGAGCTATCAATGAAAAATCTCTATCTTAATCATTATGATCTAATTTTAATTCTTATATCTCAACATTTTCTTATTTCTTTCCATCAAATTATTATAATTATCTTCTATTATCATTTATTACTTTCTAAACATTTTCAAGTGCTTTTTCTTCATCAATCTCCTCATTATTCAATGAAATTTAATTATCCAATGTTATTCCTAGTTTCTTAGCCATAAAATGTGCATAAATATCTGACTATTTCATTAAAAATTCTAATCTTTTTTATTGTAATAATTATTCTCTTTCCTCCTCTTCTTTTTTCTTTCTCTCCTATTCTAATTTCTCTTTTCTTTTCTTGATTTCTATCAATTCCTTATCCCTTTTTCTCCAATATGATTAAGCTTCTTTTGATAATTTCTTAGCTCTTAACATAAATTCTTTTTAATATTTTTAACATTTTTAATTTCTTCTTCTTGCTTCTTTGGCTGCGAAATAAGCTATTCTTTTAAAAAATTCTCTTAAGTCTTATCTAAACTTTGCTTTGAATCTACTTATTTTAACTGCATTTCTCACTACAATACCCCAACTTTTCTTCCAGTCTCCAATTTCAATAGGATCCTCATATAATTCTTATGAGATTATTGTGTTAAAATAGTCATTCTGAGTTGAAGACTAGCAATCATTTTTAAGCTAATATTTTTTATAACTTTTTACCTTTCTTTACTTTTTTATAATTGGTTTTCCAATTCTGGAATCTGTATACTAAATCTTGAATGCATCTTCAAAATTATACCCTAGCTGAGGCAATTTATTTGATTAAAAAGCAGGCTCAAATTATTGTGATGACTAAATTAGTGTAAAAATTACTATTCCAATATGTATTTGCTATTCAAATATAGTTTCTTAATTGTGGCTGTATTTATCATACAAAAATTTTTCAACCATGTTTGGTTGATCTCTGAATGCTTTAGAAAAGAATATTAGTAATTTATTTTATATTTTGCTTTGATTATTGGCTGAGTAGACATATTTCTTTTCTTTCGCTTCAAAATTCTTGCTCTAGAAAACTAATTTTATTAAAATGAGACTACATACCTTTTTACCTCTTGTTTTCCAAATAGCATAGTCGAGCCTCTTCTAATGATAAGTCTTCTACTGGAGGACGTTTGAGATTAAAAACAAGATTAAATTCAGGTTCTTAGACTTTTCTGAATTGTGGATTGACTTATCGAGTGTTCTCAATCTTAAGGATAAAATAAATAATACTTATGTAATCTAATGAAGGAGTTAATCGATATTGTATTGTTTATCTTCCTCTTCTTCTGAACTCATATAAAAATTAAATAAAGATTTTTGTTTATTTAAGGGTTATTGGATGAGTTCATTAATTTTTATTTTAAAAAATGTATATATATATTATCTTAATACACATAGTAATCTATATGAGTATCCCATAGAGTAGAAGACAAACGATGTATTAATTAGTTAATTGTTTGAATAAGTTCAAATAGAGCTTGATAAAAGATATAAAATATATAAAATCTATCAAATTGGAATCTATTAGATACAGAATTTATAAAATTAATGAAGAATTAAAAAATTTATATATGATTCTTGTTGAATAGAAAAGATGAAATACAGCTTAAATGAATCTTCACCAGGTTTTTTTCTTTTTTTGATGTTGATTTGAGATTTTAAATAAGAATGAGAAAAAAAGTAGGAAAAGGGTAGAAGTAAAGATTTTTGATTGTGAATGAGATAAGACGAGTGTAAATTGAATAAGTATTGAATTGGAGGGAAAAGAATTATTCTATGTAAATAAAATGATTAAATTAAAAACGTATTATAAATATGCTAGTATATAGTATTATGAAAAACGGGTAATAAGTGTAAATCACTTGAGAATGGTTGGGTTGTTGATTAATAATAAAAAAAATGGCTAGATCATTAACAATATTGGCTATTGTGTTTGCAGTTGCAACAGCAAGAGTGACAAAGAGCGAAAGTCCAAAGGAAATATTAGCTCAAGTGAATAAGGATTCATTTGGTAATTCAATTCTTTCAGTTCTCTAACTTTAATTGGCCACAGGAGGACCAGTTGGAGAGATCTAAATCCTTTTAAACAACATTGCCTCATAATTGAATGGAGATTAAAAGAAAGCTGACAAAGTTCATGAAAGTGACACAGTTGCATTTGAGAAAATCATTGCTGACTTAGAATAAGAAATTGCTTACCACTAATCTTAAATTGCTGCCTTATCCAACTTAAGAGATTCCACAACTGAAGCTTTAGGAGAAGCTGAATAAGAAGTCAGAGTAGTAACATCAGATATTGCCAATAACGAAAAAAGCTTTGCTGACGAATCCGCTACAAGATAATCATAACACGAAACATGGGTTAGAAAGGATGCTGAACATGTTGATTAAATGGATGCCATTGATGAAGCATCAAAGATTGTTCAACATTTATAAGCTGGTGTAGCATTTGCTCAATTAAAGAGTAGATTTGAAAAAGTCTAAGCCAAATTAATGGAAAGTAAACATGCACTTTTTAAGGTATTATCTATTAACTATCATTCTTTAGCCACTCATCAATGCCTTAACATAATTAGCTTCCAAAGTTGATAACAAGAGTATCATCAAGATCTTAGAATTGTTGGCCTAAATTAGATAATAATTAGTTGCTAGTAGAGCCTCACTCCTTGCCACTGAAGAAAGATAAGCTGCTAATTGGGAAGTTTAAAGCTCTCATTTATAAGAAGAACACAAGAGATTAGTTGAAAGAAAGGCTTTCTTAGAAAACTCTATTGTTCAATTCAAAGTGACCATCTAAGAAGCTGTTGAAGATTTGGAAGACTAAACCGTATCTCATTTTAATTATTTTAGTTATTCCTTGAAGATGCTGAAGATTCCTTGGCCATTCAATAAAGATGGGCTGCTGAATAAGAAGCTTAATATGAATCATAAACCTTTGAAAGAGAATAACATTTGGAAGTTGTTGAAAGATTATAAGAAGTTTTAACTCAAAAATTAAGTGCTGCTTCCGAATTCCTCTAAATCAGAGAAGAAGTATTTTGATTTATCAATAATAATAATAATTATCAAGATAAAAAATCTTCATTATCTGCTTCGTCTACTTGATCCTTATCTTCATTCCGAATAAACTTAATGAAATGACTGGAACGATGAACTTCATGATAGAAATCTTTCGGATTCGATAAAATTAGGCCATACTTCATTTATTATACTAGTCCTAATCCAATAAAGTTATAATTCCACATATGATTATCAGGAACCTTAAATTGTAAGAGAAAAATTTACCATGAAAAATCCTCTAAATTTATCTGACAACAAAATCTAAACTTTTTCAAAGTGTTAAGTTGATGATGGATGAACTGCATTCAAGTCTTTATTATTTTTACCCCATTCAAATCCTTAATGAGTTCTTGGAATATAAATATAATTTACAATTTATATGCTGTGATTGAGCATGAACCAGGAGTGAATGAGACAGTTTAAACAATGCATCTTTCTGCATCCCAACTTTAATTTTCTTATATTAATCTAGCATGAAGAGTGATATCATAAGTTGATAGATGCATAGTTTCTAAATTATATTAAAGTATTAATTACCTGTAGATTAGGTATGTAACCATCCTAAAGGTTCTAAGTTTCTCAGATATTCTGAGTCAGGCATTTGATGTGGCATTGTAACATTATCTCTGGATCCAATTTATGGTATCATAACAATAGCTCTAATTTCTTTGACTTATTAATTATCTGGAGGGGAGATTCCATATAAATAAGCAGCTATTTAGGTTTTCAAATCAGCTATAGAAATGAATTTTTTAAGAATATTCTTAGGTAAAACATATGTAAAACCAGTTTATTTGATATCATCTGAATTCACAAATATGTGATTGGTACGTAAATAAAGTGATGTAGCAGCTATTGCTCTAACTCTCCAATCTGAGTGACTAGTGAATGATTAATTTTCATAAGGTTTGGTAACTTAGACTGCTAATTCTTCTCCAAAGACATTAGATGTCTTGACAGTTGTAGCAGTTTATTAGGCTGCTTCTTTTGCTTATTTTTCAATATCTTAGATGGTTTCTTTTTATAAATTTGGAGCAGACATTTCCATACCTAAAATAATATCTCTAATTTCCATTTAAGTCAAAGATTAAACATTGACATTGTTCTTTTTAGCATAATCTTATAAGATTAGATTTTTAAGTTCAACTTCCATTTTTACCCATTCATCATCTGTCAAAGTAGGCCAAATATGATTAGGTTAAGTAATGACATTTTTATTAGGTTTGAGTATGATTCTGGCTTTTTCATGAGCAACATGCAATGCCCTCAATATTAAGATCAGTCTTGAGAAAGCAGTGAATGATGAAACACTCTTTAACCAATCATCATATAAATTAAATAGAACCATAGATGGTTCAGTTGCTTTAAGAATTAAATCTCCAAATTTTTCAATTTTAAGTATAGCTTAAAATGGTAATGATAATTCAGATCCTTTAATAACAATATTAGGAAAATCTAAAAGATGTACTTCTAATGGATCTAACAATCCTTTTCTTGTGACTATAATTTATCTAGGTTATTCTTCTACAGGTAAAGCTCTAATTAAAGCAGCCACTTCTTCAGCAGTTTTCCATTTAGCCAATTAACCCAATCTCTTTTAGCCTGCCCAAACAGAAGTATGAATAACTTTCAAAAACAATTGTCCAGTTTTAGGATTGAAAATGATAATAGCACCATTTATTGGTTTGGTTGTAAGATTACCTTCAAAAGTTTTATGAATAGTTACTCTATAAACATTTGTGTCATCAACAAACCAAATAATTTAATTACTAAATAATTCAGCATAATTTTGAGTATTAAGATAAGGTTCAGTTGGTTCAGATGAATATAATTATAAACCTTTACGAATACGTTCTCTAAGAACATATAAAGCAGGATTAGCCTTCATTATTTTATTCATAGCTTACAATATTAAATTCTTTGAATTTGGGAACCAATTACCATATCCTGAATGTAAATTATAAGCTAAATCTATTGCTACTAACATTCCAGTTGGAGATGGATAAATACTAATATTATCAGTAGTGTAATCCAAGAACTTAGCTCTAGCATATCTTTCAATATCATGAGAATCATAATCTCCCCATCTTAATTAAACATCCAACCAATATTTCGATGTTGTCGTTCCATCATATGTATCTTTAGTATCATGAATTAAAGATGGTTTACTAATAGGCCATTTAAATGCAGCAAATAACAAAATATCTGCGCATGATGAATTCATTTTATAAGATTTTCTTGGATGAATAGTTTCTTTCTATACTGTTTCTATCTCTAAAGTTTCCATTTCCATATCAAATACTTAACATAAATCCATTACAACACTCTCATGTATCTTTTGCCATAAATGAGCTCTGAATATTTATATCAATGAAATCTTTAATGTTGGTATCTTACCATGCATGAATATTCCTGTCAAATCCAATTATACTTAAAATCCTATATATACATTTGCTCTATTAACTGTTGGTGACCACCAAAGAGTAAATCTTCTATTAGGAATCTAATTCAAACCTGAACGTTAAGCATGAGTCAACTTCTTAAAACGCATACTTTCCTCAAATCCACTTGCCTTCTCCCAAAATAGACCTTCCCATGTTGGAAAATAAGTTCCTTTGAATAATGTATGTTCTAAAATTCCTTCCACTCCTCCTAATGCTTAAATCATATCAGTTCTATAATTATTTAAATTCCATAATTTCCCATCATGTCTTTAATGAGTCCACCAAAATGGATTCTACTTCAACATCTAAAATTGTTTAAAGTCCTATCTCACTCTCCATCCTTTATCATATGCCAATGTCAATCTATCCTTTTAAAATAATGTATTAATTCTAGGAATACCATGATCCCAACTGTCTTCCAAATCATCCAAAGTCAATCTTCTATTCTATACTTAAGCTTCCTATCGCTTTAATGCATACTCTGCCCAAACTCTTTAACTATCAATAAATTCACTCTCCCAAGTTTAGATATATCTATATAAATTTGGAATCAATTAGTCTTCATCATGACTCATACCTGCTCTATAATGGGTTATTCCTGTATCAGTTTATTTTGAAAATCTCAAATCTGATTATGGAATCAAAATATGACCCATAGATAGCATACCTAATCCGCCTAATTCTTTAGGAGTGTAAAATACAACTGGAGGGAAACGTGATGGCATTTTAGAATTCAAACCAATTTTAATTCTGGTTTATATCTTATTTTCACATTTGACTAAGAGATCTAATAATTATTCTGTATGAACTGCTGACTCTCTATAATAAGTCATTAATCCAATTAAGGTTGTATTCCATTTATTAGCAATTTTAGTAAATGTAGTACTACCACTTGCCATTAATATTTGTCTGATTCTGTTTTCATATTTTTTCATACTTTCTTCATCTACTCTTAAAAATGCCACAGCAGTAATTTCTTTACTTGATTCATTCTGCAATTTCCAGACTCCATCTTTTTCAGAGAATTCTTCTTAAGTTCCTCTAATTTTGGGTAATATTCTAACTTCAAATCCGCACATATTAAATAGGAAATTAGGATTATCTTTTGAGTATACAGAAACAAAAGAGTGTTCCCAGGCTAATGTAGTAAGACATCTTGGTAATCTATTTTTAATATCCCAGAAGACAGCTCTTCCTAAATTAACATCATGTTTCATAAGTCTCATTCTACAATCTTTTGGCCAACATTTTTTATTATTATATCCAACAATATTTTCATTATTAGGATCAGGATTTTCTGTTAAATATCTTTAGATTAATTCTCTTGCTTCTTCAGCAGTAAATCTGAATACCATAAAAATTTTATCAATATATCTACAATATAATCTTATTGGATGTCTAATTTCTTATTGAATATTAGAGTAAGTCATAAATTCATGAGGATTATTATATGGACCAGCTAAATCTTAAGCTCTATTGAGACCCAAAATTAATAAATCTAAAACCATACCATAAAATTGCATAATAAAACTAGTAAATTATATACCATGTAAAACACCATGAACATTTGTATGATTCATATCTTTATAAGTAATAACAACATTATTTTTAGCAGTCATATAATCTGCAATATTATGATCAACAATTAATCTAAGTAATCTATTTAATAAAGTTTAATCAATTTTTTCATAAACCTTTTCAAATTTACTTTCTAATAATACAACACATTAACCATCAGAAACATCCCAAATTCCATGTAGATTATTAATTCCTTGACACCACTTATAAACTAATAAAGGAGGAGGCTCACTATCACTTGGTTTAATCCAATTTGGGAATAGTCTTCTTTTATCTGCTTCATAAAATAGATATTAATCTAAATAAGCATCTGTAATTTTTTCTAAAGGTTCTACATCATATACAGGTACTAAATGAGAATAAAGATCCATAAACTCTAATCTAACTTCTTTAAAGACTCTTTATGTCAAAAGATGTCTTTTAACTCTACTCAATGCTTCATGTGGATTATCATATGCTTATTCAATTAATGCTAATTCTTCTCTTTGACTTTAATTTAATCTACTTTTAACAGAATATGCTTCCTTTAATCTTTCTAAAGCCAATAAGAATAATTTAGTATCATGCTTATAATTAACAGGAGGATAGGGAATATGAATAAACTTTCTACTTTCTAACCATCTTACTAAAGCTGTATAGATAGCAACTGCATCTTCAGTGGTTAAATAAGGACCATCCTTCATAAAATTATGTTATCGTTCTTATTCTTATTTTAAAAATAAACGTGTTAATCTTCCAAGATTCTTCTTACATACAGTCTTATCAACAGTTGCTCCTCTTCTAATACGTTCTCTATTATAATAGGCTGAATTAGTATAATAATCTGCCTTATATTTAACATATCTTAATATAATATTTTCTATAGGTGCAGGTAATCCTGGAACTTTCCATGGAATATTAGCTTTCCAACATCTCCAAGCTTCACTTAAATGTTATAATATAGTTTTAGCTTTATTAGCTCTTACTCCTTCTGGCATCATATCAATAATATCAGACATAACAGCTGCTCTCAATTCTAAATCAAATTGAGATTCTACTCTTTATTTTGTAACAGTTTTTGATATTCCTTTAGAATGTCTACCTTCAAATGTACGAGCTAATAAATTTCCTAACCATCTCTCCAACAATGGAATTATTCCTCTTAAGAAAAACAACCAAACTCTCCACATTGGTGTCCAAAATCCAACACCAGGTCCCTTACCTACTGGTCCAGTATTAAATCTATAATATATAACATGTTTTAAATCTTTGCACATTCTTATCTATCTCATCAATCTGTATTTATAACGATACATACCTGTTACTAAACCTACATGTGAAAATACATATTATAATCCATCAGCCAATTAAAATGCATCTATATTACCTAATCTATATTACACATGACTATCACATGCTAATTTCATCAATCTTAATATCTCTCTACACAAATGAAATGCATTTCCAAATCTTGATTTCTTTCTCTCTTTCGTTGTTAAAGTCTTTACTGGTTTCAATTAAAAATTGTAATCTAAATGCAAATAATTTAAATTTTTTCTGTGAATTAATAAATTCAACATATTATATCCTTAACGAGCTATCTATAAACCACATTCAACCCAATCTATTTCTGTTAATTAAAAGAATTTAGTTGCTTAAAATGCCTTTAATAAATTCCTTTTATTTTAACACTTCGGTTTTCTCTTATGTAAACTATTCAATACCCAACATTTCAATAGTTTTTAATAGGATACTCTTACCTTAACAGGATATTATGGATTGCATCTCTCTTTAAACCAAGGTGCTACTAATGGAATATCAAATGCCCTTCTGGTTTTTCCTGTTCTTTAATTAAATGGAGTTGGTGCCCATAATAATGCAATCGATGCAGTTGTTTATTCATCAGATAACTCAATCTCACTTAACAATGGTATAAATCCATCTCCTATTTCTACATCTAATTCACTATCATCTATTTGAACATCTATCTTTCTATTCTATGTTCTATATGCTGATATTGGATTAATCACAGGATCAAAATTATATGTTGCAATCTCAGGATTATCTTATTTTATAAACACATTTGCTGGATAATGATATGGAGCTATTGCTACACTTCTTGGTCTTGAATTATATAAAAATGGAAATGCAATTTTATATTCACTTCTTATTTATTACCTGATTATTATCTTATTTATATCATTAAATTCATTCCAATCTTCATCTTCCTCAAAAATATCTCTATAAAGAGGTTCAAATTTCGGACCTCCTGGTATTGCCATATTCAATGCTTTTGCTGTGTAAAGAGATTGAAGCTAAAATAAATAAAAATAGTTCTAATCAACTATATCCGACAATAATTAATTAGCCAATCTAAATAAATTTTATTAAACTTCTAATGTTAATTACCAAGAACGATAACTTGGCCCATTCAATAACTTAGTATATCTTAATGGTTAATGATCATAAAACCAATCAAAAACAGCATTATCTTCTCTTTCATCCAATTCCATTTAAATTGGTTCCAATGGTTCTACATCTAAAATATTATCTCCATAATCTAAGGGAATTTCTTCGTCATCAAATGGTGGAAATCTCATTCTCTTAAAATTTCTTCTATCTCTCTTTTCTCTTCTCATCATCACCCACATTGTACCCCATTAAGCTGTATAAACAGGTTCAATCACTTTTGGAATCTCATAACAAAATGTTATGCATCCTGTTATATGATAAAGAACCTTCACTGTTCTTACCTATTCCCATGGCATTGGCATATTCTCCAATAATTTATATATTGCATGTGGCATATACTTTAATGCACCCAAATATACTCTTTTATCTTATCTGTATTTCTTAGACTCCAAATTTCCATGATCTTTAAATATTTTCCTAGATTCATAAATAAAATCTTCTACCTTAAAATTTCTGGAGGTTGAGCCTCTTTCTATCCTTCAACAAATCCAAACTTCCTTTTCTCAGCATACTTCTTTTTTTAAACCTACTACCACTTTTTAAGCTTATCATCAAGAGTATCACTCTATCTAATCAGATTCATATCTATTTATTTAAAAAATTAATAATAAAATAATCACATTACTTTTTATTAATTCCTACTCATTATCAGACAATTAGAATCAATATACAGTAGAATCAACCAATTCAATATTCCCTTTTATAAATAAACAAAATTAACTATTTGATTTTTAGCATATATTATTTTATTTTTTATATCAATAAATAATAAATTCTTACATTTATTATTCATTATTCTCTTGATGTTAAATCTAAATAAATTAGAATAATTTAATCAATTTTAAAAAAATAATGATAAAAATTTTTTATGACTTATGACTTTTTACAATTCAATTATTTACTATTTACTATTTAGATTTTCTTAGATAGGAAAAAAGTAAAAAAGCCTAAATTTCTGTTGAATAAATACAACAAAAATTAGAGTGAATTCCAAAAAAAACAGAATAAATTAAATAATTTAGATTTGATATAAAAAGTTTTTTTTTTATAATAAAAGCAATAATTAAGCTGAAAATAAATTAATAAAAATTAATGATAATAAAAAGTTCTAATTTAAAATTAGAAGGTTTTATATAAAATATAAGAAAAAAAGATTTATTGTCATTTATCATATGAGAAATCTATTTATGATAATTTATAAGTAAATATTGAAAATTTGAAAGAATGTGAAAAAAATAAGAAAAAAATTATCTCAATATTAATAATAAATTAAGAGGAAGAAAAATCATGATTATAATTTAAATAGGAAATTGGATAATAAAAACTATAAGTAAATGAAGAAATAATTAGTAATAAAATAAATATTAGAAAATTTGTTATAACTAATTTAGTATAATTAAAAAGATGCATAACCATAAATCAAGGGTATGGGGAATTTTTAATTTAGATTTGAAAAAATATATTATGAAGAAATTTAGATAAGAAACTTAAAGATATAGAATAAAGATTCGAATTAGTAAAATATGAATAATGATAAAGAAAACTCTATATTGTATAATAACAGTAAGAAGACTAAAGAAAAATTGAATTGATAATAATAATAATGTCAATTAATGTACAATTTTCATAATCTTGGCAATCCTAGATCATATGCATTTCCTGGTGCCATTTATCTGCTAAAACAAGCTTTAATTGCATCTCGATACATTTCTTCTTTAATTTTAGTAAAATTTTCTTTATCTTACCCATATTTAGAGACAGCCTAAGCTTTTTAGATAGCAGCTTCTACAATTTTATCTTCTGTTGCTAATCCATCAACAATTTAATATTGTAAACCTTCAGAACCTAGATCATATCTTCTAGCCAACAAACATAAATCTCTATGAACATTAGGTGTAAGTTTACATTAGCATACTGCATTCATTCCTGGAGGTAAATACATACCTTAAATTATATATAAAATAATAACCTATTTCAATTTCTGGTAATGAACAATGTGCTTTTTTAGGTTCAGCTCTTGCTATTCTCCAATCATGAGCAAACATAAACATACATCCTCCAGCTACTGCATGTCCATTTACTAAAGCTATTGTTGGTACTGGATATCTTAATAATCTTCCTAATAATCTTATAAATTCAAGAACAAAATTATTTCTATCGTATATATTCATATTCTATCTTATATTGATAATTACTCCTGTAACATTAAGATCTAATCCACCACTAAATACTGTTGGATGTAAAGATGTTGTTATTAATGCTGTTTGACCTTCATGTTATTCTACTATTGTTAAAGCTTCATGTATTTCTCTCACAAATTTATGTGTAAAAGTATTGGCTTTTTAATTCAAAAGCATGAAGAAAATTTACTCATTTTATGGATGTTGTTTAACAATCACAGTCTTTTTAAGTTCTTCTTCTGTTAATTTTAAAAGGTCAATTAATTAAGTTTTTATCATTATGTAATAAAATATATATATTATTTGTTCCATTCATTATTATTAAATTTCTTAATCTAGTAACTATGATTTGAAGCATATAGAATTTCTTAATTCTATAATATCACCTTTTAATATAGCATCTACATCATCATTTTCTTTATTTTTAAATAGTAATTAAGTTGTTTAAATTTCAGTAGGCTTAATATATCTATTAATTATTTCATTTATTCTAATCCAAGTCATTTTATGCTCATGTAAGTGGGGCTTACATATTTCGCATTTCTTTTCAAATGAATTTACTTCAGAACAAATTTTACAATTCTCAATTTCTACCTTTAATTAAACAACAAATTACTTCAACTCTTAATTGCTTATCAAATCTACCATCCTCCTAAATATGTTATGGATCCAAATCATCTAATACATAAGTCAATTTACTATTATAAACTATCTATTTTACTTTTCATTTTAAATAAATGCTGTATTAAAAGTAAATCTAAACATTTTTGAATCTTTTATCATCCCATAATTTCTCACATTAATCAATATATCTGCAGCTAATGGAATTTAGTTCCCCAATATGATATGATGACTATTCCCTTCATATTTCTTTGACTATTATTTGGTAGAATGTAATATGGAATCCTTATTTACATCAATAATCTCCACATAAGGATAACACTAACCATTCATATTCATTTAAGGAGATCTATTCATAAATACTAATATTACTTTCCATAAAAGGATATTTATGAAATTTGGATAAGATTTGGAAATATTCTTGTATTCTTTGTAAGTAATTCATAAAAATAATGTATGTATTTTATTTGACATGGTTAATTTACACTTAAACCTTCTCCATAGAATCTTTTTTTTCCATAATAATCAAGAGCATCATTCACATTATTAAATCTACCAGAATATAATAAATAACAGCAAATAACTGTCCCAGTTCTTCCTTTTCCTGCTAAACAGTGAACTACAACTACATTTTGATCATGATCTCAATTACTAAGTGTACAAATACTTTTTAATAAATTATGTATTTGTAAACAAATGTCAAATAATACATGTAAAGAAGGTGAATGATGGTCTTTCCAAAAATAATCTTTAAAGATTAATCCTTTAAATTTAGATTCATCGTAATTTTTACCACTTAAATTGAAAATAAAATACTCATCTTTATGCCTTTCGTTCAAGTATTAAGCTACCTAATATAATTTAAAATTTTACTTAATCGATAGGATTTCGATAGATACCTTCGAATCCTTCTCCTGGAATGCTCATAGCAATTAGTCTTTGTGTTATATAAGTTAAATCTAAATTAAAATTGCCTTCTTTTAAACGGTTTTTTTTGCCTGAAACCTTTTCTCTTAAATAATTCATAAAATTTACAATAGAAAATAATTTATAGAATAATATCATAAATAAATACTTAAATCATTTACAATTTTTCTCTTCTTATATATTTAATTCAATTTCACGTAATTCCATAGGGAACTAATTTTATTATTCATGATCTGTGCATTATTAATTAATAATCTTATAGTTAGTATAATAAATGCACCATTATTATTCAAAGATGCTATGTTTATTTGTAAATAGTAAAACAATGGGAATATTTATTAATTATACCACAGACAGAATTATTGATATCACCATTAAAGGTAAAGAATTACTTTATGTTACTAACAAAACAATAAGAATAATATTCCATATCCATGTCAAAACTGTTAATTTATTTATAAATTTATCATACCCTTCTAATTGTTCCTCAATTTATCCTTTCCATAAAGCTACGAAATGTCGGCATAAGAAAATTTTAAAATGTATAACACATTAACTTACCAGCAATATAAAAATAACATAAATGACAATTAGAATAATTGCTATGACTGTAATCGGAATGTATTGAATCCAATGTGTAACCATTTTATACATTCCTTTAATCATTTAATAAAAATGATCATGAATTTTATTAAATAAACTCCAAATTAAAAATAATAATCCTACTAACAAAGAAACAATAGTGATGATTAGATTGTTACATGAAATCATAAAAACATATAAAGTAAAAGATAAAATAAAATTTATTATTCTTTTCTTTCTTGAAGGCTTTCTAATACTTGACTCAATTGAATGTTAATCAATTATTAAAAGTATGGCAAGAAGCAAAATAGATGAAAAAATACAAGCAAATTAAAATATCGTCGTAATAAATGCAATCCAAAAAGATTGATTTATATAATTAGGGTATTAAAAAGTAATTATTCTCATATCATCAATTATTTAATCTTTACTTGCATATAATTTTATTAATTCTTTCTCTTAAATGATAGTATCATAAGGAAGACAGAACCATGAAGGTAATTTGATATCATTCCCATAATAGTAATATTTATAAGGAAGTGGATACTCTACAATTGATGCATCATTTTAATTTGAGTAACAACCAATGCCTTGTTAATTATTGCTTAAATTAAATATCATCGTATCGTATTCTTCATTATAATACTTACTTGTATTTCTCTTTATTAGATATCCTGTATCTGCTTCAAAAGGTATCAATATATATCCAAATATTTGGAGATATATAATAATAAAAATAGGCCACCAAATAAGCATAAATGTGAGTAAAATTACTGTGATACAGAAATCTTGTTCACTATCTGATTAGATCTAATGTAAATATATAAATTTTACTTATTACTAATTAGCTACACTCACATAAAATAAACTAAATAGTATTACAGATATTACAAATATAGGGCTTAAATATAAGGACCAAATCCAATGAGGAGAAACATTCAAATATAAATGTACACAAACACTGTAATAAGCAATCAATGAAATTAAGCATATAAGTAAACTTCTGAAATGAAATTTATATTGCTTCATTTTTATTTTTATTTACTATTTTAATAGTGAAATTGTAAAATGAGAAAAACTTTCAAAAATATGAGATATAAGTCCATTTACGATATTGTTATTAGAAGATCATTAATAAATATATTACCATAATTAAATAATATATATATTAAATAAAATGTATTAAATCTTCAGAACTGTGAGAATGATGAAACAAATCATCAGACCTATGAGATTTTGTGCACCAATTGTGGCTACCAATCATTATTTAAATATATACAATTTGAATCAATTTTACATGAATTTACTAATTGACATCAATGATGAGGATGAAGAACTAATGTAAGTAAAACAAGAACCAAATATTCGTAGGTCAATTAAGAAAGAGAAATGTGTCGTCCAAAATTGATCATTTGAATTATTAATATATAATTTATGCAACATCTCTAACATCCTAATCCGAATCATTTATTGGGATTAAATCTAACTGTTTGCATTTTTTATTATTATATAAAACTTCCAATAAAGCCAATTTCACATTAGGGACTTCATTTTTTAATTACCTTAATACATTAAATGTATAATCTCCTAAAAAGAAAGCATTTCCCAATCCTAAAACAAAATTAACTCTAACTAAATAATTTGGATGCTTTAGTAATTCATTTAATTAATCTATTACTCTTTTACCCTTCTCTATCAAATCATTTTCTCTTAGTTGCTTAAATAACTGCAAAAGAGTCTTGCATTTTTTATATTAATTCTTACTTTACTAGCTTCTTCACGAACTACAGAAATTCTATCTTATAATAGCCTTTTAATTAATTGAATTTCCAAATCCTCAGACTAAAAAGTCTTAAATAATTAAAATTATTATAAATTTATTAAGAACTATATTATTTTATTAAATATATACCATTTATAATGACATCAAACATTATTATCTCATTCTCCAATTCTTGCATTATTCAATATTAATTATGACTTATAGTAAATTCTTAACAATTTGAGATGATTCATTTTACATAAAAGCATTATCTGAAATGAATTATAAAATTATATTAAAGGACTTTTATTTTGAAACAAATTTAAATTTAAGATCAGTATCTCCACTCATTAATTAATTCATAAGAAATCTTAAAAAATATTAGATCTCTTCTTATTAATAATAAATTCTTCTATCTGTAGCTTAATTTAAAATTAAAATAACAGAATCCACCAAATTCTATTTTATCATAAAATTCTTTTCTTATTCTAATTGAGTCATATATTATTGAATTTAAACAAGATGCTAAAAATATAAATAAAATTACTCCTTTATAAATTGTTTTAGATTCTTTAATAAAAACTACTAATTTTCCACAATATATAGATAATTTCTATTTCAATTCCAATTCTGTTTTCGAGAACAATTTTATAAAATTTTCAATAAATAATTTACTATCAGTAGTATTTTATAAAACTTATAGAGATTCAATACAAATTTCCAAAAAGCAATTGTAAGCATTAATATTATCCATTTTAAATAATTTGTTTAAATATTCATGATAACCTTGAAATTTGATTAAAGCAGGAACACTATAGAATAAATTTGATTTAAAATCTTTTCCATTTGTAAAAACATCATCAGCTAATTCAATACAAAACTTCTATTCTTCAGGATTACTTGCCCATTAAGCAAATTCTTTTATACTTAAAACAACTCTTTTTCTAACATTTTATTCATTACTTAACATTAAATTTTTAAAATATTCCATCCATTCTTATAATACTTATTTAGAAACTAGATTATAAAGATTAGCAATTAATGTGACAGCTGCACATTATTCATCTAAATCACCATCTTTTGCTTCAATTATTCTTTAAGTAACACATTCTTCAAATAATTGTTATTGTTTCAATAATCTATTTCCAATATCTCTCATAATTTTGATATACATAGATTTTGTTTCATCCTTTGTTCTATCACCAATGGTTTCAAGTAATGGTTTTAATAAAATTAAGCTATTTTCAGGACCTCCAATTAGATTTATTAATTTTGGCATTGATTCAAGTAATGTAAGCATTACTTATAATTCTTCAGGAACATCCTCAACTAAAATATTAACTTAATTTCTTAACCAGCTTTTTCTTGATCTTTAAGTAAATTTGAAATAAATCCTCCTAATAAGCCTTTTGCTCTGGCAGGACCTAATACTAAAGCAATAGTTGAAAGATTTTGCAAACAATAAGTTCTTGTACTTGAATGATCACTTTTCATCTCTTCTAATAAAATTGAAATAGGAAGCAATGTTTTCATATCTGTATTTTCATCATCTAAACTACATAATAAAATTTAATACCCATATCTTAGAATGCAGTCTACAATATTTAATGAATCCCTAATTCTTATGATTATTTTGATCTAGTTGTATCAATAGAGGAAAGCGATTTACCTTTTTAAATTGATGAATTAGATGATTAATCTGTACTCATTTAATTATAATTATGTAATTCTCAAAAATATTAAAGTATTGTTTTAGCTTTGAAACCAGAAGTATCATATTAAATATCTATCCTACTAGAAATTAATTCAGAAAAGCCTATCATTTTAAAAGCATTTACAGTTTGGAATGAAAATTTAATGTTTTCAATGACTCCAATTAAAGCCACTTATGTTGAGAAAAATAATTATTATGCAATTTAAAAACCTGGTTGGATTCTCTTTGAATTAGTTCCAATAATTCGTTAGAGAGAAGGAAATCATCATTTAGAATGGGATAAAAAGAAATAATTTAGTTTAGGTGTCAAGTAGATAGGATAATTGTTAATCACTAAAAATAAAGCATATGATGAAACCTCTAATTTCCTCATTAGTATTCCTTAATTTATATTAATTAAGCATACTAAACATAAGTTAACGAAAAGAGAGTCTTAAAAATAAATAAAACCGCATAAGATATACTTATATCAATAGCAAAAGATGAAGAATAAGATAAATAATTAAACCCATATAAGATAACTTTGAATCAAGCAGAATACATTACAGCATTAGAATTAATTAATGTAATATATATTTAATAAAAATATTATAGTTTTCATTACCCTTTTTATTAGGTTGGGATGCTTTATATACCCCTTAATTATCTGATAATGATGCTTAAGATTGATTGTTTTATATAAAAATAATAAAATTTCAAATGTTTTATTCCAATATAACAGTTCTAATATAATTATTAATTGTTCTAATTTTGGCTATTTCATCTATTGGGATGAAGGTTAATAAACATTTAGTGGACCAAATCTAATAAATATATTTGAAAATACTTCTCTATTTAGTTTTCTTAAGAATGGATTCCAACAAAACAATAACGCTATAATCAAAGTTAATAAGAAGAATATCATAAGTATTAACTACTAAACTACATAATTCTCTTAATCAGTTGTGATAATATTAAAATATTCATTCTTTAAAAGTGAATATGAATCTTTAAGAACATTAAATTACATATCATCTAGAATATAAATAATAAAATTTACTTATCTCATAACTTTCTGGTGTATTGAGTAAATTAAGAAGTTTATTTCTCTTCTTATCATCAGATAGTTACAAAAGGGTATAATTAGACCAAGGAAATTCTTAAGAGTCATTAAAATATAGATTCTAATAAGTATTATATAATTTTCTTATATTTTAAAAATGTCTGGATACTGCTGTCATTAATCCATGATCTAAAATTCCATTAGCAAATGTTTCACATGTAATTTCTTAAAATTTGATAATGACGCAAAGATTATCAAACATAATTGAATTATAAAAATCAATGTATGATATATCATTATATTCTACATTAATAGCATGTAATTTTTAATATAGAGTATCAATTTCATAAACTTTGTTTATCAATTAAACCATAGTAATATTACTATCTTAATTCATTAAATTGAATTTGTCATTGTAAATATATTATTTAAGGGAATTAACAAGAATAGAATAATAACTGGAACTTAATGAAGTTTGATTAAATTCATTTAAAATATTGATTTTCTAATCAACATTATTTTAGTCTAAAAAGTAAATCATAATAAAATATGACTCCAATATAGATGCTAAAAATATCATCTTAACAAAGAATCCCATATGCTTGTTTTCATTATTTTTAAATCTCTTTCTCTTTCTCCCTAGAAGTGATACTGGTTCATCATTTCCTTTGTCGTCAATTATGTCAATTTCACTTAATACTTCATCATCTTCATTAGAGGATATTTACGATAAAAAATTTTCACATTTAGTGTAGAATGATTTAGCTGTTCTCTCTGGAATATCAAGAAATATACTTAATATTTCTTATCTTTTATCTAAAGTGCTAGTTAATATACAGGTAAGAATTATTGAAGATATGAAAGTTAAACAAGCTGATAAAATGAGGATTATTAAAATATCACTATATAATTTATTAGTTTAATCGTAGGATAGATCGATGGTATTCATATACATATCAAGGAGAGCACGGATGAAATCATTTAAGGAATTGAATATCACATAATAATAATCGATTTAATTCTCATTCAATTAAGATTAAATTTATTGAATATTAAGAGATTTACTTACAATTTATTAACTTGCTTATTCTAAAGTACTAATTTCCTGTCCTGATTAAGTACTCATCTTAACATCAGAATTGAAGGAAATCTTCATGAAAATATCCTTACTTAACTAATCAAACTATTAAATACTATTGTTCAAATTAGATAAGAGTTAATCCTATTAATAATATGATAATCCCAAGCTTAGAAACATTAATTCTCTTGAATACAAAACAATTTAATTTAAATAAGTAATCATATCAGATTACTTAATAATCATATTCCAACCAGTATTTTAATTATTAATTTCTTATCTCTCAAATACATTATTGAGAATGCATAATATAATCAATAATATTGTTAATAAAAATGATATATAGTATAACCATCTAATTGTTCTACTTTCACTTTAAGCATTTAAAGTCTCTTATAATTCTTTAGAGGATCTAAAATATCCAGATTCATTTGGTTCATCATTTTCTAGATTTTATTATTCATCTTTCTTAATTTAAATTTCTTCATAACTTTCCATATCAGCATCTGATTAAAATTTTTCAATATCATAAATTACTCCTTCAAACAATCTCATAACCCTAATACCTTAAGAATAATCTATAACATCTTCATTTTTTTCAATTTCTTTACTTTTTAAATCATACTCTTGATTAGTAAACATACTCTAATCTTGTATATGAGTTATCATTTCACTATAATTAGCATCAGTATATTCTCCATAAAAATGCATACCAGTTTATTAAAATTATAATCTAAATGAAAAATTTTAATTTTTGGATGCTTTCTTTTATAATTATTTTATATTTGAATTAGATAAATCTATTTATTTTTCAACTCTAACTTAATATCCAGCTAAACCTTATTCATTTTCAGAAGTTTTCATTATAAGAAAATTTATATCCTAAATTGATACACTTAATCTAATTGTTACATCAGATGCTCCAAAGGCTATATGATCATCTAAAATTCTTGGAAATATGAAATCTATAGATTTTCCTTACTTCATCTTAAAATCACTATATGATTCTTTTATATCAGGAAATAAATCAAATAAATGAATTTCTTAAATCTATAATGATTTTACATCCAAACCTAATAAGTTTATGCATCCTCCTGAAACATCTTCAATTACATATTCTTTATTACAAACCAAATAAGCAACATCTTTGATTCTTTTTTCTTTTTTAAATGTTCCTACAAATTCAACTCCTTCTTTTAAAACATGATAAACTGGACGTAATAATACATTTATTCCTAATAAATATCCATTCTTATGTTTTCCTAATAACAATCTTTCTTTATTTAATAATGTAGCCTCATTTGTATCTAAAAATCTTCTTAAAAAATCATCATGATGTCTTGCATATAATGATGGCATAATATTATTTACTTTCTTATTCATAAGTTCATTTTTATCAAAACCCAATAAAGATGCTGCAGCCATATTAATAGCATAAATCTATCCAAATTTCTCTTCTTCTAATGAAATAAATACACAACCATCCTCTTATCCATCAACATTCAAATTTGATGTCATACCTAATTTAAAAGCTTTTCTTTAAGCAAATGAACTTTCTAATTTTCTAGCCTATTCAAGCAAATCAAATCCTGATATTCTATCATTAAAAATTTCAATTAAATATTTTGAATATAATCTTAAAGCTTAAGGTAATTATTGGTTTTATATTCTTTAAAGTCTCTTCCAAGTTGTATCAACATACATTCTAATTGGAAATAACTTTGATCCTATTTCATATAATTTGACTAGATCTGGTTTCTCATCAGCAAATTGAGACCAAAACTCCATTAATAAACTTACACTTCTTTCCATTGCCTATTTAAAAGATCCAAATTTTTCATCAAAATCTCTTTACTCTGTAAAATCTTAACCTTCTCCACTTAATTCAGATATCTCTGCCTCAATTACACTCTTTATATAAAAGACTATATATTTTTCATCAAAAGAAGACTTCAATTTCTCTATATTACTTAATTCTTCTAAAGCTTAAGGTTTAGATTTTAAAATTCTTAAAGTAAATAAAGCATATTCTATTCGAATAAAAACATCAGTTGGAAATTTTCCAATACCCATTATGAATAATCTTGTCATTGTATCGTATATTAATTGATGTCTCTTATCTGTTTTACTAACCAATTCATTTTTAGCTTTAAACATATTTAATGAGAATTTCACTTTTTTTAAAGGACATAATGGATTTGGACAAGTCTAATTGTGAAATTCAATGTAACCATTTAATAATTAACCTTAAGGTAATCTCTTTTTATCATATTCTACTAATTTTATAACTTCATGTACATGATTTACTAATTAAACAGGACTATCAAATTTATTTACATAAATCATTAAACATTATTCTCTTTTCTATTATTGTAATAATTATATCATGAATACAAAAGGCAAACAAAATAACCATGTATATAAAGATCCAACCATTATTCTTTTTTCAACTAAATTAGAAATACATAACATAAGGGATGCCCACATTTCTAATGTAAGAAAAGTTAAAAATAACTTCTACATTATTCTATTATTATAAGCATCATTTTTCTTAGCATACAAAAAACAAATCACTGATCCAATTAATTAATAAACTTCAAAAAATACCTATGAATTCTCATTATGTGGTAACATAGATAATAATACTACTATTCCAAAATGAATAGAAGTTAAAGTTGAACATCGTCCATTTCTTTTTGAAAGTGCTTTTTCTTAATCAAAAGTAGCATCAAACAATACAAGATTAATTGATGAACACATGAAAAATAAAATTATTAAACCAATTATTGAGATTATTTAATCTATAACTAATAATCCTTACCAACATCTTTAGTTTGGAAAACTATCCATATATTCATTTGTACAACTAATTGGTAGCTATTTTACATTTATTAAATTAATACTGTATATAAAAATAATATAGGTATATAGAGTATCGTACTGAACACAAATGTCATGTATTTTAATATGTTTATTAATAATTAAACTGGATCTTTCTGATTTACTATAAATATTATTGATATTAAAAATAAGAACACCCAAAAACTTATTAATGCAATTGAAACATATATTAATATTTGTACAGCACTATAATCTTAATTTAACAAATAATGAGTAAAATTAAAATATCCAAATATTTCAGTCAATATTTCTGCATTATTATCCTACCATACTGATACAATCTCTATACTATAATGCTTATACCACATGATGAAATTTAAAATAATTTATTTGCATCAAAGTTATTAACATTGCCATACTATGCACTATCATTGATTAATTCTAATCCCGAACCATCAAATATATTAGTCTATATATTGAACTTTGAGTGTTTGATTCTAATGATTTATCTGTCAGATTTTTTCCTTCCTCTGACATTAATAAAAATATTAATATTTATTATCAATTGTTATAAAAATCATCAAAAATTTCATTAAAATGATATAGATCGTTCAGGTATTATATTTTATGAAACTGTCTAATCAGGCAGAGTTTTCAATATCCTTTCTCTTATTTTTCTCAAAGGTACTTTTGGATAAACATATTTATCTTAAAATTGTAATTTATTTTAAGGCCTATAATATTTTTCTATATTTTAAAGCAATTCAATCATAGAAAGATCCATCTTTTTTGTATGCATCAATATTTATAAAAAATTACTTAATTAGCTATGATTATTTTTTGTAAATTCTCTCAAATATTCATAAACTGGTATCTCAATTACTCCAGGCTATTGTAAGTGCATTAATTTCATTTCTTTTATTAGTTGACATTAGTGTTCTATTTCTTCTTGTTACAATTTTAAAGTAATATTCATGTTTTGGTATTTTGTCAATAGTGACATNTCCAAAATGAATAGAAGTTAAAGTTGAACATCGTCCATTTCTTTTTGAAAGTGCTTTTTCTTAATCAAAAGTAGCATCAAACAATACAAGATTAATTGATGAACACATGAAAAATAAAATTATTAAACCAATTATTGAGATTATTTAATCTATAACTAATAATCCTTACCAACATCTTTAGTTTGGAAAACTATCCATATATTCATTTGTACAACTAATTGGTAGCTATTTTACATTTATTAAATTAATACTGTATATAAAAATAATATAGGTATATAGAGTATCGTACTGAACACAAATGTCATGTATTTTAATATGTTTATTAATAATTAAACTGGATCTTTCTGATTTACTATAAATATTATTGATATTAAAAATAAGAACACCCAAAAACTTATTAATGCAATTGAAACATATATTAATATTTGTACAGCACTATAATCTTAATTTAACAAATAATGAGTAAAATTAAAATATCCAAATATTTCAGTCAATATTTCTGCATTATTATCCTACCATACTGATACAATCTCTATACTATAATGCTTATACCACATGATGAAATTTAAAATAATTTATTTGCATCAAAGTTATTAACATTGCCATACTATGCACTATCATTGATTAATTCTAATCCCGAACCATCAAATATATTAGTCTATATATTGAACTTTGAGTGTTTGATTCTAATGATTTATCTGTCAGATTTTTTCCTTCCTCTGACATTAATAAAAATATTAATATTTATTATCAATTGTTATAAAAATCATCAAAAATTTCATTAAAATGATATAGATCGTTCAGGTATTATATTTTATGAAACTGTCTAATCAGGCAGAGTTTTCAATATCCTTTCTCTTATTTTTCTCAAAGGTACTTTTGGATAAACATATTTATCTTAAAATTGTAATTTATTTTAAGGCCTATAATATTTTTCTATATTTTAAAGCAATTCAATCATAGAAAGATCCATCTTTTTTGTATGCATCAATATTTATAAAAAATTACTTAATTAGCTATGATTATTTTTTGTAAATTCTCTCAAATATTCATAAACTGGTATCTCAATTACTCCAGGCTATTGTAAGTGCATTAATTTCATTTCTTTTATTAGTTGACATTAGTGTTCTATTTCTTCTTGTTACAATTTTAAAGTAATATTCATGTTTTGGTATTTTGTCAATAGTGACATATACTTGTAGCAAACCTCATCATATTTTAGTTAAAGCTATTTCACATGATGTTGCAATTCTTTATATTCATGAGCTCTTTAAATCATCTTAAAATATACATTGCTGTATTTGGTTTTTCAATAATGATTGTATTACTGATTGGTGCTACATTCATTGCTCTATATATCTTTTTATCTAAATATTAGAAACAACTTTAAATATTATCATGTAACAGTTTGATATCAAAATCTCTTAAATCACTCATTTTATGCTAATTTTATTATTATATTAGGTAAGATTATATTATTGAAAAATATAATAAGAATGAATAAATAAACATAAGTTCATTCCATTTATTCTGCTTCTTGTTAACTCTCTTACATTTTGAATCCTATTTGTTTACTTTAATTTTTTTTAATTCTTGATCTTCTGATTACGAATACAACAATTGTTATCATTAAAATTGTACTAAAACCTCCAATATAAAATAAGGTATAATTTTATTCTTATTAAGTATTTTAAGTTGTATCTACAATATCTTTTTTTTTATTTTGATTGCCTGTTTCTTATTAGGTAGAGTTTGAAGATAAACTATTCTCATAGTCTTTCTATCTATTAAATCTTATAAATTCATTTTATATTATTTTTTATATCTCTTCTTTTTAAGTTTCATTAAGTTGTTAATATCCATTTTGATTCAAAAGATCTTAAATTTTTTAATTAATTTCTTACTCATTCTTTCCTTCTTTAAGTTAATCTCTTATAATTTATCTAATCTCCTGTCTTATTTTTTTGTATTATTATGTTGAATTCTTTTTTTTCTCCTATTGAGAAATTTGCTCTATAATTTAATCTAGATTTTTCAAATCTTACTATATAGCTTAAGAATCATTAAAATATTCATTTATAAATTGTGTAATATTATTCTTAACATCTTAATCAGAAAGACCTTAATCTAAAAACTCTTAAATTTAATATTCAATTTCTCTAAATTCTTTTTCTCCTTAATTTTAATTATTTATATATTCTCTTGTATTCCAAGTACTTTAAATTGATCTATCTGGATTATTTTAAAAATTTTCAATTTATTTTTCTATTGTGGTCAAAACTATTTTACTATTGAATTGTTAAGTAGTATCATTTAATTTTTTTTCTAATTCTTACGAAATTTTGGTTAATACGATATCTTTATCTGTATAATTAAGTGAACTAAAATATTCAATATCTTTTTCAATTCTTTAATTTTCTTATGGTTTTGATTTATCTAGTTCTTCGGCCATTCCAAAGAATGCAAGCCAAATTTTATCTTTTCTTTCTTTATCTTAATTTTAATAATATTGAAATCCTTCATCAAATATATAACTTTAAATAATTTTAAGTTCATCTTTTTAATCCTAATCTAAGTTCTTAGCTAAATTCTCAAATAATTAATTGATAGTGTTATTTGATTATCTATCATATCTTTAATCTTTATGATGAGGTCCTCTTTAAAGTAATCGAGCTGATGAAATTGTGAAAATCACGAATAGAACAAACATAAATTATATAATTAATCAATTTTCCTTTTTCAGATTAAAGTCCTTAATCATTATATTTAAATAATAAATCAAGAAATTAGTAACCATTTTAAAAAATTAAATCTATTTGATGTTCCTTCAATATAGTTTTATTAATTAAACTTAGATGATTAGCAAGTTTAAAATCAATACATTTTACGATACGTTTCTTTAAAATCAAATGATATTAAAACTCAATCTCAATTGAACTACAACTAATAGCTATTTAGATATGGTAGAAACATTTAGAAAAATATCAAGAAATATTTATTCATTAACCAAAATGAGTTAATTTTAAATTATTTCCAATAAACCTTTAAAATATATAAATTTAACATAATAATTGGAAGAAATTTAAGTAATTTGTAATTTTAATTTAAATTAAGACAGTCATTATTATTTTACTAAATTATTTTATTTATTTTTAAATTAAATAAGGAAAGAATCAGAACTAAATGATCTAAAGCGAAAAGATGCTTATTTCTAATAAATAAAGATTAATACTTATTGTTAATCAATTATCTCTTTCTAATTAGAGATAATTAATATATATTAGCTTATGTATACCAGAATAAAAACAATTCTCTTAACTTTTGTTTATCAAATGATAATTAATAAAATAAATTTATAAAATAATTTTTTAATATCTAAATATGTATTGATAATTTTTTCATGATAATAATTGTGTTCCTTTGCTTTAATTACTTTTGAAATAAAGCACCGCTGCAAAAGTAGTTGAAATCAATGCAAGAAATTCAAATATTATTGGAAACCAACATAATTTCCATTTATCTGTTTTTGTGGTGAAATACAAGATTGGAATTAACAAAATCAATACCCATTCAAGGAATAAACATATCAATTAGATGATCCAAATATGATATTTTTTAATAACTCTACTTATAAGAGTTTATCCTAATGAAAATAAAATAATTAATCCACCAAATCCTAATGCAAATCCTCCTAAAAAAGGAGTAGCTTTAACAGTATTGACTAATGAATCATCAAATAAATCAGGAATTTTTGTATAACAATCACCATAATCTCCTATTGTATGTTATTTTGCTGAAAATGTTAAAAAAGTCTGGAACTTATCTGATTGTAAATCAAACTCGGCTGCATCAAAAAAGAAGCAAAATGATATCAACACCAAACCTATGATTAAAAAAAGCATCTTGTATAATCCTTAATTACGAGAGATATCATCAAACATAATATCTATATTATTTTTATATTAAAAATTAATTATTAGAAATTATATAAAAGGATAAACAATCATTCCATATAGATATTTATACAATCATAAATTAATTAAACAACAAAACTAATGAACAATATAAAAAAATTTATACTTTATCTTTATAATTCTGGACTAATTCGTTGTTTATTTTATATGTGTATTTATTTTAAAGTTTACACAAAGATTCTCATCTTTTTCTAATATAATATGAATAAACATAAAATTAAATGTTTATTATATAAAATTTCAATATATAGATAGTGAGAATATAAAGCATATAGTTATATATTTGTCAGTTTATAATCGCAAAATAATAATGATATATTAAAAGAATATAAAAATTTATGAAAGGAAAATCTAAAGATTAATTAGCAGCAAATATGTAATGATTGTATTTCTATGAAAGAGAACACATAGCATAAATGAAGTAGTAAAATCAAACTTTACAAGAAGATTTATAATAGGATGGAAAAAATAATGATTTTGAAAAAATGAATACATTATAAGAAGAATGTGCCTAATATGCAAAAAAAATAGAGGTTGAAAGCAAAAAATAAGTAAATAAATATATAATAAAAGAGAGATTTAGAGTAATTAATTTAGAATGCTGAATAACAGTTGCAAGATCACCGAAAAAAAATGAGTAATTCGGATGGAATTTAATTACCAAGTTTAATAAAGAAATAAAAGACTTTAGAAAGGTAAATGAAAATAATAAATTTAGCTAATTAGAGTAAATTAAACTTAAACATAATGAATCATTAGCAGAGATAAATTAATTAATGGAGCAAATAAATACTGCAAGAAGGGAAAGGGTTATTTATAGTAATGTTTTTAAAAAGCTTGAAAGTGATATAAGAGCAAAAGAGGAAGAATTTAAAAAATAATTACTTATTAGAAAATAAATAGAACATGAATTAAATCAATGTTAAGAATAATTTGATAAGATGAAAGAGTAAATGAATATATAATTTATTTAGATAAGCTAATTAAGTAGTAGAATCAAATAAATAAGAATATACGTAAATATTAAAAACAAATCGTTTAGATGACACAGAAGAGTAATCTCCTAAAAATCAATAGTAATAATAATAGTAATAACAATAACAAATAAAATAAGAGAGTAAATCTTAATAAATAAAAGAATCATAATAGCCTAAATAATAAATATAAATGTAGAAGGATGTTGAGGATGTTACAAATTATGAATTAATGTTTGAGAAATTAAAAAAAGAAACAGGATTGAATTCGATAGAAGAAATAATTCATACTTTTAGAACAATAGAAGATACAAATAATGAATTATTTAAAAGAGCAAATATTTTGAGTGATTAAATTGATTCTGAAGAAAAATAAATTGAAGAATTATAAAAATAGATTTCTTAATATACAAAAAATTAATAGAAGGAGGATAATGAATTTGAAGATGAAAAATTTAAATTTGCTCAATAATTAGAAAGAAGTGAGAAATTAGATAAAGAAATTTAATAGGCTGAGAATGAAATAAAAGAATATGAAAGAGAATTATTAGAAATAGCTAATAAATTATAAATAAAATATGATCCTAATTCTGAGGTTACTTTGATGTAATTAGTAGAATAAAGAGCATACGAATTGGTTGATTTATGTAGATATTACGATAATCATAATTATACTATTGATTCTAAAAAAAATGATTAAGAAAGTACAGTTTCAAATTAGGATGATTAAACTATGAAAGATTTATTAGATGGTGTTGAGAATGAAAAAGAGGCTGAAAAGATTATGAGCAAAGATGATTTTAAAAAGATTGGATCATAAGAATTATAATAGTTTTAGAAAAAAATTATAAGTAAGAAAAAGAGAGAATGATTTATAATTAATAATCATAAATAATTATGAAATAAAAAGTAAAGGAAATTATCAAATTTTTTAAAGAATTCTAAATACCTGTTATTCCAAGTGAATTTGCGTTGAGTGAAGCAGAAAGAGCAAATCTATATTTTTATTTAACATCTTAAGAAATGGAAAGCTAAAAATAATTAATAGAAGAAAAATAACCTGAAGAAATCAAATTAAAAAAAGTTAAAATATATTAAGTTTATGATCCTGTTGATGCAATTCAAAATTTCAATTCTTTTGATTTTAAACAAGAAGAAAGAAATTTAAAAGAAAATGAAATCTAAATTATATCAAATAGAAATCAAAATATCAAATTTAATTCGTTGAATGAAATTAAATAATTTTTGAAACAATACTATGATTAAAAGTTAAACTAAATTTAAACCGATGAAATTTAATAATTAGATAGATAACTGATTATATAAAGTCTCAATATTTAATTTTAAGAACCCAATTGTGATATCCAATAAATAATAGATATCTTTTTGAGTATTCTCTATAAAGAAATTGAATAGAATTATCAAAAAAGATATGATTATTATTTAGATACATTTTGTATGTTGATTAAATAAAAAATTTCTTTCTTAATGTCTAATTAAAGTACTTAAAATGTAACTGAGAAATTAATTAACTCTGTTCCATAATTTAGAGTATCTTTAGTAGATTTAGTAAAAGAATTTACGGAATAAGCACTTCTAAAGTAAAATGAAAAGTTGTACTCTATATATTTTACATAATTAAGAGATTTAGTATTTAAATTTTTAAATGAAAATCATCCATTATAATTTGAAAGCTTTAGATTATTATTGAAAATTAATCATTCAACAATTTTAGAATTTGTTAAATAAGCTACTCCATTAATTTTTAATAAAAAAAAACCAGAAATAAAAGATTTTATTTTTGAAGAAACATTATAAAAAATTAATTAATTATCTTAATTGAATGATTGTCAGCATTAATTACATTTCATGTTTTATATAGGAATTTGTTAATAAAATCATAATCATCATTGTAAAATTTTAGCAAAGTTATTACAAGATTGTTAACAAAATTATCCCTAACATCTTGATGCAATCTATGCAAATTTGTTAAAAATAAAAAATAATAGCAATATGAGTGCTAAATAGATAATTGAATATATAGGATTAAGTGTTAACAATCCTGATGCTTTGCACTAAAAGTTTTTAGATTTATTTGTTGAATTTGCTTTAGAATATCCAAAATCAGAAGAATTTGCTCATGATATGTTTAAAGTTTATCTTTATCGTTATTTTAATCAATAGATAGAAGGTGATATAAATATAATAAATAAGATTCTTGAAAAAACTTTTGATTAATTGAATATAAATTTTATGATAAATTGTATTGAAAAACTACCAACAGATAAATTGAGTTAAATGATATTAAGAAAATCTAATTTTGATTTGTATCAATATATAATTAAGGATGAAAGCAAAGCATTAGCAGTTTTTTTATTAAAATAATTTTTATAAAAAGACAACTAATAATTAAAAAACAATAAATATGAATTATTAAAATTATTTTAAGAGTAGGTTTGTGAATATAAAAATACTAAAGAAATTTTAGATTTTTTATTTTAAGAATAAAATAAATCATATAATGCATTGATTACTACATTTATAATAAATTGTTTAAAGAGAAGGAAATCAAACATGCAAGAGGAAATAAAGTTTATTTTATCAAAAAGCTTTTATTTTGAGGATGAAAATATAATCAAGAGTATAGAGTTTTATCGATAAATATACCCAGAATAGTATTTATAGTTACTTGATGATTAAACCAGACTTAGATTAAGAGATAAACGATTATTATGATCATAATTATAATTTATTATATATGCACATATAATACGTTCTCTGTTGACTCATTTTCAAAATAATTTATATTTTTTTTATTCCTTTATAAATTGATTAATAAATAACTTTATTACTTATATTTAAATTAAATAATTTTAATCCTCATGACAACTCTTAATGTTTAGATAAACCTGAACTAATTTTAACTTATATTGTAGAAGGAGGAAGAAAAAAAATAATAACAATATTCATTAAAAAGAAAAGAATACCCAAAAGGATCAATCAATCTTTATGAATCAAGATTTGAGAAGGTATCGTTATCAAACTCAAAAATAAATGAAGTGATAGGTTGGATGTTAATTATAGCTGTAATCATGATGTTAATAGTATTGGCAATTTCAATAGTGTAAAATTCTATTATTGGATTTGCAATACCACTAATGTCAGTTACGACATTCTTTATCGTTTATATAAATTGGATTTCGATGAAGTTTTTTATAAATTCTTGAGATGATTATTTTTATATTTGTACAAATAACTATAAGTTAATGATATTCTATATATTTTAAGATAAATTCATAAATATATAACACTTATAACATATTTTCTTTTTCTTTCTATATAAAGTACCATAAGCATTTCCAGATTTTATTTTTTATTTCCTTTTCTAAAATCTTTATTGTCTTTTAACCTTCTCAACAAAGCATACTCTTTGTAATAAAACAAGTTCTATTATAAATGAAAAGGAATATACTCTCTAAAATCATAAAGTAACTAACTTACTATTCGGAATATTATTATAGAATAAATTATTATTAGAAAAATAAAAGAAATTAAAGACTTTAAGACTGTGATAGATAAAATGAATGATTGGAATTAATTAAAATTAATTTATCATTCTTGAAAATAATAAAAAGAAACCGTATATTTTTACACTTTTTTTCTTGTAATTAGTATTTCTCATTTTAATAGAGTAATACTAAACCTAGAAAACTAGAATGTATCTGTATGGAACAAGAATACAACAAAAATTAAACATTCATATTTTTTAAAACTTTAACATAACTTTCTTGTATTTAATGTTTAGGAAATTCTAGGAATTTAATATAAATGTTATGTACTCATCAAATTTTGTAAGTAAAATTTAAAATATTTTTTATAATAATATAAATTAATATTAAATACAAAACAAAATAATTCAATAATATTTAGTAGATAATAATAGCTTCTATTTATTAGTATCAATATCTGTAACTTATTATTCATCATTATTTTCAAAATAGGTGAATCCTTGAAACATATTATTACGATCTCTTTCATCCTTATATTCACTAATAGTTAAAACTTGATTGACAAACTTGGAATCAAAATTATCTTTTCCTACAATTTTATAAGGTGCTTCAATTAATTTATCATAATGTCTTGCCCAATCAACATTTTTTAACCATGGATGACCCATAACTTCATCTGGTCCATCATTTCCCAATCTTTAAATTGGTTTTCTTTCTAATAATTTATTTACAAAATCAGAAACTTCCTTTGATAAACCTTACTTATGTAATTTAACTTATTTACTAAGTATTAATTCTCTAATTTATCTTCTATTCTTTCCTTAATATGGTCTCTATCCTTAATTATAATATATATACTTTTCCAGTTAAACATTCATAAACTAAACAACCTAATGCAAAATAATCACAAGCAACACCATGATCAGATTTCATCATTACTTCTGGTGCCATATATCCAGGTGTTCCACTTGTCTCATTTTTATTATTTGGTTTCCATATTCTTGCTATTCCCAAATCTGTTATATGTAAATAACCTTCATCATCAAACACTAAATTCTCAGGTTTTATGTCTCTATGAAGTACCAGATTTTTATGTAAATATTACAATGCCATCAATATACAGATTACAAAAAACTCTTTATATCAAATAGAATTGCTACTTGTTTACTCTTCTGTAAATTTCCCTTGCTTACATAAATGATATCTTAAATCTCCTCCTTCCATATAATCTAAAACAATATATAAATGTGTCGATGTCTAAAATGCACCTCTCATATTAACTAGAAATCTATTTCGAATAATATCATACGGATGATTCAATTTTTAAAGCAGAATTCTCTCATTCATCACACTCTAAATTGATTGTTTCTCTATTATTCTGATTTCTATTTTCTTAAGATATCTACTTAGATTTTATCATTTCTTTCAATGCAAAAAACTTTTTTTAACATTTCACCTTCCATACTCTTCCAAAACCTCCTTTCCCTATTACATAAAGTAATTTATATTAAGATAATTATGGTGCTATATCATAAACTAAATATTTACTATACAATTCCAATTCAGAAAGACTTAGTTCTTCACTTGAACAATTACCCATATATTTAATATTATTATTTTATTCCATTTTAATCCTAAAAAATCATCAATAATTATTATTACTATTTATATTATATTCTTATACTTTTACATTATAATCAAGAAATTTATACTTTTCATTGACATTACTATAATTTTACTTTATATTATTATCAATTTAAGTTATATTTAAATGTAAATTTTTTTTATGTTCTTTTACAATTAAAAAGAATATTTTATATTCATAGAGTATCATAATTAATTTATTTATGTTTAACTAATTTAATATTTAAAATACAATATATTTGCTTCATTAATTATGAGTAAATCTATTCGTTTTTGTTAAATATTAATTCTGAAAATATATAACTAAAATTACGTAGATTAAATATTATTAATATCATCATTTATTTAATTTTTATTTACTTATAGTTTATTTTCTTTTCATTTCTGCTTCCCATGTAAGATGTGGATCAAAAGCAAATTCATTATGTTGTACACTATTTGTCAATCTAAATGGTTCTTTATTATTTATTCTCACTTTTTCTAACATTTCATCTTCATGTACTTTTCCATATTTGCTTGGTCTTTAAACAAAATCTTCAAAATCCAAACGAAACTCATCTAATTGCTTTTTTATTCCTGGAGGTGTCTTTGGTTTTTAAAATTCTTAATATTGACTAGGTATTTTAAAACCTTTGAAACCTAAAACATTATAAACATATAAACCTTAAGGAGCTTTATAACTTCTTTCTGCTAAATTAATTCTTAAAATTTCCCATTCATTCAATATTTTACCTTTCAATGTTGGTATTTTAGTAAATTCATCATTTTTGAATCCAGGACCTACAAATCATAATTATAAAATACTTTTCCATGCCATTCTAAATCTTCTTTTTAATTCTTAATAAACTTCTTCTTTGTCCTTAATTTTTGGTAAACCAACATCTATTTCTTTATTTTCTAATTTTTCTTATTTTTCTGCATTTATTACATCTCTTGTTCTTCTTTAATATTTATAATTAATCTTATTCATTTCTTTTTTTTATTTCTCTGAAGCCACTGACATTTCATCTAGGAGTTACTAAATCATTGTATCACTTATAAATTAATATAAATAATAAATAAATATATTATTAATCTAAAAGTGTCTTGAATACATGAACATTCCTGTAATTACATTGAGTATGATCATTCTTTTTATTATAAAATCTAAATTTTATGAAGATTTAATATAGAATAATAATTATTAATACAGTTCTTTTGATACTGAATAAAAAGATTATATTGATTTAGAAAGTTCAAAATAAGGATATGATAAATTTATTATATTCCAATGATTGTTATTAATTTTTGTTTAAATTATTATATAATATGAACAAAGCAACTCGAACAACAAGTCTTCGATAACATAAACTAACATTTTTAAAGGACAATAATAATAGCTTGTAATTATAGACCAGGTCGTAGAGCTTTAAATAAAACTTTAGTATATCTCCCGATAAGAAATCATAAATATCTCCAACAAAATAAAATAGTGTATTTCTAAATGGATAATTACTTGTATATAAATTTGTAAATAAAAGTCCCGTCCAAAATCGAAATTCAATTAATAAGGGAATTTGTCTACTTCGAAATTACAGGATTCTTAAAAATTGTTTCTGATTCAACAAGCTTAATAATAATAATAATAATAGGCATAGCTATAGAAAGCAGAATAAAGCCCTGCATTACATAGAAAATAATAGAGTGATAAAGGATTGAAATATGATCTACCAAAAATATCACCAATAAAAGCAAGATAAGGAATAAAATAATTACAGCCTGATATGAATCAGCTAGAGTTATTTAAAAGAGAATAAATAAAACAAAATATTATAAAAAATGCTTATAGTAAATCATAAGCTGGTAAAAATGAAGATAACTAAACAAAAATAAATTAAGATAGTTACATTTCACTTTAATAATTTAAAGATAATATGTCCTTATTTGGTGTTTGTGATGGACATGGTTAAGATGGACATAAATGTAGTCAATTCATTCGAGATAATTTACCAAAAAATATAAATTCTCTATTGTCTTAGAATTCTTAATCTATTTCTGAGACAATCTCTAAATCATTTCTTAGAACAAATAATTTATTATGCAATTTCGAAGAAATAATTACATCATTTAGTGGTTCTACAACAGTGATAAGTTTAATAGTTGATGATACAATATATACTGCAAATGTTGGTGATTCTAGATCTATAATTTGTAGATAATAAAGTAATGGAAATAAAATTGCTATATCATTATCAAATGATCATAAACCAGATTTGCCTTAAGAAAGAAGAAGAATAGAATAGAATGGTGGAAGAGTAGAACCTTACATAGATTTTGATGGATCAAGTTTAGGTCCTTTTAGAGTATGGTTAAAAGGAGAAGATATTCCTGGTTTAGCCATGAGTAGAAGTTTCGGTGATAAAGTTGCAGCAAGTTGTGGTGTTATATGTGAACCAGGTTGTTATGTTATTTTTATTTAGAAATTCTTACACATAAACTTTAAGATTCTGATTTATTTATGGTTTTAGCATCAGATGGAGTTTGGGAATTCCTAAGCAATGAATAAGTATATTCTATTCTTAAAAAAGGTTATAGATATGATATATCCATATTATATTCAAGATGAAGGTAATGCTGCATGTGTTAGAATTTTAAAAGAAGCCATCAAATTATGGAAATTAAATGATACAGTAATTGATGATATTACTGTTGTTATTGTATTCTTTAACAAATAAAAATGACAATCATTCATCAATCATTTCATAAACAAATTGCTCTTTCATTTATTTATACAATCTAAATTTCTTATTCTTTATATTCATTCTACCCTTCAATTATCAACTCTTCTATTTATTCAAAATTAACTTCCCTTAAATATAACATATTTGNTAAAACAAAATATTATAAAAAATGCTTATAGTAAATCATAAGCTGGTAAAAATGAAGATAACTAAACAAAAATAAATTAAGATAGTTACATTTCACTTTAATAATTTAAAGATAATATGTCCTTATTTGGTGTTTGTGATGGACATGGTTAAGATGGACATAAATGTAGTCAATTCATTCGAGATAATTTACCAAAAAATATAAATTCTCTATTGTCTTAGAATTCTTAATCTATTTCTGAGACAATCTCTAAATCATTTCTTAGAACAAATAATTTATTATGCAATTTCGAAGAAATAATTACATCATTTAGTGGTTCTACAACAGTGATAAGTTTAATAGTTGATGATACAATATATACTGCAAATGTTGGTGATTCTAGATCTATAATTTGTAGATAATAAAGTAATGGAAATAAAATTGCTATATCATTATCAAATGATCATAAACCAGATTTGCCTTAAGAAAGAAGAAGAATAGAATAGAATGGTGGAAGAGTAGAACCTTACATAGATTTTGATGGATCAAGTTTAGGTCCTTTTAGAGTATGGTTAAAAGGAGAAGATATTCCTGGTTTAGCCATGAGTAGAAGTTTCGGTGATAAAGTTGCAGCAAGTTGTGGTGTTATATGTGAACCAGGTTGTTATGTTATTTTTATTTAGAAATTCTTACACATAAACTTTAAGATTCTGATTTATTTATGGTTTTAGCATCAGATGGAGTTTGGGAATTCCTAAGCAATGAATAAGTATATTCTATTCTTAAAAAAGGTTATAGATATGATATATCCATATTATATTCAAGATGAAGGTAATGCTGCATGTGTTAGAATTTTAAAAGAAGCCATCAAATTATGGAAATTAAATGATACAGTAATTGATGATATTACTGTTGTTATTGTATTCTTTAACAAATAAAAATGACAATCATTCATCAATCATTTCATAAACAAATTGCTCTTTCATTTATTTATACAATCTAAATTTCTTATTCTTTATATTCATTCTACCCTTCAATTATCAACTCTTCTATTTATTCAAAATTAACTTCCCTTAAATATAACATATTTGTTATCATTAAATTTTAAATATTTTCACTTTATTCATTCTTGAGAATAGTATTTATTTTGAATAGACTGAAAAAATACAGAAAGTAATTTACAAAATGAGAAAGGATAGAAAATAGAAAAAATAAACCTTTCAAACTTTATGCTATCTTAATATAATATTCAAAAAAACCCAACAAGTAAGGGAGCCTTAGGCTGATTTCTTATGTTAATAAAAAATAAAACTTTATGGACATCATCCTTTAAAAGAGAAGACTAGAACCAAAATAAAAATTAAAGCTATAATTGAGAAATTTGTGCAACCAATATAAAAGTAAAAAAATTGTGACTTTATTAATTTAATAATATATTTTTATTAATTTTATGAAGATGAAATTTATTTTTAATGTTCATTGAATATAATAAATTAGTTCTAACAATCAATCTTAAAATAGTATATAAAAATATAATTTAATTTTATGGGAGAAAAACGAATAGATAAATACGTGTTCAATACTAAGAATAAAGTTGGAGAAGGATCTTATGCAACAGTATATAAAGGATTAAATGAAAAAACTGGAGAGAAAGTGGCTATAAAAATGTTGAGTAAATCTGTCATAAATGCGTAATTGTAATAAAGTGAATAGATAGAGATGATTATTTAAGAGAAGGATTGATTTAAGAAATAAAAATAATGTAGAAGTTAAAGAGTCCAAATATTGTATAGCTATTCGATGTAATGGAAACATAAAATAATTATTATATTGTTTAAGAATTTTGTGATGGTGGAGATTTTGATGAGTAAAATATAATGTCCAATATAATAAGATTATTAAAGAAACGCAAAATCTTGAGCGAGAAAGAAGCAATAAAATTTTTGATAGATATTTTAAATGGTTTCACTTAATTGATTAAAAATGGAATTACACATAGAGATTTAAAACCTGCAAATATTTTAATTGATAAGGCTGTATTTCAATAAAATTATAAAATTCTATTAGACATTTAAATTGGCAGATTTTGGTTTTGCCAAATGTGTTGATAATTTTAAAAAGGACATGATGTCATCAATGGTTGGAACACCTTTGTATATGAGTCCATAAATATTGGATCATAAGAGATACAATTCTAAAACTGATATTTGGAGTATAGGATTCATCTTCTATGAGGCTTTATTTGGCAAGAGTATTTAATTTAATTTTATATACAGCTCCTTGGACAGCTAGATCTCCTGCTGAATTATTAAAAAACATTAAAAATTAACCATTAAAGTTTCCTATTGATAAAATTCCAGTATCTTAAGAAACATAAGATTTAATTATTGGATGTCTATAATCAGATGAAAATAAACGATTTTCTTGGGAAGATATATACAAACATCCTGCTATTTCTTAACATTTTTCTGAATTCTTGAAGAGCAATTCTAAACTTGAAGATAAAGCCTAATATTTAATAAACGATATAAGGTTGATGATTATTAAAGAAAAATTAGATATAACTAAATTATTTGCTGAATTAGATATGTCTAAAGATAAGGCATTAGATTTGAATGAATTAGGTAGATTTCTAACTAGAGTTGATAAAGATATATAAAGAGAAGAAATAGAATACATTTTTAATAAATTTGATGAAGATGGAAGTAATTCAATAGAATTTGAAGAATTCTAAAAATGGTTGGAAGATAATTCTATTCATGTTCATTAAAATCAATCAAATAGAGAATAACAAAAAAAACAATCTATTCTTACTAAAAAAAATATTGTAGAAAGAGCAAATTAAGTTATTGAAAAGTTAAAACTTGCAATTAACAAATATAATATCTAATTAATTGATTTATTTAAAAAGGTAATTATACTATTTTTTATTTATTATCATAGTTTGACAAATCTGCAGATTTAAAATTAGATATTAAAGAAATGGGAATGATGTTAAAGAAAATTGAATCAAATATCACTGAGGATGAAACACAAACAGTTTTTGACTATTTTGATATTAATAAAGATGGAGAAATAACATTTTAAGAATTTTAGACATCTTTATAAGAATGTATTATTCGTAAAAAATGATATAACAAATTTTTGTATATTTTTTATGAATAATTAGATATTTTAAACATCTTATTTTAATATTAAATAAATATATTGAATATAAAAAATATTAATTAATATATTTATAGAGTTAATCATCAGTTTTTTTCTAATTTATTTATGTTTGGATTATAAAGAAGACCGTAAAATTTACGAGTTAAAATTAAAGAAATCAATAATATGGAAAACTACTTCCTCATTACAATCTTTTTTTATTTTAATTAAATTTTATCTTCATTTCTTTCAATAATAAAATATTTATTTTTATTCTCTCATATACCAATAAATAATTATTACTTAAATAGATCTAATATGATACAATATAAATTTCTCAATAAACTTTTGAATAAAATAATTAAAAAGTATATTAGATTTGAAGAAATAAGAGTTTTCAAGATAATAAAAAAAGTGCTTTTTAAATATGGAGTTGTTGTTTAGAGCCCTGAGAATGATTATTGAAAATTCTAAAAATATTTTCAATTCAACTGATATAATATTAATTAGTGTTACTTTAATATATGAAACTCATACAGAATTCTATTGGATTAAATCTTTTTCATAAATATAATTAATTTGACAATTTATGACTTTTACCAAAATTTTAATAGAATTCATTACTAGTCTATAAAAATAACTCATTTAAAGGTATTATTTACACTATTTTCATGAGATATTTAGACATTTAAGCTATTCTTTTATTACCTAAAATACCTTAAAGAATTTCAAATTGTATAAAATGTATCTACAACTAAAAACGCAACTTTAAATTACATAAATCCTTTTATTTTTTAAATTAAGCCGAAAATATAGATGAATTAAGTAAATTTATATTGAAAAAGACGATTATCATATAAAAGTAATTAAAGCGGCAATTTATAATATTTTTTAGAATAACTATTTTAATTAATTGGGGAAGAGGGAACACATATTAATGGTTATAATTAAGTTAAATTCAAACAAAAAATTATAAAATTTGAAATATTCAAGTAAACAATTCTAAATTTAATTTTAATCCTATTAATGGAAAACATACAATAATAAGTGTTTATACTAAACAAAAAAATTTAATAAATTAATTAACAAGACTTATTATAGATTAAATCTTTGAGTTTAAAAGAGATTTTAGAATATGAAGTTTAAGAGAGACTAAAATGATATTTTATGATTATATTTTAAATACATAAAATTTTAAAAATTTCTTAATAAACTCTTCAAATAAATATTAATAATGGATTAATTGGAATCATTGTTAGTAAAAAGCCCAACTAATCAATATATAGTATATAATAAGATTCTTGGAAAAGGAGCATATGGAGTTGTATTATTAAGTAAATAGATCAAATAACAACAATTTTATGCAATAAAAATAGTAATGATATTTGTCATAGAAGATTTCCAAAAAAGTCTTAGCTAAAATAAATGGGGCTTACAATATGAGATAAGAAATTTTATTTCTTTCTAAATTATAACATCCAAATATTATAAAAATGTAGGAAAGCTTTGAAGATGAGAACTATTTTTATATAGTTTTAGAATATTGTTAAAAAGGAAATTTATATGAATTACTTAAGTAATAAGGAGCATTTTCTGAAGAAAAAGCGTGTAAATACTTCAATTAAATTTTGTAAGCAATATAATTTATGCATAAAAGATAAATTATCCATAGAGATTTAAAAGTTGTTATATATAAATATTTTGTGATAGTTGGCAAACATTTTATTAACATCAGAGGATAATATAAAAATTTGTGATTTTAATTGGGCAACTGAATTAATTGATGGTAAAGCTGATCCAGTTCTTTGTGGAACAGTTGATTAGATGCCACCAGAAGTTTGTTCATTTAGTTATCATGATACAAAAGTAGATATTTGGAGTTTAGGAGTATTGTTATATGTAAAAATATTAATTTATAAAAAGGAAATGATTCATAATAGCCTTCCAGTAATTACTTTTGTAAATGAATTATCTTTTGGAAGATATGTTAGTGAAGAAGCATAAATATTATTAAAAGATTTAATGAGAATTGAGAAATATTAAAGACCAACAGTAAGTGAAATATATTCTTACAAATGGATAAAAAATAACATATAAAAATAAAAAGTGTAATTAACAACTTAAAGTTTATGTGTTACTCCAAGACATTCAAAATAAAATAGTTTAGATTTAAAAGATATACGTAAATGTATCAGAACTGAAAATTGAAATAGTTATGATATAATATATATTTCAAAATTATTGATAATATGATATTTATTTAATATTATATCATTCCATAATTGGTTATTGTAGTTAAATTTAGGCATAATATGTTTATTTAGGATTTTCTTAAATTGCTTAATAGACTTCATCAAAATTATCATAAATTAATTTGAAACTATAATCACTAACTTCTAGTTATACCTAAAATAGTGAATTAAATTACTGGATTAGGTTATTTAACTTTCATAAATATTTATGCCATATTTTTGGGTGTATCACTCTTAGTCCATTAATAATTATAAATATCAAATTTTGGAGCATTCTCTTCACCTTCAGCATTTCCTCCATCTTTAGGTTCTTCATCTCCTCCATCTCCTTCTTATTTTGGTGGAGGAACTTCTGGTTTTTATAATACCCATTCAGGATCATTAATTTCTGAATTTAAAGGTTATTCACTTATTGCATATAAAACTTTAATTTATCCTAATGATTTTTCTACTATAGCCAATTCATCTGTTGCTCTTGGAAATATTTACTCTGATAATTATTTCTCACCCTTCTAATCTGCTGAAATATATCCCCATAATAAAACATCTCTAAAATAATATTAAAAATCTAAGACAATACCTGCTTTAAATAGGTAATTCATCTATGTATTTTTTAACTATTCTCATCACTTATTATGGAGCGAAATTTGAAGGATTCTTACAATTTTATTTAGTCCATCTCATCTCGTAATCATTTACCAAAGAATCAAAATTCTTAGCGATTATTTGTTCAACATCTACAAATGACATTCTATATTTTGCTGCTATATTTATATATATTAATTTCAAAGCTTCATAGATATCATTATCTAAATTTACTAGAATTGATGCTAAATACACTCTTTTCTCAAATATCTAATCTATTGATTTAAAGTTTAATTCTAATGAATAGTTTGTATCCTATTTAAATAATTTACAATCCGCCTATTACTATACATAACTTATTATAGACTTTAATTATTCTTCATGCATTTTTTAATTTGTCAACATTTTCTCTTTATCATCATCTGTCATTTCTGCTGCTGCATCTTACTCATTTTTTATCTTATATCTTATCCATTAATTATTTTAATCAACTACAATATTTAATATCCAACTTGCTGATCCTAAATTCATAAACTATGTTATTAATTCAGGTTTATCACATCCAGGAGGAAATCTATTTTAATTTAATATTATATTAATACCCATCAAACAAATATTTGTCATTTGTTATATTACTAAATAATTCTTTATAATATTTTATAATTTAAGGTAAAGTCACTTCTTCTAGCTGCTCTCCTGAAGCTGGAGCTAATTTTTCTTTTAATTGAGCAATTGTTGGTTCCCATTCAATTAAATTATAACCAAATTTTTATGAAATATATTTTGCAAACGTAGTCTTTCCTGTCATCTAAGGACCTACTACAATACCATATTAAACTCTTCTTGTTACATAAGATTAAAATGATCCAATATCTTCATTCTATATTATTAAATTCTTTCCTTCTGAAGAATAATGTAATACAGGGTTCATTTTAGCAGAAAATGAAACACTCTTTCCTTCTTTCAAAAAGTTTATCAAACCTGTAATTGGAAATAGTTTATCCTCAAAAATTCGGAACTCTTAATACTTTTCTGGAAAATGAGTCAAAACAAATTTATTTTATGTAGGTTCTTAATATAAATATTATCTTAATAATTCTATTTGCATTTATGGTGGTACAGATTAGCCTGAATTTAAGAAAGCACCCATCTATTTACCTAGTGGAGTGCCTTTTGCTAATTCATCTTCACAAAGGTTTTCTAAATGCAAGTGTTTATATTCTAATTAAGTTTCTAGTTTATTTAAATAAACTTCAGCAAGTTCTTCGTTATTATAAGTTAAAGCTACAAATACTTTTGGTCTTAATAAATTCATTATTGCCTAAATAATTAAATCTGAAGACTATTAAAAATTGTAAGATAATCCTTTTTAGATAGCATCGACAGTTACAAAGAATTGAAACTTCTTTAAGTAATTTAATAATTCATCACGATTTTGGAGAAAGTTAGTAAATTTTTAAAAACGACTTTTCTTTAGTTCCTCTGTACTCAATAATCTTATATTTTATTCAACTTCATCCTTGCTGGATTAAAAATAAATTATATATCTGGGTTTTTGATAGTGTTCAAAGAATACAACTGCTTATGACTTTTTATCGAGAAATCCATCAACTATATAATTTTTAGGTTCTTTTTAAAAAATTTACATTAACTTATTCAATTTATCAATTTCAGTTTAAGCTTTGACTTTTTAATAGAATTCATCTAAATTAAAATAAACAAATCCTGTTTGTTTTGCTATTTATTAGGCTACATAAGATTTTGCAGTTGCTGGTGGACCATAAAAAAATATGATATTTGCCTTCTTCATGTTTATTAAATTATTTATTTTATATTTATATCAACTTTAATCTCTAATTAATAGATTTCTTATGAGATATAGATGATCATTAGTATATACTAAAAATATTCCAATATAATTAATGAATTTTATTACAAAAAAAAATTAATCACCATATTAAAATGGTTTGACTTTCATTTCACATCTCTTTCATTAAAAATAATAGGACATCATTTCCACCAATAAAATTATTTAAATTAATGGAGAACTTCTTAACTACTAAAAAAAGTAAGTTAATACCCCTAGAGAAAAAAGTCAATTAAGAGATAAGGATAAGCCTCATGTTAGATAAATAACCATCAGATCGTATTCATCATTATAAATGAATGATATCATAGAAAATACTTTTAATAAAGAGAAGCTATAAATCAGATTAAAAAGTCCTAACAAATTTTGTAGAGTGAAAGCACTGTAAGAAATAAGAGAAAGATAAAAATCTCCAACATTCCTTATCAAATAAAGAACATAACCAATATATTCATAATTCACTGCAAGAGTAAAGGGAGATTGATTATTCTTTAATTTTTATCTAAAATATGTATACATAATCATATTCTTTAAAAATCAATTATTGAATGTCTTATCATATTATAATAATATAGAATTTAATTCTAAATATAATAATAACTTAAAAAAGCAAGAATTTATTATGAATACATTTTTCTTATTTTAGATTTATTAAATGCCCATTCTAATATCATTTTTTTCTATTTTAAATTAAAGAACCCTCAATTTTTAATTATTTATCTTTATAATAAATGATAACAGCATCTCTTTAAATTTTACTTTCATTAAACTTAGTTGCTTTAATAATGCTGACATACAATTACTCAATAGTAATTATATTATATATTTGAAGAGCAAAAAAGATATAGTATTTTAATCCTATTTCAATTAAGAAGTTTTAGAAGACATTCATCATATTGAAGAATTTAATAATGTTGTATATCCGATTCTAAATGATTTATCAGTATTATAATTCATATAGTTAGAATGATTCTGACTTTAGAATCTATAGATATATTGACACATTGAATTGCCCAATTTATCTACCATAAGAAGAATGTAATGTGGAAACTTGCAATTTTAAAAATTTTCCTGGTGAAGATCCAATAAATACAGTTGATTTGAAATACATGGGAGAAAAATATACAGGACAATAAGGATAAAACATTTGGATTAGCATTTATGAAGATCTAGGAAAAAATACATCTTCAGATATGCATACTCATATGATAAATTTAATAAAGGGAATTCATTCATCAATATCAATATCAATCACTGAGTAATTTGATTATGGAAATAAGACTGGACCAAATGTTGACTTTTTCTTTTGGAGAGTTGGTTATTATCCAGATAGAATTTACAATTTATATTTTTTGGAATCGTTTCTTATGCAAGCTTCAAAGTTTCTTAAAATAAACAATATCGAATTATAAACAAATACTTAATAAAAAGTTTAAGGATTATTATCTTCATTTAACTAGATGCCTATTTATAAGTTTGATTATTTCAATAATTTAAATGAATAAGATTTAAAATAGTATAGAGATGATATAAAATTACTTGATTCTTATATGGATTGTGTACATTGTAAAAGATGTAAATTGAATGGAAAGGTTTAAATACATGGTTTGGAAGCAGCTATTAATTTATTATTTGATGAAAAGGAAAGAGTATAATTAGAAAAAAACGATGTTGTTGCTTTTCTAAATACATTTTAAAAAATATCCAGCTCAATAAAATCATTAGATGCGATGTTTGAAAGAAGAACTTAAATTCCATATGAAAACATGAAACTAACTGGATATAGCTTAATAATATTAACCATTTTATCAAAAGTGATATTATGGAAAAAGAAATGAGTTAAATATAGATTATTTTTGGCAAAAAATATAAATTAATATTATTATAAAAAGAGTATTTTATATTTTTGATTTTTTTTAGATAAATAATAAAAATAATGAAGTGTCAAAACTGTATGTTATTACATATAATAATAAATTGATCAAATAAATTAAACATGTTCGTAATCTTAACCATTTCCTTATATAAGAATAGAAGTAGTTTAATTCAATTTTGGTAATTATTATAATAATTATGAAGCATTTCTAGATAAAGTCTGTTATGGCATTTATTCTTAAGATTCTGCTGGAGGAGTTTAAACTCTTTCTAATATATGCCAAGATTTGATTTTAGTTATAAAGAGCATTTTTTTTAAGACATAGAGAAGACACATAAAAATTGGAACTAAAAACAAAAAAACTATTACAGCAAAGCCTAAATATTAATGAGTGATTATAATTACCAATCATAGTAATAGGACTATTTAAAAAACTAGATGATTGATCGTTTTTATCATCACCATCAAAAATATTCACACTAAAATATAGATATTGATTACATTTATACAACAAGAAATGCTTAGAGTGCTGTAAAACCAAGAAATATAAAGAGAAGACAAATTAAAGCAATCATATTTTCTAAATTTGATTTACATGCTTTTCTCTCTAAATACAATTATATTTATACAGGAATACAAACTTTGCGTGAATTAAATTCAATTTAATATTCCATCTTGCAAATTTCACATTATGTGAACAATTATTTGTTTTATGTAACTATCCAGGTTTTTAGACACTCTTTTCAAAGATATAGTCTTACCTCTTCATGAACTTATCCAACAGAACCTTTACATTTACAAGGATGAATAATTGGTTTATCATTATCTTATTCAGTTTCAAGACAAATACGACATGATTTAATCTCTTACTGTTCAATAAAAATATGTTGTTAGACTTTTAAAGCTGATCTTGTTTATTGGGACTCAATGGTTATTTTATTCATTATAGTTATTAATATATATTTTAATTTTTTGATGATGTCCAGATATAACTTTTGTTTATAAAATGAATTTAAAATACTGAAAGATGTATTCTTATATACAAATAGAATTTTACAATAAAATAAGGAATAATATTTAAGATTCTTACGATTTAGATGATAAAATTAGATTCATAAATAAATAATATCATAAGAATTAGAATAATAATTATAAAATAAGAAATAAAAGAAAAAAGACATTCTAGAATATGAATGTAAAGAATATTTATCTTTTTTGATATGCACACTAATAATTATAGAAAACTCAGCAATTGCATCTTTAACTTTATGTTTAGGCATTGTTAGTTTTGTTGGTTAAGTTCTGTTTTAATGGATTTTTTAATTAAGGATTAAATTCATCATTTTCAATTAAACCTATATAATAATTATAGTATTAGATACCTTTTTCAATTTTATTACAGATCTCTTCAATTAATGTTTAAAAACATTAATCAACATTTTCACCAGACACAGCACTTGTTTCAATGTAAAGAACATCTTTATTTTTCATTTCTCTTTCAGCCTAATTTTTATCTATAACTCTTTAATCTATTAGATCAGTTTTATTGCCAACAACTAAAATATCTAGTTCACTCTTTCCATTTTCTCTTGCATCTCTAATCCAATCATCTAATGCATCAAAAGAATCCTAACTATAAATAATTGAATAAATAGATAACATACTTTGTAATATCATAAACAACAATAGCTCCTATCGTGTTCTTAAAATAAGTTCTAGCAATTGAACGGAATCTTTCTTATCCTGCGGTATCCCATATTTATAACTTGATTTTCTTGCCTTTGTAATCTATCAACTTGGATGCGAATTCAACTCCTACTGTTTATTGAACTTTCGTTTTTGCTATTATTATAGATCAAAATTATGATAAATATCTTACCATTCTATTTTATGAAGTATTATAATAAAGATGTTTTACCCGTGCTTGAATTTCCTATTAAGATAAACTTAAAAGTGTATTCTGGATTCCTCTCTTGATTAGGTGTATTCATAATTAAAATAAAATAATTATATTAAATTAATAAATCATTTCCCCCATCCATTTTATTGCTCAGAATTTCTAATATTAGGTTTATCTTAATTAGATAAATATTGTTATTGACAATCTATCTCATAATTATTTGCTTATTATTGTATATAATTTATTCTAAATTTTTATGATTATTATTATTATTATTCTCATTATTTTAAAACAGTAAAAACAATTATCAAAGATAATCTGATTATATTATTATTATTAATAAATATTTTTATTCATTTATTATTCATTTAACCCTTTCTCTCCTCAAAGATAAAATCTCAATTAATGTCTTCCAGATTGTAAGCAATTCTTTCTTTATTCACTATATTAAACTCTTCCCTTTACGATTTTTTTAATATTTCTATTTATTTTCCAAAAATCACACTTTCAACATATGATCGACCATATCCTGAAATAGATAAATGCAACACATATTGATAATTCATATATTCATTTTTATAATAGTTAAAAAATAAACATTATACTAATTTAATATTATTTATTATAAATTTAGTAATATGTAAATCATATGAAAATTACTAGAAATCTTATTTAACCTAAATAAGATGAAATATATTTTGTTCTTAAAATATTTTTGAATTCTCTAAGTTATAATTCCATAATATCCATTAAGAAATGTTATATAAAAAAAGAATAACAAATTTATCAAATTAATGAGCCTTTAAATTAAAAAAAAAAAGTCTTGATGTTTTCTTGGCAATTGAAATCAGAATTCTAAATCAATGTTACTATCATTATAATAAAGAGATATTTTGAAACAAAAATACTAGTAAATAGTAAAAAAATAAAAACGTGTTGAAAAAGAATTTGAAATTGCATCACAAAACTTGTCCATTAGATTCTTAATAATTCTTTATTTTTATTTCATGGCAATTATCACATCCTTTATAAACATAATACATTCTTAATTAAATTAAGACTTATAAAAATATTATTAGGTTATCGAAATCAGTTTAAATGAAGTTTTATAAAGGATTCTATCATCTAGCTATATTCTATATTAAATATGAAACTTTTAATAATTCAAAAATATATATTTACAACTTTTTTACAATGAAATTTCAATCTATATTGATATTCTTACATTTTTATATTTATCCTATAGTAATTAAAATAATTTATAGTGCAAAAATTTGAGACTCAGAAAACTAAATGTTGAACAACTCCAAAAAGTAGAAAAGTAAATCTAAAAAGTTGTCTAAGTCAAAGGATTCATAAGCGAAATCTAGATGTGAGAGCGCTAATTTAAAATCTGAATAGGCGGCATGCTAATATGAGTATTATATATTTTTATTTGAAAGGCAAAGTACGATAAAAAAGGTTAAGAATGAAAAGAACATATCCCCCATTTAAGAGGAAGAAATTCCTTTTGGTTCTCAAATTATATAATAATCTAATTTGTAGGATTATGATAAATTAATTTGTGAAGAAGTTGTTAAAGACTTCACTTCATTTACTTTCAATAATTCATTAGAACAATAGATTAGTTAGGAAGAAGAATAAGAAACTTTATCTGAATTTATGAGAGAATAAGTAAAATACGAAGAAAATTATAGTTATAAAAAAAATTATCTCAATAATTAAAATGAAATTTAAAGTCATATGGTAGCAATATTATTTGATTGGTTAATTGAAGTTGCTCATTCATTTCATTTTAAAAGAGAAACCTTTTATTTATCAATTAATTATGTTGAAAGATTTTTATTAAGATAGCCAAATGTTCTTATATCTAAATTTCAACTTTTAGGAGTAGCTGCTATCTTTATTGCTCATAAATGTGAAGAAATCTATCCTAAAACATTAAAAGATTTTCATAGGCTGATACAAGATTAATATACGATATAGGAAATTGAATAAATGGAAGTTTCCATTTTAAAATCACTAGATTTTCGTATGTATCCAAATACTCCCATATTTTGGTTAAATTATTATACAAAATTATGGGATGAATTTATAGTCGATAAACAAATATGCATTATGTTTAAAGAAAGATCAAATGAAGCATATTATAGATACAGAGAATTAGTATAGTTATTTGATCTTTGTTTGATCGATTATCAATATAAACAAAATGAGAAGTTAACTATTTTAAGTTTAATTTATCTAGTGGTTGCCAAATAATTATAAATATTTGATGATTATTAAACTATGGCTATTTCATAATCAGAAATATGTGATTTCTTTCATTCAGATTAATAGGAATACAATAAGTTATTTAAATAATTTATCCTTGAATCAGAGATATATTTAGAATTTGATAAATAAATCTTTTTCAGTGATTTGAAAGATTGTATAAGCTAATTGGTAAAGTATTTCATTCTTCGATTTGATAACTCCTTACCTAGAGTTTTATTAAATAACCAACAATTTATAGATGAAGTAATATATTTATCTTATAGAGTAGATGTAACATGAAGAATTACTATCATTTTAGACATACAATAAAAACACTATAGAAACTATCACAATTATTTCTAAACAATATTCATGATTTAAGATTTCTTTATTTCAATAGATTACACATATCTGTTTATAAATTATAAAATAACTAAATAATTAAATATCATCAATAAGGCTGATTTTGAATCAAATCCAAGGATATCAAACTATTTTCTATTTATAAAATTAATAAAACATGTTAAAATAAAATGCCGCAAATGAAATACCTTTTAATGGGGAATTTGAAGATAGTGAAGAAGAATCTGATGATGTTTCTGAAGAGGACTCTGAAGATGATGACTTTTAAAATAAAAGAAAGAAGAAAAGAAAATAGTTAGTTAACAATAATAAAAGATTGATTATGAATGTATCAGACACATAATACGCAGCTGTTAAATTTGTGGGCAAAATTTTAAATAAATTTAAACTACAATATACTCCCTATTTAGAAACCTAGGTATGGGATTTTTGTTGGACTGATAATGCAGTCTTACCAGAAACTCTGGCTAGAATGTAAAGTAAAATATATTTAATTAAAAATAGGTCATTAAAGAATTAATCATTTCCCTGGAATGTATTGCATAGCTAGAAAGAACTATTTAGGCAAAAATTTAAATAAAATGGCTAAATAGTTTCCTGAAGAGTTTGATTTTTATCCTAAAACATGGATGCTTCCTTATGATATTTCAGATCTGAGACAAAATATAGGAAAAATTAAATATTTTATTGTAAAACCAGAAGCATCATGTTAAGGAAAAGGTATTAGTGACTTATTTTATTAAAGGCATCTTTTTAACTAAATAAATAGAATCAATTGCATCTGAACATTGTGTTGTATAAAGATATTTACATAAACCATTATTAATAGATGGTTTAAAATTTGATTTTCGTATGTATGTATTATTAGCAGGTTGTGATCCATTAAGGTATAATATGTATAGTAATATCTTAGAATTTATCTATTTAAAGAAGGATTAGCAAGGTTTGCTACATAACCTTATTAATAACCAAATTAAATGAATTCTGAAGAAATGTGTATGCATTTAACTAATTATGCAATTAATAAGGATAATCCTAATTTTGTATTCAATACAGATGATAAATAAATGGATATAGGACATAAACGAAGTCTTTCTAGTGTTTTTAATTTATTATCCTAATAAACAAATATTGATGAATTAATGGCAAAAATAAAAGATTTAATTATTAAAACGTTTTGTTCTGTATAACCTTTTCTTTAATCTAATTATACTCAACCTGATAATTATGCTAATAATATGTGTTTTGAAATTTTAGGATTTGATATTTTAATAGATCACGCTTATAAACCATATTTATTAGAAGTTAATCATACACCAAGTTTTACTGCTGATACTCCATTAGATGCTTCAATTAAAAAGAATCTAATAAGAGATACTATTACACTTATGAATATTAATTTAAAAGTAAAAAATGATCTTTAGCAATTATAAAAAGAACAAATGTAAAAAAGAGTATTTGGTAAAAAACCTAAAATTTCAAATGAAGAAAAAAAATCATTTAAATTATAAGCATAATTAGAGAGAGAATAATATGAATCATTAAATTTAGGAAATTTTGAAAAGATTTACCCTTCTGATAAGTCTTATGATGAATATTTACAACATGCTTAAAAAATATATGAAGAATGGACAGGAGCAAGTAATTTCGCATATTATCTTTGTCTTTAGATATCCGTAGAAATATTAAAAAAGAAAATGCTACTGAGAGAGATAAATTACCTTTGCAAAGATAGTTATAGCACTCCATTACAATATAAGGCACTATTGATTCTAACAATAAACCATCATCAGATCCTTCTAAATCCTCTGTTAGAAAGAGTTTATATAAACATGTACATAGTAAAGTATTTTCAAATATAAATCCATAAAAATCAATGACAGAATTACCATAATAATAGCCTATAGAAATTAAATTATTAGATGGAAACGATAATGAAATTACTTCTGAAGACTAATAATAAAATAATAGTAGATAATAGGATAAAATTGAAGGACTAAAAAGACCTCCTTCTTCTTATGCTATGAAATCAATCAAATAAAGCTCAGAAATACAATTAGTGGACTTATTTAATTATAAAAGAATTAGTATTCCTGATGCTTCTCCTTAACCAAATGTTTTATAATAATAATCTTTATTGACATTATAGTAATAATAATCATAATTGTAATAATAATCACCAAGTTTTAAATCAGCAAATTAATTTGCAAGACATTTTTCCATTAGAAAAACAAATAAAAGTAAATTAAAACCAAGCGAAAGTGATTAAGAAGCAAAAAAAGATCTGATTCAAGCAGTTAATCAATACTCTTAATTTTAATAATAGTAGCAACAATTATCCTTTTTTTAATCTTAATAATAACATCTTCAAAATTAATAATAATAATAGAATGGTTCATTTATTAAACCAAAAGTATTCAATTTAAAATTGTAGCCACCACATTTTAAAATAACCTCTCTTCCAATATTAATGCAATAATAAAATTACTATAAATTTAGATATGATTGATATTAATTTTTGTTATTATTATTATAATCTAATCACAAACAAAAATCTTCTCTCCATTATCTAAATTATAAAAAATCATTATCTGATACGGAAATCTGAAAAGTTTAAAGTATATCCAAAACACTAGAAAATATATTTTACTCTAATATTATATAATTTTTACATCATTGTTCTCTAATTTTTTGATACTTTGAATTTTTATAGCTTGTTAAATCAAATTTTTCAGATCTAATCCTGTAAATTTGTTTGTAAGTTTAGCTATTTCAACTATTTAATCATATTTCAATTTATTTTGTTCTTTTTAAAGCAGCATTAAACTTAAATATTCTATTCTTTGATCTTGAGACATTAAGTTAATTTCTATTCTATTTTCAAAACTTTTATTAATTAATTTTATTTTACATCCTTCTAATTGAATGATGTATTTTCCAAGGTTAACTAGAACAACCAATCACATTTGATACTAATTTCCCATTATCTATTAATTCTTTAAGATTATATTTCTCGAAAAAATTAAGCAAACTTTTCCGATTTGGACAATCTTCTAAATTTTACAGCAAAATAATAAAAGATTTATTTTTTATTAATTATTCTATTTCATTTTTTAATTCTTATATTTTTATTTATTCACCAATTTCTATAATCATAGAAACATTAACTATTAATAAAAGAGTTTTCCATTCCGAGGCTAAATATCTTATTAATTCAGTTTTACCTGAACCTTTAGGCTTAAGTTAATAAAATATATTTACTCCAAATAATAGAATTGATGTTTGTAACTTGCGTGCCCCTTAAAATAGATTAGGAAATAATATTGGTAAACCAATATGTTCTCTTAATTTTTATTTTTGTTATTCTAATCCAATTATTTAAATTCTCTAATTATAGGTATTTAATTGTATTTCAACATATTAACCATATTATGTATTGAATACTTAAATATCTTTTTCAGAATCTTACGTATATAAAAGTTCTTATTTTTAAACAAAAACAATTTCAATTTCATCACTCTATTGATTTTATTTTAGCTCTTAAGAAAATTTAGTTAATTATTCGATATATCTATTTAGCTATTCGCTTATTAACATTATAATATTCTAATCTTTTTCATTTCTTAAATACACTAAAAGTCCTTCACATCCTTTTTTCATTGTTGAGTAGCTCTATTACTTTACTTTAAAATCGTTTGTGTTTAAAAAATTATCTCTACCTAAGAATTAGATAATAATTACCCTCTACTATTAATCTTAAAGATGAGTTTCTATGATCTTCTAAAATTTGATCAGACATTTTATTTTATAATATTTATAAAATTAAGAGGCTAATGTAATTATAAATAAATTATAAATATATTTTAATATATAATCATATAATAGTATTATTTTAATTAATTTAATTATCAGCATTTAATTATTTTTTGTAAATTAATTTGATTCCCTCTTTGATTTATCATATATCTACTAATTAATCCTTCACAAAAAAATAAGATTTTCATTCCTTAAACAAGAAAACAAATTATTTTGATATTATTTAAACATGTTTTACATTGCATATTCCTTGATCTTCAAATGGATATTATTTTAATATTATTTTTATAAATAAATGTAGCAATCAAATCCTCTACTCTTGACAATCTCAAATATTTTAGATGAAATAATCAAAGAAACTGATGCACTTGAAATAGAGTATAACTCTAATTTTCATGCAAATAAAGCTCCTTCAATTACAATCTACAATTACTTACAAAGAATAGCTAAATACACACATTGTAGTGAATAATGCTTTGTTATTGCTCTTATATACTTAGATAGGTTGTAAGAAAAGCATACATATCTTGTATTAAATTCCCATTGCATACATAGGTATATATCTATTTTATAAAACTTATTTAAAGATTTCTTTTATTGTCTATTTTAACAGCCATCAAATTTTAAGATGATGATTATTACAAGAATGAGTATTATGCTAAAGTAGGAGGCATAAATATTAAAGAAATAAATAGTTTAGAATAAGAATTTTTAGAATATATGGATTACTAATTATTCGTAGATGATTAACAATATGCAATATATGAAAAAAGATTGCTTGAATTTGGCGAGATTGAGATGCCATGACAAATTTAGAGGTGTATATTATTATTTGATTTTTTGTTTTTTTTAAGTCATAAATTCTCTTATCAATTCAAAAAATAATTATTTTCTATAAAGATTCAACATCTTCATCTATTAATTTTGATTTAATGAATATTATATGCTATTTATTATGTATATAATAATTCTATAAAAAATTGTAAATTATTGAAAGTATTATTTGTTTTATTCATATTATATAATAACTTAAAATTATCATTGAACATTTTTCATATTAAATCTGAAATTAGCTCTAATATTTTCAATGTTATCCATGCGTCATATGCATCTTCTAATTATTTTTGAATAAACTGATGTTATTATTCTATTTAACCTGAAAAGGCACTTCCAACTGAAAAAATGTATTTTTAAGTTATTGATAGAAATTGATCAAAATGTACTTTAACAATTTCCTTTATTGGTAAATCAATTTAAAATTTAAAGTTTTCATAATGCTTATCGTTAATCTCTTTCTATTTTTAATTAAATGTATTTTGGATTCCACCAAAATGATCCAACAATATGTTAAAAGTCTATTTTATATTCAGATAACATTTATCAAATATAAATTTAATTACGTCTTGATTCTTTTATTCTGCACCCTTTTTATCCTCATCATTTTTAAATATTTATGAAATAACATTTTCTATAAAGTTGTGTAAAGAGATAATTTTGAGCTATTCTAAAAAACACTATTGTTCCTTTTTTATTATTTTTTACTATTCTTTCTCAAGCATTTTTCTATTTATTTCTTCTTCACTCTAATCTTTTTAAAATACACTAGATTCAATATGATTTGGTGTTTATTAGATTTTATCACAATCTAATTTATTAAAACACTCACTTTGATTTTCTCCATCAATTTTATTAGTCAATTAAATCTGTTTTCCTTGATTCTATTAAAACTCTTCACTAGTTTTATTGGTAAACTCCTAAATCTTCTACTCTAGATTTTCTTCAAGACTTGGATATTCAATTTTTAATTTGCTTTACAAAATTTTGATTTACCCGGTTTCAACAACTAATTATTTAATAAAATTCCCTATTTTTCTCATTGGATTTTATTTTTACCCATCTTGAACATACCTATATTCTTAATATAATTTACATTTATTATATATTTTATAAGATATCTTAAATCGACATCATATCTAATTATTATTAATTTAAAAAATCTTAATCAGAGGCATCTTTTGAAATTAATTTCCATAATTAAAAAAAAGCCTTTTTAATATTTTGTTCATCATTTTCATTCTATTTAAACACATAATTAGTGAAATATATATTCTTAATTTCTATATTATTTTTCGCTTAATCAAAAAACTAGTTTTCATGCAATTCAATAATAATATTTTTTGTTTGAATGTTCCCATGAATTATTGGCTCCCTTTTAAATTTTTAAAAATGTTGTAATATTTCAATAGAAATCTACTTGATAAGGGTTTTTTAAACTTCTATATATTTATTTTCCTAAATTTAAATAAATATAGTATACAATGGCATCAATTAATATATTTAAAGGCACACAATTATGAAAGTTAAATTAAATCAAAGCATAATATTTAGAATCCTTTTTTGATATTTTTTCTTCATAATTTTCAAACTTGTTAACATATTTCCAAAATTTATCATATTAGTCTTAATTATCAAATATTTGAATTCTCATAAACTTCTCATTCAATGCATTCATTATTCTTAGTTAAAATTCTATTATAAATATTATTTTGCTTCAAACTTCTAATTAGAAGAAATTAATTAAATTATGATAATAATATATATCAATGTTTTTATATTAAATTCATGCTTCATAAATCTTAATTCATAATTATGTTTTTTATTGATTGCTAATCATGTTGTGGATACTTAATTTTTAGTACTTATTCAGTCAGGTTATTAATTTTTTCTATTTCGCATAACTTGATACCCAATTCTATTATTTATAATTAAAATAAGCATGTAAAAAATATATTTTCTTCCAAACTAGAAAATAATTTCTTTTTAATAGAATTTGAATACTCTTCATAGTACTTATTGATCATTTAAATTAAAGTATTTTTCATTTATTCATTACAATTATTTATTTATTTGATTGAATCTTCGATATTATAAACATGAAACATAGACTTTTTTTTTTCTTTGAAATAGTTGCCAATAAATTCCATTTGAATCAATATTGCATCTTCATAAAATTAATTTATTAGATAATCTTTACATTATTCGATTAATTTCCTAAATTTTATATGAGATTCCCTTTAAATTTCCAGTTAATTTTTTTTATCTTTCTCACAATTTAAAAAGAAACTAAATATTATATTATTCTAACTTTTTCTTCATAGTTTCTTCTTGGATAACTTTATCCAACATATTATCATTCGATTCAGTTATTTTTTTTATTTTTTCTAATTCATAAGGGTAATCTTTCGACCACCAATATCTTGGAGCAAAATAACCAGTTTCCTAGTCACTATCTTGATAATATTGCTTCTTAGAATCTATTACTCTATATCTATAAATAAAATTTACAAAGTCTATAAAGTTTCTTCGATTTAATAGTAAGGAAATTTTAAAATCTATTATAAAAAATCTTCTTGAAATAATTTTTTATCATTTCTTCGAATTTCGGCTAATTCTAGAAATCCAACAATAATCGTTTTAAGATTGTCTCCATCACTTTCAGTTTAATTCAATATATAGTTAGTAAAATAAATTCTTTTTATGTTAATAGGCCTTGCATAAGTCGTCAAAGTTTTAAATTAATCATCCACTTATAGTTCGATAATAATATTTCTAGGTTAAATGTTTCCATGATGAATTGCTTTTGATTGTTTTAATTAAAAGTGTTCAATAATTTTTTGTAGAATCAATATAATTTATCCATTAAATAATCTAATATAGTTGGTTTTCTAAATATAAATATATATTTACAATAGCTGCTATTAATAGTTCTAAACTAAAGCAATGAGAATAGCTAAATTATAGAAATGATGAATTAGAGCTTAAGTTTTAATAACCTTCTTTTCGATTCGTTGGTTTCGGATATTATTCATATTTTCGAACTTTATCTTCAAATAATTATTATTGCTCCTAATTTTGGAAAGTTTAAATTCTTTAGAAATTACCTAATAAGCCCTCCATTAAAAATATTGTTGGAGATTTAAAAATTTAATAGAATTTGATTTAATAGAATTTTAGGAATAAATTATATATTTCGAATATTCTAAATCATTTAAGATTTTACTTAATTTTTGTTACTTAACCAAAAAGTATTTTAAGGAGGTATCTGAAGTATAATTATTAATCATAATCACTTTGTTTTAATTAATATTCAAAGCATATTGAGTTTTAGTTATATTATTATAATTGCATTTGATTTATTGAATTTTATTTAACTCTAATTAATATTCGTCTAGAAAATGATGCTTAGAGATTTTTTTGGATAAAAAGTTTGATGCTCAGTGTTCAATTTTATTTTAAGTATTTGATTTTTAATATTTAGATTAATCGTTCTTGATCATAATATAAAATTTATTATTATTTCATACTCCAGAGAAAAAAGACTATCTTATATTAAATGGAGTTTTAGATATAGAAATTTGATTATAAAGTAAAAGTATAATTTGATACAATTATTGATATGGATAAAAATAGATGCTTTTGTGTGTTTTATTATTTCTGAGTAAAAATTTAAAACATTAGACAAATATTTGGATAAAGAGCTAAAAAAAAACATTTGTATTTAGTTATGTTTCTTTTTTAATTTTTAAATCGCTATCTTAATTTTTTGAAAATTTCAAATAACTAAATTCTCATTAGATCTTGATAAATATTAAATTATTATTTAAATTCTTTAAAAATAATAAAACAGATATCCAAGTGTATATATTGATTATTCTGCACTAAACTCATAAATAGATCCTATTCATTTTACTAATAAAATTATATTGCATTATTAATAAAGATTATAATGTCTATAATATTTAATAAATGTTTCATAAAACTAAAATGATTATAATAATTATTATTAGGTATTTTTTGTAGATTAGAAAACACCAAATTGATAATTCTTATTAATAAAGTCTACATTGATTATCAAATTTAGAACGAAAAAATGTTTTCCTATTATAAAATTCTTTATTATGTAATTTGTAAATGGCATAAAAATTCAGATGATCTAAGTGAGAACCAACAATAATATCATTTATTAAAATATTAATTATTTATTGCATTTCTATAAAAGTAGTAAATGTTGAAATCAATAATTTTTATATAAAAGCATTAACTGTTTGATATCGAATAGATGCAAAGTGCTTAATCAAAAAGGATTCTGACGAAATAGAGTCCATAATCAATTAAGTCCAATAAACTTAAATTATCATATCAACAAAAGAATGTGAAATTGATAAACATTAATGTAAAAACTAAACTTCGATCCCGTTCTTTTCCATATTCATTTAATCTCTTTAAATACATCGAAACTTAAGTATAGAATAAGAAATAGTCCATTCTACACACTTAATCCTCTTATGGATCATAAAAATACCTTCGAAAACCAAAACCTTCAATTATGAGTGAAAAGGACCTTGAAAAATAATACTAACAATTGTCCAAAGAATAATTTAAATAGAGAAGAAGAAGTTGTGAATGTGAATTTTGTGGACCTTTAACTAGATTTTAGAAACAATGCATGAATCATGAATTTAGGATACAACATATAGAAAAAGAAAGAGAATCTCCAATGCATAAATTTTAAAGATCTATTCGCAAACATTAAATTTATGTAATGGCACCTTATCTTTTTGCTAAAGAAATACCTACTGAATCATTTGAATCACCAATTATCAAATAAAACACTATCAAAATTGAGAAAAAAAATACATAATTACTTGATGTTATTAAATAAGAAGAGGCTCTTTAAATTAATTCTTCCAAAATTTTAGATAGAACTCCAACTAAAAAACCAAGTTTTTTTGAATCTTTTTTAGTCAAATAAAAAGAAATTATCAACAGTGAAAAAAGTAAATTAATCAATAAATAGTTTTCTTCATTATCTTATCATCTTTTATCTAGAAATACTTATAAATCTATTAAACCATTTAAATCCTAACTTCCTTAAATTCAAACACAGTTAAATAAACAAGAACTACCCCTTTTTACTGAAAGAAGTCCATCTAAAAAAAGTGAAAAAACCATTAAAGAACTTTACATTAAACCATTCATTCATAAATATTCATCTAGAATCAGATTGGCCACTCTACCTGATTTAATTCCAAATCATATCTTATGATTATCTATATGTTTATTATTTAGTTATATTTAATAAAATACTCTAGTAATTTATAAAAATATATAAAAATTTATATATTTATATTATTATTTAAATATAATTCTATGAATTATGTAAACATAAAATAAAATAATATCTAACATTCATTAAAGTTCAATTCAATTAAATTAGCTGAAAATTGATCTTAATCTTGAACAAAAAATGATAAAATCAACTAAATTAAAACTAATATTATTTGATATAATAAACTGATAATACTAAATTTAATAATAAAAAGTAGTCATTTTAAAATTAAAAATACATCTTTATGGAAATTGATCCAGATAGCAAAGCTAGAAAACTTCGTTCTAGAATAATTGAACTGAATAGCAAGATGAATGAGTTATAATAAGAGATAGATGCAAAAGAGACGAGAAACATATTTCTTGATAGAGAATTATAAGATAGTATTAAAAACTTAAAAAATATGACATTATACGTTTAAAAACAGATAGAGATGATGGAAGCAGAAGCTCCTCAATAAGAAATTTTGGATAAGAATCGTATAAAGGAATTTTTTAAATAAATATCAAAATAAGTTTTAGAGAAATTTGGATATCATATTGATAAATATTTTCGATATCTTGAAGAATGTGTATAGGATGAATTTCCAGAATAAAATAACGGAGAAAATGATAATTAATATTAAGCACCATCTATGACTTGTGCAATATAAGTAAAATGTCCAAAAACACTATTATAAAAAGATATTAAGCTTTAAGATGACAACATAGATTATGTGACAGCAACATTTAGATATTCAAAAATAAACAGTTTTTAAGATTTAAAAAAAGCATGTTTAGTATATTGGAATATTTATAATATGGAATAAGCAAGAAAAGAATTACCTTATGAAATTGGTTAGACTAGTTCTAATGATTAATAAATAAAATCAAAGAGAAATTAATAGGGAGAATCTTAAATAGTAGAATAGATAGATGAAATAATATAAAAATAATAACCAGGACTAGTAAGTCCAGGATCAATGTAAACAACAACCAGAAATTTAATATCTCCATAATCAGAATACGCATAGGAATGTGGAAATACAGATTAAATACTCTTGGAAAAGTTTTGCAATAGATATGAAATACAAAATGATAATTAAGAAAATATATAGAATACAGAGTTAATTGAACGTTATTATAACAAAGTGTTATCTGATTAGAATATATCATATTTATGTGTGACATTAAAAAAGAAAAAAATAAAAACTCATAGAAGAGGTTTATCATCTGAATCTAGATAATCAAATAATACAAGTAATATATAACCAGAAAAAAGTTAAATAAGTCATCCCCATTAAAGTGCAAATATAACATTTGATGGTTCTAAAGTAAGTGAAGAAAAACCATTAACATAAATAGAGGAAAATGAAGAAGAATATGATGAATAATAAGAATATGATTAATAAGATCTTAAAATTGGTTTATTTAGAAAATATGTCTCTTTTTTTAATAGATTTCCTTTGTTAAAAAAATAATTTGTTATCAATGTTGATAAACTCAAAAAAAGAGGAAGAAGTGCAGAAAAAAATTAAATTGAAGAATTGAAAGGTGAAAAATTAGATGATAATCATATCTGCATTCTTTTTATTCTAATAATATTAATGGTTTTGAATATTTTATTTTTATATTTCTTAGATAATGGAGCATATATGTAATAGCATATTAAGAAAATAGAAAACAGTTTAAATATAAATAAATTTCTTGCTATATCTTCTATTGCTGAATTATAAGAGTATTACATTAATCCTTAAGGTTTAATGTATTAATTTACTTCCAATTATTCTGATTTTAAGACATCATATGAAATAATTGGAGCATTACGATTTCGTTAATTAAGAACTTAATATACTTAATGTCCAAATCCTATTAGAACAGATAAACTCCCATAAATTACTTGCAATTATGAAATTTATAATGATTAAACATTCTTTACTGAATAAATTGGAGATGGCAAAAAACCTTGGATGCTTTTTACAGATTCTAAATATGATAGAATTACAGAAGGATAATTTAGTGATTATGATTCAAGTGGATATATATAAGATATCAACCCCAACAATCTAACTCCAATTTTTTATATACATAATATTATAGAAGGAATGTTTAAACATCCTTTTTATTTTGGTGAATCTATTATTGCATAAATTATGACAATGACTGTTCGGAGTAAAAATGATGGAATGTTTGTTTTTATTGAATTTCTTGTTGAAGTAACTGGTCTTGGAATCTATCCAAAATAACCTAATATTTTACCATTCTCTCCAAATATATTTGGAAAAGGTACATCTTCACCATATTCTATTTATGCTGAAATGCATTCAGAATCTCCAAATAGTCCTAATAATAAAAATGTTGGATATATACTATATTTAATTACAGTACTCAAAATAATTGTTGGAATCATTTATACAATTTTTTAACTTATAAAAATGAAAGATTCATTTTCATCAGGAATTAAATATTTTATTTCAGTTGTCTTCTTAGTAAATTCAATGTCTTTGATACTCAACTTTTCAACTGCTGATTAAGCATTATAATTATTCAAATAAAATATTAGTGTTTAAGATCTTGTATCAGAAACTATCTACATTGATCTAGGAAATGTTGCAAACACTTATAAAAGCATACTTGTTATGACATCATTATGTATTTGTGCTCATTTAATCAGAATTTATCTCATGTTTAATATTTTCAAAAGTTTAGAATAAGCAATTGAAGCCATTGAATCTTAATATTTATAATTATTATCTAGCTTTACATTACTTTTTCTTATTTTATCTGGCTTCGCTATTATCTTAACATCCTAAAAAGGACCCTATTTTATTAACTATTATATATTTACAAGATCTTTTGCTTAATTGATCTTGATGCTTTGTAATAGTTCTAATGTTGGAGAATTTTATGATACAGACCTCACATTTTCTATGCTTTTCATGATATTCTTTTACTTTATATTATATCAATTTCTATTTGGAATCTTGGCAATCATTTATATTGACTCATATAGATAGGTTGTTATTAGTTAAGGATAACCTGATTCAAATATTAAAAAAAAAAATAATCTAATGAATTGGCTTTTTAATTGGTTACCCAAAAGAATTTATTAAAAAAAAATATAAGAATGAAAATGATTATATATTCGTTTATATTCATAATAATTCCTCATTCAATTATAAGCATCTCAATGATTATTCCAATTCATAATGATCTATAATAAATTTAATAACATCATCTTAGACTTTTTAATTCACTTCTTTGTATGATCCTTCTTTTGATAAGTCATAAACTTTAAATTATTCTTCATCCTAAATTTCAATTACATCTTATGATAAACTATTAGCTGTAAATGATTCTTATTTTGATTAATCTTATACTTTATTTGTAATTTATTTTTATAAATGCAACTCTAATGAATTCTTAATAAAAAACTTTAAAAATATTTCAAAGATTTAGTCTTAAGGTATATCATCAATCTAAAATTTAAAATCTTAAAGTAGTTTTTCTTTGATTAATTTTGATTAAGTTAAGCATTCTTTAATTGTTTTATCAATAGATTCAAATGCTCTATTTGCTCTTTACCTTTCTTTTTCTATATACTTTTTTAGTAATTCATAATATTAATTTTTTGTAATTCCTGTTATTAAATAAGAGTTTTATAATTTATCTCCATAATATTATTAGAATTATTTCACAAATAAAGGTTAAAAATAACTTAAGAAGTATTATTAGATTTTTAGTGTTTATTCTTTATAATTTTTTTGTTATTATATTTCTTATTCAGTTGGTTATACTATATTTTCTTCAAATTGAATATTTAATTTTAATATTTCATCCAATTAAATAAGCAATTCTTTTTCACAAAAATATCTTTATTTTTGATATTTATTATAGTCTTCAATTTCTTCATCTATCTTCTCTTTTTTTACTTTATCCTCTTTTTTCTTTTTCTTTTCTGCATCTTCTTTTTTCTCTTTTTATTGTTTATCCTCATTCTTCTCTTTATCCTCATTCTTCTTTTTCGTTATTGTTTATTTAGATATATCAACAAAACTAAATTTAGATTTTAAATGCTTACTCTTTAATAAATTGATTAACTATTTCAATCATGTCTTTAAATTGTTTTTTATTATTTATATTACTTACTTTTTTTAAATTTTCTAACAATTTCTAAATTCTTTCATCTTAATATAATTCTAGAAATTATTTAATAATTTTTTTAATAGCTTTCACATCCATACAAATATTTTCATCTTCTTCATTTAAAGTCTTTGAAATACTTAAATATTAAACAAAATAAATTTTATCTATTTCTATAATTGATTGATAAGTAGTAAATTGATTAGATTCGTTCTTGAGTTTGATAAAAATATTGTATAAATTCAATTAACAATGACATAATTTTTTTTCAGCCATTTTAAATAAATGTTATAAAATGGCTTAAATAATTAAGATGGCTTAGGCTTTAAAGATGACAACATATTAAGATTTCTAAATAAATGAATATTAAATACAATAGCATCATATAAGTCATTTAATGATACACATTCTTAATAAGGAATTTAATATTAAATAAACCCATCTTCATATTATTTATTCCCAATTATATAGGGATTGTTTTCAAACTCATCAATCTTTAATAATTCTTTTTCTTCACAATTCACTTTTTAACAAATTATTTTGAAATTCTACCACCCTTTCATTTCTTT